GTTGTTTTTGCGTTATTTCAAGTAAATTCGTACTTCCGGTTTGAAACTAATTTTTGAAGCTGCGTTACGGCCATGACATAATAGCGTTGTATTCCGGCGTGCAGACTGGGCGTCTGTGCCAGAGTGTGTCTTATTACGTCTAACAGTGTGATGCATTAATGCATGAGTAAGGCTTGGTTCAAACCAATCAGCGCGCTCTATTGTGCAACTTCATTAATATTCATTACTGTCACCGTGTTTACACGACAGAGACGCCACGTTGTGTTGGCAAAACAAGCGTGAAGTGTTGCTTTTATCGTTTGCTGCCGTTAAGTTTTGTTTTCATTTTCTCTCTGTGAGAGCTCATCTGGAGTCACGTGAGGATTAACAGTGTACGCGACGCTCGACAACAATAACTTACGTGTCTAAGGAGGATTATTGTTTACCTGAGAGCTGTTCTCATCTGCAAACACAGAGATCCGGATTCGCTTGTAGTCTTCTCTTAATAAAGACGCGGCTCTAGTTGCTGGTGATTGTCCTGTCTCTACAGATTTGGTAAGTGAGCGACCAGTGCTCTTTGTTTATTCAGTTTGTTTGTATCGAACTAAGTTAACTATTGCACCGAGTACAAACATGTTAGCACCACAACCAAACTTTAACCTCGTGTAGGGTTTTTACCGCATTTTGTGACGCTACCTGCCGTGTGCATCTAAGTTTCCAGGAAATGCGAGGTTTTTTTTCTCTCATTCGCCGTGCGGTATCAAACATTGCATGAAAAATACACGCTTAGAGCAGTTCCTCGAATCAAATATCTCGTTTGTCGCGAGGGGCATGAATGAATTCCCTGAATGAAAGAGCCAAACTGCTGTTAAAGTCCAACATTTAATAATTTGGCAAATAATTCGACTGCAGATGTCCATGTAGGTTAAACGCCATCACTTTCTCCTGTGTGTTAATTTTGACTCTGAAACTCGCGCGAGCCCAAATAGACACTCCCACACCCTCCCACTTTAGTTCCTCCAACACTCCCCCCTAAACAGAGCTGGACACGCCCACTTTTCTGACTTTTTCCAAAGTAGAGGTGTGAAAACACCCTGCTGAAACGAGGGGGTTTCATGACCCTTTAAAGTGACATGTATAGGCTCAACTGGGTTAATTAGGTTAATTAGGCAGTTTAGCAATGGCGCAGTATGTAGTGCTGTTTCCTCACAGCAAGAAGGTCGCTGGGTCGAACCTAGGCACAGTTGGCATTTCTGTGTTTCTGAAAAAATAAAGCTTAAAGCAGCTAATAATTTTGACCTTAAATGGTTTAAAAAAATTTAAACCTGATTTTAATCTAGCTGAAATAAAACTAAAAAGAATTTTACAAAAGAAAATATATTATCAGACATACTGTGAAAATTTCCTTGCTCTGTTAAACATTATTTGGGAAATATTATTAATCAAAGGGGGGCTAATAATACAGTTGATGTCAGAACTATCTCAACCCCCCCCCTTTAATTATTAGCCAGCTCTGTTTTTTTTGGCTCTTTCATTCAGGGAATCCATTCATTCATTCAGTTTAGGGTAATTAGGCAAGTTATTGTATAATGATGGTTTGTTCTGTAGACTATCGAAAAATATATAGCTTAAGCGGGCTAGTAATTTTGTCTTTGAAATGGCTTTTAAAAAATTTTCAACTGCTTTTATTCTAGCCGAAATAAATCAAATAAGACTTTCTCCAGAAGAAAAAAAATTATATCAGACATACTGTGAAAATTTCCTTTCTCTGTTAAACATTATCTGGGAAATATTTAAAAAAGGGAAAAAAAAATTCAAAGGGGGGCTATTAATTCTGACTTCCACTATGTGTGTGTGTGTGTGTGTGTGTGTGTGTGTGTGTGTGTGTGTGTGTGTGTGTGTGTGTGTGTGTGTGTGTGTGTATGTATGTATATATATATATATATATATATATATATATATATATATATATATATATATATATATATATATATTTGTGTGTGTGTCGTAATGTTATTGTATTTGTTCATGTAGTGCAACAGTGCAATCGTAGTCTTCATTGATTATTACTGACTTAACATTTTTTAAATTCTTCATTATAATGGAAAATTTGCTCATTATAAAACAGCAGAAATCAATGAAAGGTCTCCACCCAAAACAAGCATGTGTGTGTGTGTGTTGGAGACTGGGTGAGAAAATATTGTATAATAATAAGTCAGGTACAGCTGACAGTGGTGGCTCTCAGACTGCAGCTCTATAAATAGATAAGGAGAGATGGAAATAAATCAGCCAGTCAGCATCTTCCTCTAACTCTCCTCCAGCTCCTCCCTCTCCCAGCTCCCTCTTCCTGCTCCAACCCTTTTTGGCTCTCCTTCTTCACCTCCTCCCCTTCTGCTATGTTCATCCCCTCTCTCTGCCTCTTTCATTCTCATTTGGTTGCTCATCCCTAGTGATTTACAGTAATATTAACTAAAAAAGCTAGACATTCTTTAACATCTCTAATGGCTGCCTCTTTGTATCATTGTATTTGTGTCAGTGTCATTCAGTTTTTAATTGCCTTTTGTTGTTTTTATGTTATTGTGTCTGAAAGCAATAATTGCAACTGTTGACACTCATATTAAAGCAAATTAAGACAATATCTCAATGGTCATTTTCCAGTAGGCTATGGCAGGCCTAGTGAAGCTGGTTTAGGGTTTCAGCTCTGTCCAAAAACAAGCTTTGCATTATTTTAAAATGGATATTTTGCTGCTACATCTGTGGGTGTGAGTGTTGATTAAAATTCCCATGTCATATGCTTCAGTATCAGTGGTGCTGTATTGATTCAGTTGGATTCGCATCTTTGTTCTTCTCTGCATGTTATCACTACACAGAATCAGTTTCCAGTGACTTTCCTGCACAAATAAAGGTCATATGAATACAAAGTAGTGGTGCCCAAATTTATCTCTATTCTCTGCGCATGGACCTCTGACATTCACTCTGCGGGGGGACAGCCAGTGTGTGCCATCCTTTCTGAAACCATTAATGCCCACTGCTTACTTAGTTCGAGTCCATAGTCTTAGAGTCACACACCGTAGGCTAGAGCTGCACAATTAATCACTCAAAGGTTGCAAACTCAGTTCACCTACTGGATCGTATTCTTAAATGGTGATGATGATTTGATGTGTAAATATGATCACAGTAGCTGTTTTAAAGCTGAAAATGTAACTTATACACAGAATATTGAATGAATCGTTTGCTAATAAAAGACTGTTTATCCCATGTGTTTGAAAGAATCTCAATCCTGGGAAAGTAGCACAATATAGTAATTTAAAAATGCAAATGTAAAAAAAAAAGCAGTGGGCAGCATGGTTGCGCAGTGGGTAACACGATAACCTCACAGCAAGAAGGTCGCTTGTTTGAGTCAGTTGGCATTTCTGTGTGAAGTTTGTATGTTCTCCCCATGTTCGTGTGGGTTTCCTCCTGGTGCTCCGGTTTCCTCCACAGTCCAAAGACATGCACTATAGATGAATTGAGTTAGCTAAAATGGCCATAGTGTATATGTGTGAATGCAAGAGTGTATGGGTGTTTTCCGGTGTATATGTGTGAATGCAAGAGTGTATGGGTGTTTTCCGGTGTATATGTGTGAATGCAAGAGTGTATGGGTGTTTTCTGGTGTTGGGTTGTTGCTGGAAGGGCATCCGCTGCGTAAAACATTTGCTGGATAAGTTGGTGGTTCATTCCGCTGTGGTGACCCCTGACTAAAAAAGGGACTGAGCCAAAAAGAAAATGAATGAATGAATGAAAAAGAAACAATGCAGCTCTTTTTCTTTATAGTTTTGCTTAATGGTTTCAGTAGCTTCTGGGAGACAATTGTTTTTAGTTTTATTTTAATAATAGACTGTTGTTCAGGTATTTAAAAATTATTAAAACCGCATTACTAATGATGTGTGGTTAGACTGGTGCTCGGGAGAATGGTTAGTCTAGTTAGGCAATCACATCAGGGATTGAGTGAAATTTATTTTGGAGAGCAATAAGGAGGTCTCTGTGTTTCCTTTGCAGTTTATGTGCATGTCTCATCCCATAAAAAATAAAATTATGCAGAATTTTACGATGTAAAATGTACATCTTTATGTGCATTGTGGGTGTTTCCATCTAATGTTAATTATGTAATATCAAAAATGCACATAAAAATAGGTAGTTGGACAACACTCCACCACTAGAGCCACTTTATCAGGTACACCTGTTCAGCTACTGGTTAACGTGAATCTCAAAACAGCCAGCCTCAAGGCAGGAACTTAAATGCTTTAGGCTTGTAGATTTGTAGAGATGTAATTGGTAAAAAAACAGCAAACTGAAGCTATAATTCCAACAGGCTCACAAAATTTTGACAATAAAGAAAAAGATTACTTGATTCATTGAGTCTCAAATTCTGCTGAAGATTTTGAATGGTTAGATCAGAATTTGGTGTTAATCACATAAAACCATGAATCTGTTCTGACTTTGATCTATGATTCAGGAGGCTAGTTGTGTAATAATGGAATTCTTGGCACATTTTGGGACCCTAAATACTAATTAAGCATTATTTAACACTACAGCCTATGCACATTCTTTTATGACTACTGTTCATGCATCTTAAAACAGAATAAGTCATTAATGTAGCATACAGAGGAACTTTAAAAAATCTCAATCTGGTTTCTTGCATGTGACAATGAAACATTTGGGATGTGCTGGATAAGGAGATTCAAATTTGCAGCAACTGTGATGATATCATGACAACAAAATGGTTTAATTTAATGAGTTAGAATTTAATTTTTTTCAGTGTTCAGAATTTACATTAGTTTAGTCTGGATGTAAACTGATTTACATGAGCCCTCATCACACACTATTGTCATTGTAATCATTTTTTTTTTCAGCTCAGAATGAAAAATGTCACTAAATGCAAGTTCTCTGTCATTACAAAGGCTGTTGTTTATCACATTATCCTGGATTAAACCTGCACTGTCTTCATATTTTTTAAACTTTCATTCTATATATCTGTCCAGAATCCTGTCCACCGTGGGCTCAGACTTTGACCTGAGAACTCTACGTGCTGTTCGAGTGTTGAGACCTCTCAAGCTGGTGTCTGGGATTCCCAGTAAGTGGCATATTTCTGCATTTGCTCATTCACATGCTGATGTGGTCCGTTTCTTGTAACCTTAAAGTGGTTATTTTGCCATCATTGGATGCTTTTGAAAACAGAATGTATTGATTACATTTTGTTGCATGATTTAGGCCCAATCACAATTCTACCTCTTAGCCCTTCCCCTTGTCCCAATTCTCTTTAGCTTGAAGGCGTAGGGCTAAGAGGAAAGGGGTAGATACCCCTTCAAACAGAGATTTTTTTAGGACTACACTCAAAACCAAGGGGTAAGAAACTTTCCCAGAACACACCAGCCACAACGGCAACATAGCAGTGCCTGGAGATCCACAAATTAATATTTTTTGTCATTATTCAGAATTTTTTTTTACAACAAACAAGCACATGTTTTAAAACATTCATAACCGCTTTTGTGTTTTATCGTCATGCTTTTTTAAAGAAAACGCTAAAATAAAAAAACAATAATTTTCCCTATCTATAATCCCTAATAATAACTCCTGTACAGCAGTCCCACAACATTCTGTCACTTGATGACACTGGAATACCCTTTCAAAATAGTCTAGTGGTTGAGAATGTGCTTTTACAGTGTCTGGTATAATGTTGATGTTGTTTTCGTGTGTCAATTGGCCACTGTGCAATTGCACAATACGTTTATGATCTTTTTGCCATATTAGATCGTGATGATAACATAATATATGGCTTCTGTAAATTCCTGAAGATAAATACCAAAAAATAACGCAGCTGGAATAACTACAGCAGTCGCGATCGTCTGATGTAATATGAACCAAGAGGTCAGGATGACATATGATGGTGTGTGCAGGTGCTGTAGTAGTGTCCCATTTTTTTAGGGGTAAATTTTGAAGCCCTTCCCCTTCACACTCTGTTTTAAGGGCCAAGGGAAAGGGGTAGTGGTACAAAAATAGAATTGGGATTGGGCCTTAAAGTGTTAAAAAATGCAACCAGAAATATAGTTTGAGGGCTTTGTGTAGGGAGAATGAAATTTCATCCTGCAAAACTGTATCATGACCTTAGAGGACTCCAATATGGTGCACAATTCATAATTCTTACTTTTATGATGCTCATTCGCTATTTTTGAAATATGATTATCTGAAGTTTGCATTATACCATTTGTGCTACATTACAAAGCAACAAGTTTTTAAATGCAGATTTATACTGCAAAAAACAAAGACTAAAAACTCTGACCATAGTCACTTTTCCACTGTCATGCCAGTGTGAGCCAGGCCTTTCATCAGGCCGACTGGGGCCAATAGCTCCAGAGCTCCAGCAGCTAGGCCGAAATCATTGTTTTTTTTACTTTGTGGCCAATATATCACAGTGCAGCACAAAAACTATCCTTAGCATCCCCTCAAATCAAACATAAGGCAACTTGTCTAATTCAGCAGGAAGAAATCAGAATCACACAGATGAAGTGCACCATCGCATCATCACAAAACGGTCAAGATAAAGAACAGAAGCGACGAAATTATGTGCTACTCTTCAACATAATATGATAAATCTATTTATACGTACAAATGTACTTTCATTTGTTATTTTCCTTTACTCATATGTGTAATGTTAGTTGACATTGCATACCAACTTTTAAAACTATCCCTGAACTAGCAATCTACTTTAAAACACCCTCATTTCAGCAGATACCCTCAATCTGTCTTTGAATATTCTCCTCAGCCCAAATTCTCAGGAGAGTCCAGGCATCTTCAACTCTTCAGTACTGTCTGTTCTCCGTTCTTTCTTTTGTTTGTGTTTGTACTCTACATCTGTGCATGATTAAACTAGTGAAATGGACATCTTGCTGCAGATCTTTTTTTACTCGACTTTGCCTTTCACCCCACCCCAAAGTCCCAGCTAACCCACTATGGCCCAAGGTATTCAGCGGCAGAAAAACCCAGCCGTTGGCCTCAAGGAAGCTTAGACAACTGGAATTACTGTGGAAACATGGCTAGTCCAGATATGGAGCCATTGCCAACAATCTTGTTTTCTTTCCTCCAGGCTTACAGGTTGTGCTGAAATCCATCATGAAGGCCATGATCCCTCTGCTTCAGATCGGTTTGCTGCTCTTCTTTGCCATCCTCATGTTCGCAATCATTGGTCTAGAGTTCTACATGGGCAAATTTCACACCACTTGCTTTGACAAGATCACCGGTAGGCCTGTTTGTTCAGAGACTTCCTCATATTATTATCTTCGAAACTGTTACTCAAGTATAACGGTGTCATTAATTGTGTTTTGGTCTTTCTATTAGATGAGATCCGGGAGGAGTTTCCATGTGGGGAGGAGGTTCCCGCTCGAATATGTCCTAATGGAACCGTATGCAAAAAGTACTGGCTTGGACCGAACTATGGTATTACTCAGTTTGACAACATCCTGTTTGCCGTCCTCACAGTCTTTCAGTGCATCACCATGGAGGGCTGGACTGATCTGCTGTACTATGTAAGTCTCAGAGAAAGTTTTTTAATGATGCAATACAGTTTCCTTATTATTATTATTATTATTATTATTATTATTATTATATTTTTTTCTTTATTTATTGACATGATTAAAATGACAAAAATCAAAAGAGACCTGAAGTAGAATAATTCAAAAAAATTTTTTTTAACCAAAATCCTATTTTAAGGATAATTTAAGTATAATTAAGGGGTACTGTATGGCACAGTATGGTTTGGTATGCTTTTATGGCCATTTCTAACGTACCAAAAAGCGAACCGTACCGTACCACTTTTGGATACCCTTTCTAAAGGGTATAAATCTAACACCAAAAGGTTTTGGTTATACAGAGAAACGTCGTGTGCACAAGCCAGGAGAATGAAAACAAAGGAAGTGCCATTTTTAAAAACACAGCCGTTACGCCGTCATAATATATACATATAATAACAACCCATGGTCAACCCTAGCTCAAACAAACTTTGTTTATCGTCTTGAGGAACAGCCACAAACCCAAGAAGAACAGCAGAATCTGTCATGTCCCGTGGTTGTTTATGAGGCCGTCTAAAAGCACGAGTGGTTTCACTTTATTGAAAGCTTGTGTGCTTGCCATGCGTCTATATTTGACATAACAAACTTGAGCTTATGATAATAACGTATGCGTAATTATTGAAGTGCTTCTGAAATCCTGTCAGAAACACTCAAATGCGAGAAATGAGAGGTTTGCACTGACTCTATATTTCGTGTCGTTTTTGAACCCAAATAAGACCTAAATGTATGTTGTGTGTAGTTTTTCTGTAATTGGTATATGTGTATAAAATCTCTGTTTTGTGTAAAGTGCTTCTCATATGATATGTAAACGACCTGTACAGCTTTTCTTTGACATTTCCTCAAGCGACAATAATGTCGACTGCAACTTTCTGTCGTACACCACGCCCACCAAAAGGGCAACCCTGATAAAGGTGACCTGTACCAAACTGTACCATTCCATACCGGACCCCTTATTGGTAAAGGACCCTAAGACTTTTCTTTTTTTTTTTTTTTTTAATAAAGATGGATTGTTTTTAATTGACTTAAAAATATTTTTTTATCAATTTAAATTTTTTTTATGAATTTTTAGTAAAAAAATTGAATGCTTTAACTGTAATTATATTAAACAAATGATACATTAATATAATTAAATATTTAAATAATTTCTGTAACAATAAGGCTTAAAAGTTATTATTATATGTTTTATGTTATTTTTTTAGGTTTAGTTTTAGAATTTTAACTACGATAAAAAAAATTCAATTTTCAACGTAAACTGTACAGAATTTTTTGAGGATTAGAAAGTTCAAAATAACAGCATCTATTAGCAATATATTTTTTGCAAGTATTGTTATCAGTTTAAGAAATAATTTATCTGTAAATGTGTTTGGTGTCAAATTTCAACAAATTCACATCAGTATAACAATTCAAAACATTCATAGAATTGTTTTAAAAGTACAATGCATTTGTAATGTTTATAAATGTCTTTTCCATTACTGTCACTTTTGATCAGTTTAATGCATCCTTGCTTAAAGGGATAGTTTTCTCAAAAATGCACCTCTCATCATTTACTCATTTCAAACCCTACTTCAAACAAGTTTGAGTTTCTTGTTTCTGTTGAAAACAAAAGAAAACATATTAAAGAATGCTGGAAAAATAGAAACTGACTTCCATAGTATTTTTGTTCCTAATATAAATGTCACTGTCTGTATTTTCCTACCTTCTTTATAATATCTTGATTTGGTTTTAACTGAAGAAAGATAATCAGATGCTTAGAACAACTTGAGTGTGAATAAAAGATGAGGTGATCGCTCATCAATGCATGTTACTGAAATAATTAAAAGGCAGTTTCTGACGTTACAAAGGCTTTCTGCTTTAGTCTAATACTCTTCAACTTTCTATTAAACATTCTTGTAATGAATATGAAAAAGCGTATTGAGAGGCAAATCAGCATATTAAATTTATTTCTCAAGGTTCTTGTTTCAATAGTAAATAAAATATTCCATGTTATTACTCTTTCCAATGTATTTGGTATCAGATATGCAACCTTATTTTATAAACGCCATTTTGAATGTTTGTGTGCGTGTATTTGCTGCATTTCAAATAGCAGTACAGCACTCTTTTACACTCTTATAGCATGCTTATATTCATACACTACTTTTTCTCAAATGGATTTTAGATTGGTTGGTTGATGTCACCTTTTCCCCTGGACATCCTGCATTATTTCGTTTTTTTAAAATGTATTGCTCAGAGTAAAGAATTGCTGATTACTTCAACTATGAGATTATCATAAAGTAAATAAGCTATAGGACCGAACAGGCCCGCCTAATCCACATCCCCATACCTTTCACTGGCAGACATACAGTAAGCAAAATCTGCCCTATAGAGTCAGTGCATTTATAGTCTTATCGCAGGTGGCCAGCCTGTCCACTCTGAAGAGAGAGCGTCGTTTCCTCGCCCGCCCTCTGCCACAAAAAATAGGCCAGTGATGTCAATGCCATGTTCAAGATTTCCACATACTAATGATGTTACCTCAGGGAGCAGTTTAATCCCAATGACACGTCAACGCTGCATGCAAATCAACAGCCAATTTACCTGCAGGATTAAAGGGTTATTTTAAAAATGATCTTGGCAATGAGAAATAAGTCTGAGGGTGGTGATTCCGTATGACTAAGGCTTGCAGTTCTGCACCAGATGTCATCATTTCACATTTGGTCTTACTGTATTTTTATCCTTGTTTTGTTTTATTTTTTAAAAATCCTCCTGCGTCTCCAAATCGCTGATTTCTACTTGCCCCAGCTTCCCCCCCCCCCTCCTCCTGTTTTCCTCCTCTCTCCGGTGAACGGGGCTATATATATAACAGACCCTGCTCAACTGAAGTTATTCTTACAGCTGCTGAGAAAGAAACCTATGAAAATTTAATAGCAAAAAAGCTGCAGTACATACTGGGGCTTTCAGAGCTCTCAGACATGCAGAGAGACTGAAGGAGCGGACGGAGAGGAAGTAGGGCAGATCAAGGGAGACAGAAAAAGGGACATGGAGGATAATAATGAGGCATGGCTACAACAAAATGCCATTATATATTGCAGATATTGCTGGCTCTTTCATTAATTGCTTTGGATAAAACTGTCTGCTAAATGCATTGATCTTAAAATTAAAGTTCTTATTGGCATCTCTGGTTTCATAAACAGACTTTGACATCCATGGGACCATTTGCTAACAGGTTCTTTTTAGTTTTAGTTATTAAAATATTTTATTATCTATGTTATAAAAGTTTTAAAATTAGAATGTAATATCATCTGCATTATCCCTAAAGCAGCACTTGTGGGCTGTTTCCATCTGGGCTTTCGTAGCTTGGGCTCCTTCCCTAGAGGCGGCCAGTGGAGCAGTGCCACACAAGATGGCTGCCCATTTGTTCCTCTTTGCAGTGGCAGGGTGCAGTGGTGCCGAGCACCCAGCTGTGCCCACCACAGATGAAGCAGCCCCTGCCAGATGCTTGCCAGTCTCAGGTTGCACATCGCATGGTATGTGGTGTCCTAAGATCTGCCACTGCTGCTGTCAGAGATCTCCTCCTCCTCCTCCTGTTAGTGGGCTCAGATTTCCAGTTCACCTTTATAAAAAAATACCCAATAAAAATATGGAGTCTTGGGAAGACAAGTGCAAAGACAACCAGATGAACAAACTGTATTCTCAGCTGGAGTGAGAGAGAAAAAACAATGTTTGGATGTTTGCCTGATATTTTTGACGGGGCTGTTTTCTGCTGTTTCAGAGCAATGATGCTGCAGGGAGTGCATGGAACTGGATGTACTTCATCCCGCTCATCATCATTGGCTCTTTCTTCATGCTCAATCTTGTGCTGGGTGTGCTGTCAGGGTAAGGAGCGTCTCTCGGGGATTGTGAGCTGTTCTAACATTCATTTCTCATGTTCTTTTAGGTTCACACTGTCGGCGCATTGTCTAATTGTCTGCGCATGACTTTCATTTATTACATATACATGTATTAGATTTCTAATATAGAAATGTAATATGTGGCAAATAGCTATATCCCTAATTTCTGATTGGAATTGTCATTTGTTGACAATATATTATTGACATATATTACACTTATTTTTGTAAATATTGCGAATGAATAGATGACAAACCCATGTTAAGATTAGAACATATAGATGTATTACAAATATATGCAGTTGGAGTCAGAATTATTAGCCCCCCTTTTGAGTTTTTTTTTCTTTTCTTTTTTAAATATTTCCCAAATGATGTTTAACAGAGCAAGGAAATTTTCACAGTATGTCTGGTAATTTTTTTTCTTATGGAGAAAGTCTTATTTGTTTTATTTTGGCTGGAATAAAAGCAGTTTTTAATTAAAAAAATAACAACAACATACAATAACATACAATAACTTGCCTAATTACCCTATCCTGCCTTATGTGGGGGGTATAATAGTTTTGACTTCAATTGTATATGATGATTTTCAATACCTTAAGACATTAACAATAAATGTTTATTTTATAAATGGAATTTCTCCACAGCCTACATTTAGTTTTCAATTTATTTATTTTTTTGTGGAGCTAATGCCAGGACACTTTTGATAAATAAATAAATAAATAAATAAATGTATTTAATAAATAAATAAATAAATGTACTGAGAAAATTTTAATTTAAAAGTTTTAATATCCATTAGTGATCTATGTAAACCAGAATCTTTGTGTAATTATTTTATTGCACACAAATGTAAAGACATGCAATGTTTATTTATGACATGGATGTCAAAATGTGTATTTTACATACATACAGCTATATAAGAGTTAGATTTACTATAATAATAAAAAGAATACAAATAATTTTCATCTCGAATAACCGTTTTCGTGTTGTCTAGATACTATTTATTTCAGTTTAATTTCTTAGTCATACAATCAGTTTGATACATTTTACTATTTTATTTTATTCATTCATTTTTTTATATTTATGAAACATTTTTAAAAACATCAGAATATCAGAAGACTAAAAATGCACCTAATAGTTTATTGTAACTTATGGATTATGTTTTCAAACAACGTAATAATAATAATTCTCTCCTTCATTTTAATTTTGTCCAATTTTGACCACAAATTAACTCAAATGAGGGCCTCAATTAATTCTCAAACAACCAAGAAGGAAGTTATCCAGTGATTCTGATAGTCTTAACAATGACCAAAAAGGATTTGTCTTAATTATCTAGTGTGTATGCTTTTCAGGCAATCGTCTGTAGTTGAGCATTAATTTTATTGCATGTGTGCAATACAGAGAGTTTGCCAAAGAAAGGGAGCGTGTGGAGAACAGGAGCGAGTTCCTAAAGCTGAAGCGTCAGCAGCAGATAGAGAGAGAGCTGAACGGATATCTGGAGTGGATCTGCAAAGCAGGTAAATGCCATAGAAAGAGCCATTAAATACTCCGGAGAGCAGCTGAAGCCAAGAATACAGATAGTAGCCTGTCTCATTTGATACGGATGTCTTTACACATGTACGTCTCAGTCTTGGAACATGCTGATAATGTAGGAATTGTTGCAAAAGGCATTTTTAAGCACAAGCAATTATCCCCAGGTTCATAATTTTTGCAGTGGTTTGATTCGAATTTTGTTTGATTGTGTGTAGAAGAAGTGATTCTGGCTGACGAGGACAATGACCCAGATGACCGAATGCCCTTTGATGGTATTTACATGAACTCTTCCATCCTTCCTTCCTTTTCATCCCCCTCTTCTCCTCTCTTTGGTCCCTCATTGGGACTAGGTGTTGATTTCCCATTGTAAAGGAAGAGAGATATCAATAGCATGTTGGCTTTGCTGAAGGAGTGATATTGTATACTTCATGTCTATAAGTGCAGTTAATGTTGTTCATGAGCAGTACATGTATGTACATAGACCATTCATCTGTAGCTTACATCCAAATGTCAGATTTTTCTATATGATCCGTATAGTAAACATGCTACACTTCCAAAAAGTCTCATATTTTCTATCAATGTGCTTATGTATTTTCTATCTACCATATTTTTGAAGAAAGTAATGTTTTAATGTATAAATCAGATGATATAATATAATTTATAACTAATGCAAAATAACAGTAAATAAAAATAAATGTTTAATCCACTTCAAATAATCCATTGAAGTTTTTTTTTAACTTTCAGTTTAGTATTGAAAAGGGAATACAAAGTGCATTAAACAAACGAATTGCACAGCAATCACTGTGCGCACATATTGATTGTTTGGATTTAAAGGGTTAGTTCACTAGTTAATGTACATTAGCTGTTAATTTACTCACCCTCAGGCCATCCAAGATGTATATGAGTTATTTCTTCAGTAGCATATTAAGCATATAAAGAAGGTTTTAGCTAAAAACATGGTCTTCGTGATTTTATATAATGCAAGTCAATAGCTAATGGCACTTTAAAAGTAAAAAAAAAAAAACTGAAGTAAAATATAAATGAGTTTTTAAAGACTTTATAAGAGGGCCATTTGCATGATTAAAATGAATAATGCTGTAAATAACGTTAAACGTTGTATAAATTGCAGTATAACACAAGTTGCAGCATGTTTCAGATTGTTCTGGAAAATATGGTGTTGAATATTTTATGCAGTGATTGTTATGTTGCTAATGAGTGATTTTGGTCTGCTGTACACAGGCTCGAGAAGGAGGCCCACCATCAAGAAGAGTAAAACAGACCTGTTGGATGCAGAGGATGGAGATGGAGATATAGGTGCACTTGAGTTTTAATTAAAAACATACTAATCTGTACATTTATTAGGGCTGAGATGGCATAAAAGCTATAGGTTTGTGTGTGTGTATGTATATATATATATATATATATATATACATATATATATATATATATATATATATATATATATATATATATATATATATATATATTTTTTTTTTTTTTTTTTTTTTTTTTTTTTTTTTTTTTTTTTTTGAAGGACAGCTTAAAATCCATGGTTTATTAAAAGGTTAATTCAACATGAAATTAAAAATTGTGTCGTAATGTGCTGTCATCTACTTTTGTTGGGAACCATTGTTTCTCTTAGAAATAGGAACCTCAACCTCATATTTCTCCATGGAGATTGTTCCTGTAATTTACTATACACTAACCTATAGTTGAGTCCAAAAATTATATTTATTAATGTGAGTTAGTATATTTTTTTCTTTTCATTTTATCCCCTATTCATTGAAATGTATTGATTCTCATTTCCCTGCTGTTCATGTTATCTGTTGTTTTCTCTTCATCAGGTTCTCCGTTTGCACGGGGCAGTCTGAAAAGCTCCAAATTGGAGGGCTCTTCCTTCCATAAAAAGGAGCGTCGGCTAAGATTCTTCATTAGGCGTATTGTGAAGACTCAAGCATTCTACTGGACTGTTCTGTGTCTGGTGGGACTCAACACACTGTGTGTGGCTGTGGTTCATTACGACCAGCCCGAAACGCTCTCTGACTTCCTTTGTAAGTCTGCCTATTCACCTGTCTTCTCACTCATCAATAGACCTGCATGGATTTGCAAACTTTTTTGTATTTTGATGTAAAATATATAAAGTCCATTTCAAATCAAACCCAGAAATGATTAATAAATAGATCTAAAAATCATTGATAATATCATATTTTAGAGTACACTACGCAATTATAACGCTATTAGAATAGTGGAATAATATTGTTAAAACATTCATATGGAAGCATTTAAAGTTTCCGAAAAATCAAAACTAAACATATGATTTTGTTTGCTCATATTTCTAGTTTTGAGGTGAACAATTCATTTGTGCATGTCATTAAGAGGAAAAAATTGTTTGCCCTTCCAATCTTTAATTGAAATCTGAAGAAGCACTCCCTGTTTATTTTTTAATTAAATTGTCAGATTACGTATCTCTTAGGAATTGTGCATGGCTACTGTAATTAACCACACCCTCCAACTGTCAGTTTAGATAACAAATGGTGAGGAGGAGGTGCCTGTTAAGTTGTAATAACTCTACTCAAACACCCCCCCCGATCTTTCTGTATGAAATACCTACTTTACTACATTCATTCAGCTTGTGGTAGAAAAAAACAATCCACGCCCAATGTTGTGTCATTTAATATTCCGTTTCTCTAGAAAGAAATACAAATACAAAACAAAACAACAAATAACGGTCTCAGCTTCCGGTTCTGGGTGCCTTTAAAGTATCACGTGACAAACTTCAACATGTAGGAATAATGTAATGTAATGTATATAATAGCAGGTGCTATTGCAGAATAAACCCTGATGGTGTGATCTTTCAGCTTCTTGTATCTTGAAGTGATTTATTTTGTGGTATTAGCCAGTAGAATGTACCTTATCCCTGCAATTACCGGGCTACCTCCCAGAAGTAAATAATTCAACACAGAATATTAATTTGAGTTTAAATATGTCATTATTTTAGGAGACACAACGCTTCTGCAAGTGAAAGCAGTTGCACATAAGGCGCTTTTAACAAGACAATTGAATAAATTTCGCCACATAATTATTGGAACAAACAACGTAAAAGGATACAGCTTTAAAACCTTATTTATTACCTTATAAATTATTAATGTGCACAAAACATTTGTTTAATGTGCTTGCATTTTGTGACCCAAGATTTATTAAATGAAATGCTTGCTTCATTAAGTTGTTGTTTATAAATATGCTTTTTTCTCTTGGTGTTTATTTTCTGTCCTTAATCCAGACTTTGCTGAGTTCATCTTTCTGGGCATCTTTATGTCAGAGATGTGTATTAAGATGTACGGACTGGGCACCAGACCTTATTTTCACTCCTCCTTCAACTGTTTTGACTGCATTGTGAGTTTCTCTTGTCCTTTCTTTTGTATTATAAAATAATAATAATCTGAACACAGTATACAAGTTGTACTAAAAATGGTTTATGTAACTGAAGAGTTTCTTTAATGCATAATAGTTTGCAAATAAATGTATTTCTTAATTAGTCGTTTAGTATTTTGAGTGTTTTGATTTAATAATAACAAATACAAATAGTAATACAAACACTTCAACTTTAAATTCTAAAGACATCTTAAGTTTTAATATGGGTATTTGTGTCTAAGGATATTTTGCACTGTAAACATGTCTTGTTTTAAGGATATATTTGTTATTTTTTTACTGAAAGCTAAACAAAAGTGCAGATACTGGTCAGGTGATTTGATTGTCTGGCTTGCTGTTATTGAATGATCTTTAAATTTGTGTTTTTATGTGTGTGCTTTTTGTGTTTGTGTGTGGTACAGGTCATTTGTGGCAGCATTTTCGAGGTGCTCTGGGCTATGATCCAGCCAGGAACCTCATTTGGGATCAGTGTGTTACGAGCTCTCAGGTTACTGAGGATCTTCAAAGTGACCAAGTGAGTCTCTAATGTCTCAAGTCCCATGTCTGTCTCTCTATCCCAATCTTTTGTCCACTAGAATTTCCACTTTAGCATGGCTTAAGTGTCTTAAACGTCTCACCATTTCCCTTTTCTCAGGTATTGGGCGTCTCTGAGGAACCTGGTGGTGTCTTTGCTAAATTCCATGAAGTCCATTATCAGTTTACTCTTCCTCCTTTTCCTCTTCATTGTGGTCTTTGCTTTGCTGGGGATGCAGCTGTTTGGGGGACAGTCAGTATAAAATACTAAATACTGTTTGTGATTTTATTTTTATGTTATGTTATCTTTTTTATGTTTGGTTCCGCTCTGTCCATATTATATAATCTAGAAACTTAACCATAATTTTATCTCTTCAGGTTTAATTTTGAAGCCGGCACACCCCCAACAAACTTTGATACTTTTCCTGCAGCAATAATGACAGTGTTTCAGGTGAGTAAATGTGCCTGTCAAACAGTGAGCAGTCATTGATCGCATTGATCCAGGATTGACCTTTCTCTCCTTTACATCAGATCCTGACCGGTGAAGACTGGAACATGGTGATGTATGATGGGATCGAGTCTCAGGGTGGAGTCAAAAAGGGCATGGTCTTCTCAGTCTTCTTCATCGTTCTTACGCTCTTCGGCAACTGTATCCAAACACACAAAACAATTTTCTTGATTTCCAAATGCACCAGCAGTATTGGCTCCTGAGTCTATACAGCTATTATTTTAATAACACATTTGTAGTAATCTAATTGTACATGCATAACTTTTGATTGTCTAGTGTCCTAGCAAACCTGTAGTGTTGTATTTTTTTGGCCTCCAATTTATGCAGTATTTATTGCCTCAGAATGTTGATTTGGAGTTTGTCAAGTTCAGGTGAGGAAAAGAAAGTCACGTTTGTTCTCAGAACAAACAAAACAAATAAACACTTCAGGCTTTTTATCTGAGAATGTTTAAACTAAGGATTTAGACTTCAATTTTATATGCTACTTCACATATACTATAATGAAGAACGTATGTGTTAACTAAATAAGTTACAAAGTAGATTCATATTGTTTGCACTGGACAAGGTTGATGAATGATTTAGGAATTGAGGACATGAATACATCAACTTCATCAAGTTCAAAAGGCACTTTTACTGCATTTTAGTGTTTTATTTAAGACAATCTTTTGTTATATCTTGTGCACACATAACATCTTCATGACCAGCTGTCAATATAAAAATTTGCTTAAACTTGAAGAAATTGTGAGTGAAAATGGCACGATAATACTATTTAGTTGTTCTATTATGATTAGTCCTGTCACAATAATTAATATATTGGCAGATCGCACAACAAGTAGACCTGACCTCAATAATTTTTGGTGATACTATATATATATATATATATATTTATATATATATATATCGCACATGCATGAAAACTAATTCTAGCAACATTTTAGCTGATTGTGGAACATCTCTCTCTTTTGGAGGTGTCAATGTCAGTATGGTTAAACAAAAACACTATAATATTTACTATAAATAAATAATTTTCCTCTATTTTCAAGCGGGTGCCTGATGAATGAAAATAGATCTTGTGGCAAATATTGCAGCCTCTGTTACTTTTTACCTTGCACTTTTTTTGTTAACATTTATTATTTTATATTTAGGATAAGCAATTTCACATTCTGATTCCAAATTAAATTGTTAAATTGGCTATAATTAAATGAAATGTTCTGAAGAATAAAATGTAATGTGTTCTTGGGGGAGTGTACTTGCATTGCGATGATATTATATTGTCATTCTGGCAATACTGTATATAATGAGTGGCGTAAAATGGTCTTAAAATGCCAATAATATCGTTTATCGCAATATATTTTGGTGCAGTATATCGTACAACAAAAAATGCACATCGTAACAGACCTAATTATGATAACTTAATCTTAAACAAGTTTATGAAATATACATAGATTGTAAATAGTTAATTCATACATTAATGATCTATATTAATGTATTTATTAGCTATACTAATGAAATAGTTAATTAGAAAATAAGTGGGCACTAGAAAGTCTGAAAAATGCCCCAGTATCTCTCATTGAGAAGTCCTTGCAAAAAAAAAAAAAAAAAAATGGTGGCACTGTTGAGCTACTCACAATATGCTATGTAGTACTGAATTTTAATACGTCCAGCTCATATCGTGCCTCAAAAACAGTTGGTAAAGAATGCTAACAAATTTACGCTGTATCGTTGTGATTGTATTGATGTATAATTGAGTACACCAGTCACACATTAATGTAAAGTTCCTTTACTCATCTGTGAACAGACACACTGCTCAATGTGTTTTTGGCTATCGCTGTGGATAACCTGGCCAATGCACAAGAGCTGACCAAGGTAAACACATTGGTAAACAACATTGTTGACGAACAAGCAAACAAATATGTTTGAACAAGCTTAATTTATGCACAACCATTCTCAAATAAAATGTTTATTTTATTTTATTTATGTTAAATTCCATGATTCTGAGGCCTTGACAATACTGCATGTAATGTGCTTGTGTACGTTATATATTTTTTTCTGTTCAAACATTAATCTTTTTATGTCAGTGCAGTAATTTTCTTTTCTTTTTTTCTCTTGTGGAGGTCCCTGTTCTCTGGCAGTCAATATGATGACTCTCAGTGACCACGTTTCATTCAGACTGTTTATCCTTCACACTCCCACACACCAGCGCGCATCACGTAATAACCAATATGCTTCGTGTTTCTCTCCATGTATAGGATGAACAGGAGGAAGAGCAGGCAGCCAATAAGAAAATGGCTCTTCAGACGGCCAAGGAAGTGGCTGAGGTCAGCCCTCTGTCTGCAGCAAACCTCTCTATCGCAGCGTGAGTATCTCTCTCCCATCTCTCTCTCTCTCTTTGTCCTCCTGCCACATTTTCTTTCTATAATATGTGTTTTTTATATTTGTTTTCATTTGTTCCGTTTCTTTATAGTTCTTGTCAACCACATAATCATAAAGGTCAAAAGTAAGGTTTAATTTAGAAATTTGCCTCTTTTTTATTAAATTTTTTTGCTCTAATTAGAAGCTATCAAAGATTTAAATCACCACTGGTTCTTTTAATGCACTATACGTACAATACTTGTTGTAATTTGTTCTTTATTTAATCTGGGACACAACAGGTTAAATGGATAGTTCACTCTAAAGAATGTTGATAACCATTAACCATTGACTGTTGTAGTATTCCCCTCTCAATGGGCAATCCAGCCTTCTTCAAAATATCTACTGCGTTCAACAGAAGAAACGCATTAAAGTTTGAAACCACTTGTGTTTTCAGTTGATTTATTACTTTAAATGAATGTACCAGATACAGCCGTAATGGTTAATAGTGTTCTGACTCATTATCAGTCATTATCGATCTTTTTTATAATTTTGAAAGAAGTAACACTTTAGTTTAGGTCAAAATTCATGGCATTAACAAACCATTACAAACATAATAAACTACTAATTAGCTGTTTATTAATAGTTAGTAAAGTAGAAGTTGGATTTAGATTTTGGGTAGGATTAGGGATGTAGAATAAGATCATACTTTTAACTAGGGCTGGGCGATATTGAAAAGAAAATCACAATATCAAGTTTCATATTATTGGTATCAATAATTATTGAATATTTTTAACAATAAATTTAGATAAATTAGGATTTTTTACTCACTTTATTTTAATTTACCAACATTACTAAGGCAAATAGTTTTAATAGTCAAAAAACAATTTCTGTATAATAAAATAAACAGAAGTGTTAAAGAAAATAAAATGTTACAAAGTGTATGCAATAGTAAAATGCAATCAATCAAAGCAAACATTAAGGTGTGAATAATTTGCAAAGTAAAATGACTTTTCAAAATCATATGTTTATGTTAATGAAACAAAGTGTAATAGACAATGTAGTAAAGCAGAATTTTGGTCCAATGCTGCAGTGTTAGTTTTTTAGAAATCATTTGAACGCATCTTTGTCATCAAGTACTGTTTTTTTTTTCTTTAGTATTGACCCCAAACTTTAACTGTAAGTAACAAAGACGTTTTTAGCACATTCAAAAGGTACAGAAGGTATTTAAAATACATATTATCTGTAAATGCAAAGGTTTTTTACTTTGTAGCCTTCTGAAAACCTAAGTGGGTATCTGCAGTTTGGATGATTGGGTTTTAGCAACTTGTTGTCTGTTATGTTTGGTGTCATTATCTGTAATGTAATCCTTTGTCCACCATCTCACAACTCACTCACCGACCGATTGAAGATGATTCCAATTTGTCCAAGCATTTGTTAGGAAATGAAGAGCGAATCAGGGAGTAAAAAGCAATGTGTGTGCTAGTGAGCGTGTGAATGCGGGTGAAGAGCAAAGAGATGTTCTGTGTTTCTCACATGCTGTTTTCCTCCTCAGCGTGACAGTAAACTCTGAGCGTCTCGATGCAACAGAACACTTTCTAGACTGGTATTTATTCATTTATACTCTCTCTGTTTTTTTTTTTTTTTAAAACGCCTCTGTTCGCCCCACACCTCCCACTATTCTCCCATCAGCCTTTTTTTCGACGTGTGCATTTCCTCCTCGGTTTCTCTGTGCTGCTCCCCGCTCTGTGCTCCAGACCGCTGGGTGGGATGGGACGGGTTTGTCACTCCTCGTCTCTTCTTCTCTCTTCATCCTGCTACTCATCACCTGCTGTTCTCCTCTTATCTCCTTTACTCGCTCTCTTTCACATGCTTTGCTCCAAGGGTTGGGCGCCTGTGATGTGTTCACTCCCAGAATTATGATAGTTATTTTAAATCAGTGTGTGTGTGTGTGTGTGTGTGTGTGTGTGTGTGTGTGTGTGTGTGCGTGTGCGTGTGCGTGTGTGCGTGTGTGTTTTCTGTGAGTGAGTTTGACCAAAGCGGTGCAATCATCCTCTTTAACAAATGGTAGCTGGTAGCTTGTAGGTGTGCATTTTCAGCCTGCGGTAGCTGCAGCAACCTGACTTTTCCCTCTTGATGATTATAATCTCAGATCTACTGTAAAATGTGTGTGTCTCTCTGTCTTTCTCTCTGTGCAGTAAGGAGCAGCAGAAGAACCACAAAGGTTGTAAGTCGGTATGGGAGCAGCGCACTAGTGAGTTAAGACGACAGACCCTCGTGAACAGCAGAGAGGCTCTTTATAATGAGTTGGACCCTGAAGACCGTTGGAAGGTGAGAAGTATGAGTTATTTTTGGTAGCACATTCTTTAATGGTTTTGGTTATTTTGCTCACTATAAAGCCATGTTTCCAACTGATATTAAAGGGATAGTGCACACAAAAATAAGATTTACTCAGTATTTACCCACCCTTATTGGTATTAAACCTTTTTGAGTTAATTTCTTAGTCTGAAAGAACACGGCAGACAGGCTGATTATTAAATGTAGATCGCATCAAAGCAGCTCTGAGCTCGTAAATGGTGCTTTATCAAGCATTATTGAAAAGACTAAGTGAAAATGACATTAAAACTACAGTTGTCAACATTTGAAGTGGATTTAAGATTTTTTTTTTCAAAACTGTCCTAAAACAAGAATGGGTGATGTTCAGTAGTTTTAGAACGGCTTTGAAAAAAGGTGATGAACCGCTTCAAATGTTGACTACTGCCAGGGGTCATTATATAAACAGTTTGTGCTATAAACTTTACCTACGCACAAATTCTGTTTCGAAATGGCCAAAAACATGAATTTATTGTTTCATTTAATGAATATTGTCAACTATATTTATTTCTGTTGATTCATGGCTTTTTTATGCAGGTCACTATTCACTTTCATAATGATTGGCTATAGGCTAAAGCAGGGATGCCCAAACTAGGGCCAGAGGGCCAAAGTTGGCCCGTGTTAACCTAGAATGATGGGGTTGTTTCGATGTTTTATTGTTAAAAGCTTTCTGAAATTAAACGAGGGCATCCGCTGTGTAAAACATATGCTAGATAAGTTGGCGGTTCATTTCGCTGCGGCAAACCCTTAATAAAGGGACTAAGCCAAAAAGAAAATGAATGAATGAATGAAATGTTTCAATTTAATGGTGTAAATTAATCAGATTTTGTTTAAATGCACACACTGTCACCCAACAATGCAGAGACTTTGGTGAGCAAATCAAGTCAAAGGCAGATTTCGCTTGACTTAAAAGGATTAAAAGGATTTAATAATAAAAATAATAATAACATATAGAGTGGCCACCATTCACCACATTTTAAGTAAAAATTATTTATTTAATATTTTTAAACAAATATTCTTCTATTCATTGAGCAATTGAGTGATTGGCTTAATGTTTGTCTCATGCTTCCAGGTCTCATACTCCCGTCACATACGTCCCGACATGAAAACTCACCTGGACCGGCCGTTAGTCGTGGACCCTCAGGAGAACCGCAATAACAACACTAACAAAACCCGTCCGGGTGACGGCCAACCTCAGCATTCCCATCAGCTCCTACACAAACAGCCCAACTTCAATGAGGCCGAGACTGGAGGAGGTGGAGGGTCTGAGTCCTGGCCCGCACTGGAAAGAGGAGACTCAACAGGGTCCCGCCGCAGTCTTTTGGGCTCTGAGCACTATGAGGAGGGTAGAGAGTCCCACCGCAGACACCAGCACAGCCAGCACTGCAGTCAGGCCCGTCAACATCGCAAAGCTGCAGAGGGCGGTGGAGAGCCTGGAGGGAGGAGACACAGGAGTAAGGCCAAGGAAAGAGGACCTGAGTGTGAGCATTCAGATGGAGGGGAGCGGAAACACAGACGGCATCGGCATGAGGGTGAGGGGAGGAAAGAGAGAGGGGTACGACACCGAAACAGGAGGTGAGTACCAGACAAATTCATCTCTGGTTGGGCTTTTTACACTTTGTTGTGGCTGGACACGTTTTCTTTTTCTTTTCACTCCAATGATCTGTAAGCCTTTAAAAAAGCTTGAAACAGTTGTGTCAATGGTTCTATTTTCAGTAAATTACAGCAAAGCAGTTTACCTAAGCAGCAAATGCACACACAACTCTTTTCTGTACACAAAAGGCTCATAGTGCATTCATTTACAAAGTTCAGTTTTTGAGCTGTTTGCACACAGCAGTTAAATGATGCTGAAATGCTGATTCATCTGTCTGGATAGTAGATATGAAGTGTTTAATGAGAATGAATGTTAAATACATTTTCAAATCATTCAAAACATCTGAAGTGATGTATTTTTTATAACACCATTCAAAGGTTTAGAGTACAGTACAGTTCTTATTCTATTAAATGTTTTGTTCATCAAAAATCACAACTTTCACAAAAATATTTAGAAGCTTCTGGTGTTTTTAATAATGGTGATAAGAAATTATTTGTAGAGGATTGTGTGACTGACGACTAGGATGATTTTTTAATATCAAAGTCATTTTCCCACCAGCTTTTAACACAAAAAACCCCTACGGTCCAAAGACATGCGGTACAGGTGAATTGGGTAGGCTAAATTGTCCGTAGTGTAAGAGTGTGTGTGTGAATAAATGTTTGTGGCTGGAAGGGCATCCGCTGCATGCTGAATAAGTTGGCGGTTCATTCCGCTGTAGCGACCCCGGATTAATAAAGGGACTGAGCCGACAAGAATTTTTGCTTAGTTTATATAAATTGGAGAAGAAGCACAATCATTTTGAATAATTCACCCAAGAGCTTCTCAAAGAGCATTCTTTCTCTAGGGATGGCCATGCAAGTGGCCCGACTCTCTCTACAACCCGTCCCATTCAGAAGACTCTGTCCAGGCAGGACAGTCAGTACAGCGAAGACCTGGACAATGCCATGAACAACAAACTTGCTACCCAGCCACATGATAGTCTGCTTAATCTGGCCAACACTGCCCACTCTGCCGGCCTGGCACATACTGGTACAGAGAGCAGCCTCATCCTCACCAACCCTTCCTCTACCATTGCAAATGTTACTAGCATCGGTCACCTGGGTATGAAACCTGAGTACACTGCCGTGGACATTCCTCCCATGTTCCCCTCCAGTAATGCCATTCTACAGGGTGAGAGACAGATATCAGGATGATAACTTTTTCAATGGGTGTATCATCTAACATGCTGATTCGTGTTTTTTGATTATATACTTACAGTCAATAAGAATGCCAACACGGAGCCTCTGCCAAAGAAGGAAGACACAAAGGGTGACGATGATGATGATGAGAAAGATGACGGAGGGCCTAAACCCATGCCACCCTACACCTCAATGTTCATTCTGACCACCACCAACCCGTGAGTGTGGTCGCCAATTTGAAAAGAATATAAAAATTAATGAATAACTAAGTAACTTTAAGAACTGTAAAATATTAAATTGCAAACATTTTATGATTTTAATTATTATTCTTTTAGTTGTTTAAAAAAAATGTATTATTAAATCAGAGTAAAAAAGAAATGGAACTTAAAAAAAACATATGTAAGAAATTGAATTGGAAAAAAAACACTTTACAGTGAACATTTGTTAACTATTGATAATGCATCAGCTGACAATCATTTTTGCAGCATTTAATATAAGGGCGTAGATTTGCTCTGGACATTGGTGGGGACATATATCCCTAGAGCGCGTGCATTAAACAGCACAAATTTGCGCTTTTGAAAGCATGAATAAAGTATTTAATAATATAAAATAAACCCTCAATAATACAAATAACTTCCAATCCTGCAAAAGTCAATTTACATGATTGTACTGCAGTCGGGCTTTAAAGAGGTGACAATGTAGAGAAATTTAGAGAGCTTCGTGGCACAATTGACCTGTTTTTCCCAATTATTGTTTGTTATAATCAAAGAGGCCAAAATTAAAATCAAATTTTAATTTAATTGCACAACCTTGGTTAATGGTGAACTTGTGACTTTTTGCACATGTAGGTTACTAAGGGTTGATGAAGCATCATTTTTATTTAGAAGTGAATTAAATTATTAGTAGGGACATTTCAGTAATTGGTGGATATTGGTGGGGACACGTCCCCTCCGTTCACCCTTGATTTATTAATACGTGTTAGCATTGTGAGCTAACAATGTTATTTTCACAAATGTTATTAAAAAGTTGCAATAACAAACATAACTCTAAAGTAAATGTTTTAGATATATCTAAAAATAATTGTGTTGAAGCACCAGTCGCTATTACATGTTACTTTATGCTGCCATCTGATTCTAATAGCGGTTAGTTAACACTATGAATGATATTATAATGTTAGCAGAAAATTGGACTTTAGGAAAAATAAAACAACACTCCGACTTCTTGGCTCTAATCTAATGTATGTAATGACTATCATGCTTCACCTGAAAATGTCTACAAATATGGAAAATCTGTGTAAAATGGGTTGGAAACACTGTTGACTTTGATTTAAAAAAAATTGATTAGACTCCAGGTTTCACGTGATTAATGAGCTTTTTAATATTCTTCTTCGAGTTGATGTGTAAATGTGTTGTTAACAGGCATGTTCTATGATCTTGTGTTTTAGATTTCGGAGATTGTGTCACTATATCGTCACACTGAGATATTTTGAGATGTGTATTCTACTGGTTATTGCTATGAGCAGTATTGCCCTGGCTGCTGAAGACCCTGTCTGGCCTGAATCTCCCCGCAACAATGTGAGAAAATCCAACAGCTCAACATCCACTGCTTTTGTTCCTGCCATCCCATCAACTCCCAATCTATGCTTCCAGTCCATAACATCCGTCTATATTTTCATCCCTCCATCCTTTCATTTATCATTCATTATATCCATCTTTGCATTAGTGGCAGGAATAATTTCATTTCATTTTTTTGCTGACATTTTGTCCCTCTTTTGTGATTACAGGTCCTACGATACTTTGACTATGTGTTCACTGGTGTGTTCACCTTTGAGATGCTCATTAAGGTACACATTTGGCCTACATAGTGGTCTGGAGATTTAACACCTTATTTTTTCTTTATTTGAAGATCTAAGTATTGGTCTCGATGTGATGATGTGTAGCGTTAGAGCATATATTTACTTATCAAGTTCATACAGTTTTAGGGGGTAAAAATTTCTCTTTAATGTTCTGCTTTAAACATTAACTCTACAAAATAAGCCTAAAGAGCTTAACCAATTAATCATGTAAATCATGGAATTGAAATAAAATATCACGATTGGCTAAATTTATACTACGTTTTAAAAGTCTGCAGTTGGTACTTTTTTTGTTGTAAAGAAAATTAAATCAATTTTATTTAGCAAAGATGCCTAAAATTATTGTAAGTGCATTTAAATTCATGCAAGTGTTACAATATTTATTTTAAAATATATATTTTGATTAATTCATATCACATAAAATGTGTCAATTGTGTCATAAAAATGTGTTTACATCATTTATGACAATAATAAGACATGATTCTTAATTTTTTTCATATTGTGTTTGAATAATTTTTTTCAACATTGCCTTTTGCAATGTTTGCTTTGTGTGTTTCAGATGGTAGATTTAGGTCTTGTCCTGCATCAAGGCTCATACTTTCGTGATCTGTGGAACATCCTGGACTTTATAGTGGTTAGTGGTGCCCTGGTGGCGTTCGCCTTCACGTAAGTGTCATCAAGGCCCCAGCCTCACTCCTCGCTCCTCTCCTGCTTGCTGCCTCTCCTTGTCCCTTCCTGTCCTGCTTCCTACAGGTCAAACAGCTCTCTGCCACCCTGGAGCGCCAGCCTGATACCATACAATCTAACTCTTTCTCTCACCATTTCCTTCTCTCGCCATTTCTCTGCCTTTCTCTCTTTCCCATGCGTTTGGCACCTCTTGACCTATTTCCCCTTTTCCTTATCCTTCCCCACATTACAATCCACTTCTCCTTTTGGTGATTTCTCACCACAAGCCCCCTGTCCTGCCCCACCATGCACTATGTTTTGCCCAGTACTTACCCACTGGGTGTGCTTGGGCCCATTTCCATGAGGGTGATGACTCTACCTGGGCACCTGTAACCCTTTAGTGCCCAGGACTCTCTGGAGCATCCAGCCACCCTCACCTCAGGTATTTCTACTCTCCATTTTCTATGCCACAGTCCTTGCTGAATCCAAATATGGGGAAAAAGACAACAAAATGCAAGATGTTGCAAAAAAAAAAAAAAAAAAAAAAGAAACAAGAAAACATTCAAGTGTCCATATAATACACTTTTTTATATTTGTTTAATAATTTTATTTCTAATTAATTAAAACTAGATATAATAGTTTTTTATGACTGTTCTTACTGTCTATAACAGATTCAGACTGCACAATATACATGTCTGTTACAACTGTGTCATAATGTTTAGGACAACAAACATGTCAGTTGCTTCACAACTATTCATCACTTGACTTTAATGGTGAATGTAATTTCATTGAGAAGGAGGAATTAGTGAAGCAAGAGCATAAAACAGCTGTTAACTTTTCCTTCTCACTATATTAGATAAAACGATTGATTCTTGAGTCCTGATGTTGTTTGCAAATCACCACAATACATTGCATTAAACAGATCATACCAAAATCAGACTGATATCATGTCGTCTGAATCTGTCATAAGTTTAGTTTAAGCCAGGGATGATAACGATACTAATATGGACAGTCATTATGGACTACTTAAAAATTTTTGTTTTTAATGGTGCTATATAAATGAAGTTGAACTGAAAACTGCAGCACAGTAATATAGTAAACATCATGCCATGCTCAAGGTATTGCTGTAAACAGTTGTATTTATAGTTATTTTTGTTAGTGTGAGCAACCCTTAAAGCAGATTTAAGCAGGGTTCTGTTTATTGAAAACTTAAATATTGTAATTGTCTTTTTGCATGTGAAATGAGATGCAATGCTTATTTGCAGTTGAATTCTATATTTTGTCTCAAATATCCGAAAACAAGCCATGCAAACAGTTCTGAATGGACCAAATCAGGTACTGTGTTAACAAACTGGCATAAATCAAGCCAGGAACAAAAGGGAAGAGATTTAGGATTGGTAATCAGGATAGCTGACAAGAGACAACAGGAATGATGGCAAGCGGCTGTTCCGGGTTGTGTATCTGATCCCAGCAGATGCATTCAGCTCATCTACAGGTCAGAGAGAGTTATTAATAAGAGGGAGAGGTCAGAAAGGTGCATCTGTTACTATGAAACTGGAAAAAAGTGCATGTGAAGGTCTGTTTTCCAGGCTTAGTAAACAGCATGTGAGCGGATTCTAAGAATCGAAATGTCGGAGAGCCAAGCATGAATGGAAGAAATATGAACTGAAATCAATTGTTTCTCTTCCTAAAATACCAGAATCGGAATGCTTTGAAATGGTAATATTATATGGTCCTGTGTATGTGTACATCCTGAACAACTGTAAATCTGATTGCTGACGTTGTCTTTTCCTTAAGAAAAGTCTACTGGTATATGCAATGCAGTTCTGTACCTACTCGGCCCTTTGGGTGGACATACACATGACTTAATATGATATGTACATGATATGTACCATGACTGGCTGTCAGATTGAAGAACTAATATTAAAAAGGGGCTGCTCACAGAACACTGACGTGACCAAAAAGGCTAAATAAAATGCCAGAAAATAATTTTGCACAGCATGGATGCTTATGCGGAGCCTGATACTGACATTCCCATTCTCAATGAATAGCTTTAAATCAGGCTTGCTGTATTTTTTTTAGATTACGGACTTGTTTTTGTTTCGCTACATATGGAGACTCAGGGGCCATTTATACAACACTGTTTTCAACTAAAAACAGAAAATGTTGAATGTGTTTTAAAAATTAAAACACAACAATGAGGATTTTGAAGGCCTGTAATAGCAACATTTTGAAAACAAAGGAAAACATTTCAGTTTTTAGTACATTGTTGTCATGTAAATGTGCCAATAGTTTTGTATATGGCCTTTTTAGGACTCTAATTTGAGTTATAAGGCATGAAAAAGGCAGAAAGCTTCCTCTAAGAGTTCAATCAAAAAGAAAGAGCTTGTAAACTGCATTGACTATCTTTCTGTGCATGACTTTCTTAAAGAACCTGCCTTGAATTTTTCTGCATCACTGTTCCTTTACCGTTTGACCATCAAACCCACTTCAACACCACTTCCATTTGCACCCACATCTCCAGCACCCGCATGAATAAGTATCTTATTAGGGGATTCATATAGAGGCATTTGGATGTGCCTGCCTTTCCCTTACGAGAGCAATGTACTTCTTGCTGTCATCGTGAGGTTCTCCTGTCATATTTCTCTTCCTCTCTCACTATCACTATCTCTCTCTCTCTTATGGAGCGCTCAGAACGGCAGGCGCTCTGGGGTGACTGGCGCTCCCTGGCTGTGAACAAGGGAACAGTCGCTATATATTTTTGCTATCTGACATGGAGGAGTCTTTAACTGTTTACTCTATTTCAGGGAGTGACATGTTGTATCTGTGTGTATGTATCTCTGCATGTTTATATAGTCTTTTGTCTGCAGGGTGCAAAATTAACACTAACAGAGTCCCATATACAAGATAATTAAAATGAACTGTAACTTTTCTGGAAATCAGAAAAGTATTGAAGGACGAAATTGTGAGAATTTAAAATAAAATAATCAGTCTTGCTCCCCCCTTAAATAGTCAAATATTATAAAGAAAAAAAATATTTTTATTTTTATTTAGTGGTTTTTATTTATATTTTTTAATTATTACATTTAATACATTTTAAATAATAAACTCAAACTTAAAAACAGTAAAATATCATTAAGGAACAATTTTATTTTAATCTACTGACAAAATGTGACTATAAATCAGAGATGCTCAAACTAGGCCCTGTGGGCCAAAGTTGGCCCATGTTAACCCTTGATTTGACCCACCATCCCATGAAGACAGTGAGAATGATGGGTATGGTTTTGAGATTGTCAATTCAAATTTAATGCAACCCTTTGTTTGTTTGTTTGTTGTTTTATTGTTAAAATAAAAATTAAATGCTGTAAATTTATCAGATTTTGTTTAATTGTACATAATGTCACAGCAATGGAGACTTTAGTAAGTAAATCAAGTCAAAGGCAGATTTTGCCTGATTAGTGTATTCAGCAGTGAACTCCACTGTGTTGTAAATTGGATTGTTTATGTTTTTATCGCAATCATTTCTAATTTAAAAAGTTATACTGCATTAATATGAATAAAATAATAATAATAATAATAATAATTAATTCATTCATTTTTCCTATTTATCTTAGTCCCATTATTAATTGAGGGGTCGCCTCATTGGAATGAACCGCCAACTTATCCAGCATGTGTTTTATGCAGCGGATACCCTTTCAGCTGCAACCCATCACTAGAAAACACTCATACACTCCCATTCACACACATACACCACAGACAATTTAGCCTACCTAGTTCACCTATACCACATGTCTTTGAATTTGTGGGGGAAACTGCAAAACCTGCAGGAAACCCACTTGAACACGCAAATTGCAAACTCCACACAGAAATGCCAACTGAACCAGCCGAGTCTCAAACCAGTGACCTTCTTGCTGTGAGGCGATCGTGCAACCCACTGCGCCCCTGTGACACCCAATAAAAATAATAAATAATACTACTAGTAATACAATAATAATAAATACAATTTAAAATAATGTTTTATTTATTCTGGAATATTATGAAATAATTTAGGAAATTGGCAACTTAAATGTAATATAGTTTGGTAAATATTTACCTATGACCCTGAACGGTATTTGTTTTTTTGTCCTTCATAAGAAAACATTTGGGCACCCCTGCTATAAATCATCAATTGGCATTGCAACCTTAATTAATCAAAACCACTATAATCACAATTTTATTTACAATTTCTAACATTTTTAAAGGTCTAAGTGCATTTCCAGGCACAATGCAAAGCAGTCTGGCTGAAAAAGCAAAACCTTAAATTTCCACCCAGCGAACTGTGCCAACAAGTTAATTTTGCACCCTGTTTTTTATGAACGTATTTTCATATTTCAGTGTTTTTAAGTGTTCACACTAGATTAGGTGTCCACATATACACCAAACTAGAAGCTCTGCCATTATTTTGTGATGTGTATTCTCTGTCTCATATTGATGTTTTTCCTGCTTGAAAACCCCATTCTTTCCCTGTGCCTTTTTTCCTGTCTCTGTCTCTGTTTTGTGTCTTTGTATGCGTCTCTGGCTCTGTCTGTCTCTGTCTCCCCGTTTCTGATCATCTCTCAACACCTACAGCGGAGGAGGCGGTGGGGAAGGAGAGGGGTAATGTCTCTTTCTTTCTCCCTTTCCCCTCTGTTTGCTCTTATTGCCTGTCTTTCTCATCACACGCCTGTCCTCTCCTTCTATAGACTGATCTGTCTTGTCCAAATGTCTTTCCAAACGTCCCTCTCACACATAAGACACAAGCCAAGGGCGAAGTCATGTCATTCTTTTAGCTCGCTCTCACAGCTAGTCAACTCTTGGTTCATGGCTACAGTATGTGGACACCTAAATGTGTTAACATACGTGTTTGTGTCTATGTGGTACTTGTGTGTCTCTTTGTTTGTGTCCAACAAGTGTGGTGTGACTGATAAAATGCTGGTAAATATAACTAGATTTATTCCGTGAAATAAGTGGCTTGTTTATTTTGAAGAGGTATAACTTTTTAAATTCCTGTGTCTTTTGGTTGAAAAACAATTCATATGTTAGGATATTTTGATGAGACATTTCAATACAAAATGTCTGCTGCTGTCTTATGTTATCAACTTCATCAATCTTCATTGCTAATACTTAGTCATTTTTAATTGTTGATAGTTTTGGTATTTAGTACAAAGGACAGTTACATTGGTTTTAATTAAAGTTAAGGATGTTTAGTATTACGTTATTTATTAATTTAGTTTGTATACATTTTTTAAATATTTTTTTACATTTATTTTACTTTCACTTTTTAGTCATTTTCAGTTTTCAATCAATTGTAAAATTTCAGCATGTTTTTTTCCTTTCATTTTATTTTATTTTTTATTTATTTTAAATAAAGGTTGACCTCTTAACATAAATTATTTATTTGTTTGTTAGCTTTTGTAATTAAAATGCTTTAAAGTGCATTTTATCAGATGGCTGGACACGTAAGGTGGTTTCATGGAATGACTCGCCTAACATTACAGACTAACACAACTACATCTGGACAGGATAAAAATCAACAGATTAGAGCAATGCGCTTGCAGAGTGATTCTCAGTGGCATATTGAGACATAGTGGAAATGTCTCCAAATTGCAGTGAAACAAGACCAACATGGAATGCATTAGGACCTCTTAGGACTGGACAGGGTCTTTGCCCAGAAAGATAACACCATAATGGGATTACAGACAATCAAACCGCTCACCTCCTAGAAGGGCACTGTCCAATTGAGATGCATATCACCATTTTGATGAACGCAAGATTCAATTAGGCAGTCTATTTATTGCAGCAAAAAGTCAGTTGAGAGAGAGAGAGAGGCTGCAGAACTGCAAAGTTCAGAAAAGCAGATGCCAGTGGTCACTATGCTGAGAATGAAGATTACAAATACATTCACAGGCAGAACTAAAAGAAGTTAATCAGTTGGCTTTTTTAAAGCAATATGAGCTAGATAAAAGTATTTTAAAAATAAATAGTTTTTCTATCTGCAATTTTTGAACTGTTGATAATGTGCAGATAATGCTGTGAGGACATGTATGACAACATTGATTTTGGCATTTTTTTTTTACATAACACCATGTAGATAGCCCAACACTACAAAAGCAGTGCAAAAAAAAAAAACAAAAAAAAAACAATTTAAAGTGTATGTGAGTTATGCTTAGATAGTATTTGTGGTTATTAAACACAGTTGAATGTGCACACATTGAACTGATGTTCTAGTTCATCCACTGTACACATACTCTATAGTGCTAGCATAAAACCCTTAATAATTTTGGTTTAGAATGGTAGAGCCTAATATCTCAGTGTTTGAGGGTGGAAATAAAAAATAGCATCGTAAATGTATGTGTGAAGAACAGATTATCCTTACCTTCATAATCCAAAAAATTCATTCAGGGGTAAAAAAAACAACAACAGCAACAAAAAGTCAGCAATAAATAATTTGAGCATGTGATGAAATGCTGAAGTCTTGATGTAATCAAGTTGTGTGCTATGTCCATCCAGTCAGTGACTCTGGCACTGAAAAATATGCAAATAAGGTCACTAACCCAGGATTTAGGAAGCATCAGTCTGTGGGTACCCCAAGTTAATTGTTAATCTCAGGTGCATTATGAGCAATATGAAACCGAAAGCTAGCTGGATTCAGTTTACCATTGGGTTAACCGTCCCAAGTGTTTGAGTTTGCCAAACAAAACGGCAACTTGATGTGATAAAGCTTAGAATAATCACCGGTGTGTGCTTGTACATTATTATGATGTCAAATGCAACACATTCAATCAGAAATGAGAATCAATGTATCGGTTCATAATAGTTATCATGTGGATCATGTGGAAAATCAATAATATAATTGATTTGCAATTAGAAAACTGGAATATGACGTATTATGACGAACATGATGAACATGCATAATAATAATGCACTGCATTATCAAAAATAGCATGTTTGAGTAACTTAGAGGCACAGACAGTCTTAACTAAGTCCTCTTTAGTGATTGTGTTGATGCAGATCATCTCTGAATGAAGAGAGACGACTAAGACAATGTCTTTCAGGTCATACAGAGATGTTTGTTTAAGGTCTGTGCGCATTTATGCCACACAGTTGCACACGTTTCCAGACTTGAGTCTGCTGGAAGTCTGAACTTTAGTGTTGGACTTGCATTTTAGCACATTTTGTTAGCTTTTTTATTCTATGTATTTATTTTGTGCATGTAGTGATTCATTTGAATCACAGACTCCAGCAGAGCTTCAGGTCTCCATTGCCCTGCAGATGAAGTGCTTATGATCATTTGCCTATGCCATGTGACATACTGTACTATCGTATGACAGTATGAGCTCTAACGCGCTGATCATGAGATCATGATGAAGGAGGAGGCATGGCAACTAACTCTACAGTACAAGCTGTCACCATAACGATGAAGTCACATGCAGAATAACACTGCATGTTTACAGCTATTACATTCAAACAAATTTGTGTGAATGTATGCTATAGTCTCAGCCTCAGACGGCATGCCCACAAACCACCCACAGTCCGTCCTCTAACTGTCTGATGCATATTTAATGGACATTTCAGTAGTCATTTGACATAGGATTTTATCAGTCCACTTAGAAACCAAGTTATGTAAAAATACACAAAATTAAACCTTTTTAAGGAAGACCTATTTTGTATATTGACCACGATTTACCATGATTTGTTTTAGCCAGAACCGTACAGTATATTATATTTGGCTGTAAAGGATCAATATTTAGTATTGGATTTATTATTCACAAATAGCTCCCTGCAAAAACGGCAATTTATTTAGATATTTTTACTTTATAAAGTGGGTTATTTCCTGCTTGATTAATTTATTGCTTAATTGGTTTATTAGCTCATTTTTCCTGTTAGAATTTGTAAAATCATTTTGGTATACACTAGGAATGAAACTAATCAGCTGCAGCAATTTTAATTTATAATACTGTATATGAACATTTAGATAAATGAGAAATGTACAGTAATGCCACTTTAAGGCTTTAGTGGAGAAAGAGTTTCAATTCTATGAAGTATTTCATAGTACATAACTAAATTAAAAATCACTGTAAATGATCACGTAAAAGAACCTATTTATTGAATATTACTTTGTATAAATGCATACATTTTTTCTTTGGTATTTAAGTCACTTTTAATGAGCACACCTCTTGCTTTTTTGTTATTTATCATTTCAAAGCAACTTCTGGAAAATTCCATTAAAACACAGTTGTTTAAGTTTAAATGAAATAATACTGGTAAATTTGCATCTCTTTATATTTATTTTGACAATCTGTAATGTAAGTCTTTCACTTGGGTCATTGCTAAGTACAATAGCAATACAAACCTACAGAATGTTTACTTTGTGCAAGCTGAAGGCTTCAACAAAAGCATAGAACAACTTTAAAGCTTGCTTATATGTCTGTCTTTAAGGGCTTATAAATAATCTCTAAATATCAATTCCCCATGGTGAAAACTTATGTGTTTTTTTTACTTCCATAACCACTGTTTCACTCAGTGGTGATTAAATATATGAATTTAGTTACTTCCAGTCCTAAACATCACAAAAAAACAAAAAGGGACTGTGGGTGGTTCTTGGCCTTAATAAGTTGCAGTGATGATCAGACCTTTTGCTGCAAGTCAAAGGTCTGGCTCTATAATTTGCCTATATGATAAGCTTATACATTGTTAAGAGTTTTGTTGAGTAATGTAAAGGGGTAAGTGAACAAAACCGATGTATGGGTGTGTGGATGTACACAGTAATTCACAAGCTTGCATCCTTGTTTCTCTCTTTATACTGTGTGTGTCTCATATTAATGTATTCCTTTCTTCCCCGTGTCTTTGTGTGTGCGTGTGTGTGTATGTGTGTCTGATTCCTTTCTCATCTCTTCAACTGCTCACACCTTCAGCGGAGGCAGCGGGTAATGTCTCTCTCTCTCTTTCTCTTTCTTTCTCTCTTTATCTCTTTCTTTGTCTGACTTTTATTCTTAATGCTCGTCCTGGCAATTACACAGCTTTCCTCTCTTTCTTTTTTGGATTTGTCTCTGTGTGTCTGCAAGTCCCCCATCTCCTTCTATCGCTCTGTCACTGTTTCTGTGTTAAGCACCCGTGGACGATCATTCAGATAGGGGGTTTGAGAGGTCCCTCACCTCTGCACCCGTCACTCTAACAGCACTTCTCTCTCTGATGGACGCTTGTTTATGCTTGACAGTGTGTAACCACATCTGCTGAGAGGGCAGAATTTGGCACGGCACTGGAAATCTAGAGCAGTGCCCTCTGTCCTTGACACTGAGACAGACCATGAAAAGAAAGGACAGAGAAGACCATAAAGATGCAAATTATATGCATAAATGTTTTATACAGTGAGGCCCAAAATTGTAAAAAAAAATGTAGGATCTTGTTATTTACATTTTGAAATACCCTTACAGAATATAACAGTCACTTCACGTGTTAAATACATACAAAACATGTGGTTTTGGAACATTTTCATGTTAAAGGTGTAGTATGTACGTTTGACACCCAGTGGTTAAACTAGGTATTGCATTTCTGGATCAAAACAAATGCAAACAAAGGTTGCCAGATTGAGGACCAACAGGAACGAGTCTGACAATCAAGCCTAAAGGCTGGTTTAAGCCGTGCTCTAAATAAAAGCAAAAGCATGTGATAGAAGGAATATTTTTCATATTGAAAGGAGTTTTTGTTCTAACCTACACCGAATAGAATATTGAATACTCGAATTGATATATTAAAAACGGCTTCTATTTCTCACAGGTGAACAACAGGATAAACTGATCATCTCAAGTACACCTCATTTGCCATGTTAAATTCTAAGTATTACGAGTTTGAATGCCATTTTAGATTACATTTATTGCCGTACTACTGAGAGCAGCAGCATAGTTTACCTCAGATGTTGAAAATGAAATGAACCGCTTGAAAATGAACTTATAAACCATTTTGTGAGTAAGTGCACCATTCTGTGCTTCTAAATGGCTATATTTAAATTTCTGTCAAATTTCATCTGGTGCAAACAGGCAAATTGCTTCTCACTGCAAATCTCATCATGTAGTGCGTTGTTAGAACATGGGCTTACAATGTAACCTGCTCACCTATTGTTTACGTTCGTAAGATTTATATTATTTGTTAATTAATAACCACCCCATGTGAAACTCTGATCTCATTTTGGAGATTTCTACTGTCCACCGGAAGTTGCATTTCTTCCATGGACGCATGCTTTGAGAGCCTTTCTGGAGGAATGAAATTAGCGATTTTCCATCAAGGCAACCTGAAGTGCTGAATATAATTGGCTAAACTGGCATTGGGTAGGTTAAAAGAACCAAAACAAAGACAGACATTCCGGCACGTAAAGCGCATTTTCAAAGCAGTATCCGACTTTAGCATTGTTTTTCAGATATACAAGAATGGTCACTTTGCATGTTTCTAAAATATCTGCAAATATATTATGGCATTTTAATGCTTTGAAATAGTCAAAAACTTACATACAGCACCTATAAGGGAAAAGGTTACCAGTCAATCAATCTTTTAAGACATTATCATATTTATGAATACAATTTTAGACAACTTTCCTTCCTTAAAAGAAAAGAGTGGTTTGCAATTTATGAACACATCATAATTATTGCTGATTAAACTAAATGTTATTATATTTTAAATAAATATTTTTTAAAGACAGTGGTACAAAGTATAGAAATATAAAATGATAATAAATTAGTATGTTAAGGCTGCACTGTGATACTTAAATAAAGATTTTAGTAGGTGTCTTAAGTAAAGCATGGTACAAATGTATGGTGGTCATTCTTGCTCAGAAAATAAACAGTAAAGGAGACACATTGTAATATATAGAAAAAAACAGCAAAGTTGATTTGAATGTGCTCTTGTCAAATATATAGATTGAAAACAGTCTCAATGCTTTGCCCATAAAACAAAACATTTTTCAAAGGCTGCATTTACACTGCATGGTTCAAGTGACTCAATTCCAATTCTTTTCTACCATGTGACACAGATCGCATATAGCCCATGTATGTGTAAACAGGAAAAAATCACATGGATTTAGATTTACTCAAATCAGATTCAGACTTGGTTCATATGTGGAAATTTATCCAAATGAATCAGGTCCTCATGTCTGCAGTGTAAACAGGTAGATCAGATTTTCACCTGTCAATGCAAGTCACGCATCATTAAAAACTGTAGCAAATGATGTCACTCTGACGATTTCATTTCGCAACAGACTTCAGTAGAGCTTAAACCTAAAATCTCATACACGACTACTAAAAAAGCTTTTATATCATCATGTAGCACAAGTATTTATGCATGTTAAGGAGAGAGAGCGCAACATCCGCCACGTAAATAACCAATATAAATATAAAACTGTTGCATAAATCACATGCATAAATCACGCCATGGATATTACATGAAGATGTCTACTGGTTTAAAAAAGCCTAGATTAAAAAAAGACAGCCAAGTGAGAACTTTTCTGTCATAGACTATAGTAAAACAGCTTGTCAAAAAAAAATAAAAATGAAACCCTGTGAACAGATTAAATACAGTAATGGAGAAAAGAGCCTTTGCCATGTGCTGTGTAAATGCAGACAATCGAAAACAAGTGACTTTTAAAAGATGATGTTAGCTGGTCATCAAAAAAATAAATAAATAAATAAAATTACAAAATCAAAAATCATAATCAAGATCTGAAGTGTAAATGCAGCCAATGTAGTTCCTTAAAAAAAAATAAATAAAAAATACCTTTTGGGCCTCACTGTTGTTTTTTAATGTTAATAAAGTTCATCACGACAAAAAGTACATCAAGAACCATTACCTGTTTGTTTTGCTTTGGTATACAATTCACATAGATTAGTCTTCATTAAACGACTTTGGCATTTACCTTGTTTATCACTAACTGCGCACATCTGCCATCCAACAGCTGTATGCACATCTGGTGGATGGTAGCGCTTGCATATAACAGGAGCAATGTGGTAACGTAGAACAGAAAGTCTTCAGACTGACTATACCTTCAGGGTCACACGGTTCTTCACACTACAGAGCCAGGGCTGATATATAACGGACCAGCTCACTGGAGCGACTGGATGGTGTTTTCTGGTCCTTTTATATGTCTACTATGTGTTTGCCAATGGACAACCCAAAAACAAGAAAGAAAGAGGTTTGGCTGGGCATTCTGCAGCGGGGATGCCTGAGTCTGCTCCGTATGTTTCATGCTGTCGTCCTGGCAATGTGATGAAACCAGCCAGTGTTCCTTGGGAACAAGAGGTACAGTGGTGGTTCCAGCATGGGCTAAGACGGTACAGTGGATATTACATCTGCTGAGCTAGTTTTTAGTACAGCATGAGCCACACCAGCGAACGTGTGTGAGAGTGTGTTTGTGTTGAGGCCGAATGTGTGCAAATGTGTTCCAGTATGTGTCTATCCTGAGCACTGTGAAATGGGCTTGATTGTTCGGCTACAACAGGCTACATTCTCAGTGAGGAGACACAGACCAGATTCCCGATTGCCTGGGAATAACTGTGTGGATGTAGTGGGCATGTTTCATTGTTTTTAACAGTCTGAGCTACTAACTCACCCCTAGACTGTGTGTGCAAAACCAATTGCTCATGTAGCCTAACGTCACTTGCCATTTCACTTTCCAGTTCTGTTTATTGTGTGTGTTTGTGCTAATCTGCAGAGGAAGCAGCAAAGGGAAAGACATCAGTACTATCAAGTCTCTACGTGTGCTTCGAGTACTGCGGCCGCTGAAAACCATCAAACGTCTGCCAAAACTGAAGGTACTTGAATTTCAAGCCAGTTGTGTTTGATTACTGAAAAAATGGGGATGGATATGTTTTGGTTTTGTCTTAACCTGGGGTCTGCGGGGATTATTCACTTAGCTGGATTTGGTTATTTATGATTTGACACAATCTAGCATAGTTTTGTTCTTCAAAATTCATCTGAGAGTTGTTGTCATAGCAACAGGTCTAGTAGCTTAAACCTGCTTGGTAGCAGGCATGTTTTATATAAACGGGATCTGATCATTAGATGTCATTTCAACCAAATGCGATACTAAATATATGTATAAACTGCAGATATTTTCTTACAATAGTAAGCTTTAGGTTACATGTTACAAATTAATAAAAAATATATTTAAAAAAACAAATCAGAAGTTATGAATTGTTAAGAGTTAAGAACTGTTATGTAATCTACACTCCAAAAATAAGTCAAGGGGTGTTCTTTTACAAGGGAGTCAAAAAGATCATTTATTTGTAACCATGTAGGCCTATCTGCTAATTTTAACATACCAATATGGTTATTAGATAAGAACACATATTTTAAAGGTATCAACCCAGCTTATGTGCATTTTCTAAGAGTGTATTATAATAGACATGGACAATAGTTTTTCTCTTTTTATTTATTTATTGGAGTCATGCATGTTTTGCCAGCTAATATGCTGGTGATTTGATGCTTCGCAAAAGTTGCAAACATCTTTCCAATATCAAAATGCTTTTTTGATGCAAATTTAAATAACCAGTTTTGGATTAAGATACTTGAATGCTATCTTTAAAAAAACAACTGCTTTGAAAATAAAATTATTTGCTAAATACTCTTTAAGGAAAGTGCAAAGCCTTTAGCCAACAACAAATGTGTAAAGCTATTGCATGTCATATTTAACAAATCATTTACCACAAGTTTTATGTAATTTTTGCTCAAATGGATCATTAAATATGAATCAAATGATGTCATTACGTTGCAGTGCTGATGTCATCACGCTGCAAGATTTGATAGACTTGTTTTTCATAACAAGCACATGCAGAGATTTCAGATCAATTCTTGAAGAACCAGATTAGTCAAAGATCAGTTATCAAGATTAATAGATCCAGGATCTGCCAAATCATCTTAGACTGTTTAGGCAAGGTACAAAGAACGGACCCCAGTGCTTTTTTCTAGAGTCTATATTTTTTTTTTATTTAGAGTTTGTATTCTGTTTCAGGCTTGATTTAATTTAGTCTCATCTCTTCCTGCTTTGACTATTTTCAGGCTGTCTTTGACTGTGTGGTGAACTCTCTGAAGAATGTGTTGAACATCCTCATCGTCTACATGCTCTTCATGTTCATCTTCGCTGTGGTGGCTGTGCAGCTCTTTAAGGGACGTTTCTTTTACTGCACTGATGAATCCAAAGAGTTTGAGCGCGACTGCAGGTGAGAGAAATTACACAGACATTGACGAACAAATCCATCAGAGCTTTATTCTAAAAGCATTCTGTTGTCAGGGGCGAGTATCTGGTCTATGAAAGAGATAACGAAGTGAGGTCACAGAAGCGGGAATGGAAGAAATACGATTTCCACTACGACAACGTGCTCTGGGCCCTTCTCACCCTCTTCACCGTTTCTACGGGAGAGGGGTGGCCGCAGTATGTATACTTTTCAAGTCCTTACCTAATCTCCAGTCATTCAGATTTTTGTCCTAAATTGCGATTTGAATAAGTTGGAAGTTTTACATGGCTTATTTAAAGATTGGTTATAGTTACAGCTAAAAGCAGGGTGTGTTTTGGGTCTTGAAAGCTTTAAAAAGTCTAAAATTAAAAGGACGGGTTTCACAAACAGGATTTAGCTCATGCCAGGACTATTTGGTATTTAAGCCGCTTTTATGAGAATGACTTAGAAGAAATACTACTGGTGTATATCTTGCAACTACTTTGTGGCACTAATGTTTTTTTTCTTTATGTCACTGGAAGTAATTTTTAGTTAAGACAGCTCATACATGCAATTTAGTCTAGATCTAGACTTTAGCTGGATCTCTAAAACCAGGGAAAATACCAAAATTCAATGAAGTATTGTGTTTTAGGTATTAAATTATTTTAAACAGGTCTTTTTTACTGTCCATTAACACTATAATACTAATATAAATGTCCAAACAGCCCTTGGAAATTAATTTTTGTATTATATTTTGCAGTTCTGTCTTTTGATAGTTCAAATGTAATTTGCTGCCTAATGACTACAAATAAGATATTGTGATATGGGTCCTAAATTTAATTCATAATAATCTTAAAAAATTATTCCTATTCAATTAATTTTTATTAATTTTTTTAAAATTAATTAAATGAATTTAATTCATTTTTTATTGTTATGATCACAGTAATGAAACAAGGTTCCCTCTACAATGAAATTTCAACTATGCCATCCACAGTGAAGTCATACACATAATATACACATCATACTCGTAATATAAATACATACACAGAAGTGACAGAAGTATAACTATGAAATGTGTATATATATATAAATATCTATGAATGTAAACAATATATAATACTGACTGTGGAGTAATGTAAACAGTGTATAGTAGTCTGTTATCTGGTGACGCCAGATAAAGCAAGGACTTAGCCAAAGGAAAGTGAGTGAGTAGTCCTAAAAAGTCTTAAGTTTGACTTGGATGAGCCTGCAGAAACCCTTTAAAAGGGTGTACAGAATCACATCACATCCAATTCCCCAATGTCTGTTATTTTTTGCCACTTTTCAGAGTGCTAAAACATTCAGTAGATGCGACCTACGAGAATCAGGGCCCGAGCCCAGGTTACCGGATGGAAATGTCCATCTTTTACGTGGTGTACTTCGTGGTCTTCCCCTTCTTCTTCGTCAACATCTTCGTGGCTCTTATCATCATTACTTTCCAGGAGCAAGGAGACAAAATGATGGAGGACTATAGCCTGGAAAAGAATGAGGTGAAGGACATATCAGATGCATGTGTTTATAAGCTTAAGACCAATCTCCTTTATTCTCAATGCTTAGATTGATCTCATTTGTATGGTATGGCAGATTTTCAGCTTGATTAAACTGCATTGCCTCTGTTCTGTTTTCAGAGAGCCTGCATAGACTTTGCCATCAACGCTAAGCCGCTCACACGGCACATGCCCCAGAACAAGCAGACCTTTCAGTACCGCATGTGGGAGTTTGTGGTGTCTCCTCCATTTGAATACACCATCATGGCCTTGATCGCGCTCAACACTATTGTCCTTATGATGAAGGTGAAAACGAGCACTGACTAACACCAGCAAATACACAATAGGGTCTTGCATCGATCCTAAAAAACCAAACTAATATCCTGTTTACACTTGTTTTGTTTTTTTTGGATCACAAGTTGCCAAGAAGGACACATTCTTGTTCACTCCTGTGATTAAAAACAAAGCAAAAATTCCCTGAAGAAATGCAGCAGTTCACATATTCTACATGAGTTATGTGAGATTGCTGTATTTAAAAAATCAAAACAGTATCAGTTCTGTTTTTGTGAAAGACAAATTCGTAGAGCAAGATTTAAATCCCTCTATTCTTTAACAAAGCGTCCTATAATAATGTTAAAGAATGAAGTCAGAAGTTGTTTTTTGCGGCTGGCGTATACATCTGGCTGTAAGTTAGGACTGGGAACTGAAATCATTTAAACTATATCATTGTTCACTTGCTAGCACTTAAAAAAAACTTTATTGGTTGTCTGCTATTAAATTTACATCATTAGCAAAATGTTTACCACAATTTGAGACTGGATAATATCGTTTGAATATGTTTTTGTGTTTAGTATGATGGAGCATCGCTTACTTATGAAGATGTGCTAAAATACCTGAACATAGTGTTCACCTCTCTATTCTCCATGGAGTGCATATTGAAGATCATAGCCTTCGGAGCATTGGTGAGTGTGCAGTTTTCTCATCTGTAAATAGTTCTGTACTTGCTTCATTATATTTTGGGGACAAATTTAGAAGCATAATTTCTCTAAAGCTTCTTTGGAGGATGTTCCCACGCTGTATAATTGTATGCAAGTAAAAGTGTCATGTTGCAGTTATTAAAAATTGATATGGGTGTAATTGTAAGTCAAATGAAGAGTTAGTTCTTTCATTCATCAAAAGTGTGTTTGTTTTTTTAACTATAGAACTCCATGTAAAAGCACTCATTTAATATTCATTAATATTCATTACTTTAGGCCATATTTTGTGAGAATAACAGTCTTCCTAATCCCTGATTCAGTATTTCAGATTATGATATCAGCTCAATTTTGGTATGATAACAACAAAGGATTTTGCTGTGATTGGGGTGACCAGCTTTTTCGAATTTCCAGGTTTTCCATTCGGTTTTGGGTGACCTCTTCCCTTAAATTAAAATAATTAATCAAATTTACATAGCCCAGTGCCCCACGTTGTCCCACTGGCACAATACCACACCTGCTATTTCACAACAGAACAGTGGTCCCTAGTGGTAAACCATATGAATCAATTGTTTTGTCATATAGTGTATCACTGTGGGCAACAACCAATGCTTTGTCTGGTGCATTCTAGGTATGGGCCGGTATAAGTTTCTGATGACATGATAACCTTAGATAAAAATATCACGGTTTCACGATATTGTGATTACCCCCCAATATTTTGGAACAGTAAAGCTGTCAGCTGAATAATTAAAATAAACAATTGACTTCTGCTATCTTCAATAGTTTCAAAAGCACATATTTCTTTATAACACATAAAATATATAAAAACTTTACATATACCTTAGGAACGGTATAACAGAAAATTTTTGCAGTTTTAAAACCTTGAGTTTTCCAAGCCGCAGTAAACCTTAAAACCAGTTACCGCCACATACCAAGTGCATTCTCAGACTCCCAGCAGAAAGACTACACCACAACACAAATTTCAACTTTGCCAAAATAAAAGCTAGAGAGATGTAAATTAGCTTTATAGCTAACTCTAGCACAACATGTCATGTTGTACATTGTCCCTGTATAAATAAATTAAATAAATTAAATAAATAAATAGAGGATGGCTTTGGTGCTGCTATGTGGAATCGTGCAATGCCAAGAAAGTTTTTGGAGCTTCTTCAGGATTTTTCGATAACAAAATACAAAAAGCACTGCTTTAATAGCCACTGTTTGCTAATGCTTTTATTTCCGAAAACCTGCCACTAGTTCTACCTTCTTGATGACATAACGCACATTGTTAAAGACAGTTGACTGGATTGGGAAGCAATATGAAGTCTGACATATTTCTTATCAGCAACACAACAAGAATTTATAGAATGGGGGGAAAAGACTTTTAAAATACCAGAGGTCAGAATCAGCATTGCACAAGCAGATTTATGAACAGATCGAGCAGGAGAGAGAAGGATCAAAGAGGTAGTTGTTCTGATAAAGGGTTTCAGACATGGAAGCGCCGAAGACAAAAGAAAAGGTTGTAGTCAGCTTAAAGTTGGAGATAGTGAGCTGGAAGGCATATTAAAGCGATTAAAAGTGGAACATGGACAAAGGAGGAGAGGTTTAGAGCGAGCTGAAGACAACAAGTTTGACGGGTGGTGGATTGAAAGAGAGACAGGCTTAGCACCGGTGTCCTTTTTTCCCATGCAGCTGGTGCACTGAATGACCCTAATGCACTGTTTTTCTGCAGGCACTCACTTGGCAGCTCGCAAAAAGGCGAGCCATGTTCAGCATCTGGGCCACTAGTCTTCTAGGCATGCAGCCTGTTTTTTGTTCGCATAGAGAGGAAAACAGGGGCTAAAAGGGGAAGGCATCACTTCATTAACACCAAAGAGTGAAAATAAATCGTTTGCTCCTTTTTCTGTCTGTGGGTCATTGAGTGTATGTGCCAAACACATTCCTTTTATAGCCAAACTGACAACTGTGTGTTTTTTGTTGTTGTGTTTTTTAACCACAGAACTACTTCAAAGATGCCTGGAACATCTTCGACTGTGTGACTGTACTTGGCAGCATCACTGATATTTTAGTCACAGAGCTGGGGGTAAGTGTGTAGCAGAAGGGCCACCATCTGTGCGTGTTTGTTTGTGTATTCTCTCTGTACGCTTGTGTGTGTTTCCGTATGTGATTGAGAGACTCTGCAGGATCTTCTTTTGCTCACTGAGGTGTAAGGAACTCCTAAAAGTCTTATATAATTGTCCCAGTTGGTGTGTGAGGCGGATCAGTGAGCCACTGGTGCTCAGCAGTGACAGATTTGTCATTTATCCCCAAGCCAGTTCAAACTGACCTACCAGCTGAAAATGTCATTATTAACTATTAATGTGTAGTTAGGATCCAGAAAATGTTGAAATGCTAAATGTTATGGGTGTAACGGTACACAAAATTGGTGGTTTGGTTTTGAATTCACAGCAGGGGAAAAACTTTTATAGAGCAAAATCAATTATAATTATAATTACATTTTTCTTTAACTCTAACTTTAATTACTTTAACTCAGCTAAAGATGTAAACAACTTGCAAAACACGATTAATAACAGAGCTCAAACTATTAAATGTAAAAAAATAAACATTTTACAACATAAATTACTTTAAAAAATGCTATCATATTGCATATTAGGCATTTATTACATTACATGTCTAAAACAAATATATATATATATATATATATAAAAAAAAAAATATATATATATATATATATATATATATATATATATATAACTATTAAAAATTAAGTATTAAAATAAATGTTTTTTCTGTTTTGTTGATGCAGAATAGTAATTGACACATATAATAATTGTTTCATAGTTTGTGTTCATATCAAATTTGTTTCAACAAATATTAAACAATTAAAATAAAAACTCATAGGTTATGTTAAATGAAAAATACATAAGCAGCGAGATGTTAATTCATGTTGATTTTTATGCTGTAACTAGTGGTTATAGTGAAAAGAACGATGGCATTTATTATTGCTCAGCTGCTATACTACATCTAAACTGCATTTATTGTATGAATTTTTAGCTCTTAACTTTAAAATAATAACTAAACAACACATTTCATAATTCTACCTATTCTAGCTTGTATTTTTCTAACACAACCAGAAGCTTTGGATTAGTAGTACTTGATGCGATTGCTGTCTCTTTATGATCAATCACTCCTCATTGTAAACGTGGATGAAAGCGTCTGCTAAATGACTAAAAGTAAAGGTAAATAGTTTGAAAGATAAGCAGTGCGGTATAAAATATCTGTCTAATAAAGTTTTCTTTATGCATCAAATAAAACATTAAAATCTAACCTAAGGTCAGTTATGGGATTATATAATCACTATTGATTTGAAATAATAACAATATATACATATGCAGTTTTATATACGCAGTGTTTAAAATACTATATTTGCTTGAAAGGCGTGTGTATCAAACCAAATGACATACAGTACCAAAGCATTTCAGCAGGAATGTGTTTACCATTGCAAACCATTCATTTATTTACAGGACTGTGCAAAAATATTTGCCCACCATTATATTTGTTGTTGTAGGGTAATCTTTAGACAGCCTGGTGTGCTTCACAACAGTTTACCCAATAGAATGTCCTTGAAGACATTGATGATTAAATTATATACCGACTTTGTTCATTTTGTGAACTTATTTCTCCTTTATTTTGTTTGTAAAGGAAAACATAAATAAGGATGGTTAATAAAACTTTGCACTGAAGGTGGCCTAAGACTTTTTCACAGCACTGTATGTTTTGTTTCCTTGTAATTTTCTTGTATCCACAGCTTGAGCTCACAGTTTATGTGCAGACACTTTATTGACCTCATTAAATCAAAGTTAAAGCTTTGTGATTTTTAGTACAAGTCTGTTAACTGTGAGAAGTTATACCTATACACTAGTGTTAACCTACAGTTATTGTCTTTTTCAGCACATACTGTATATTTAGAAAGTACCGTATTTCAATTCTAATATCGGTGATTCATCCTGCACTACACAGATTTTGTCCAATTAAAGGCTCTGTAGAATGAGAATGTCCTGCGCCCAAATGCAACTAGCAAATCATAGTTCATGGCTGCAATGTAACTAAACTCTGTTGTCTATTTAATAAAAAAGAGAGAGAACTTTGATACACCGTACTGTTAATTTGAAAGTTTTTCAGTGTAGAAAGGAAAAGTGCATTAATCTCGACAAGATATTTAAGAATGGAAAACATATTAGAAAATGTGCTATTTGTTTGTTAAAATATTGCTTGTTTACTAGCTTGATTTTCTGGATATTTGCTTATTTAATTTTTTTTCTTCATTTTTTTTGGATAGTCAGTAGGGTTGAAGTTACGTCACAGTCTGGCAAACCATGATTTACCTTTTGCTATTGCACGTCAGTGTCTGTTGCATTATGGGAAGGGGACATTTACATTCTGGAGAGCTTTTTGTTTCACAAACATTTCATTCATCAATACTTTTATTCTGTTTTCTCAATCAAGAACAGTTAGAAAAGTGTGAGTATTACGTTAATTAATACTGACTCTATTCAGTATGTTTTTAGGATTACAGAAGCTAATTAATGACAAAATGTAATTATTTTAACAGTAATGTAATATGAAATAGCTCATTAACTTATAAAAACAGTGCTGTAGCTGTAATTTTGTTAAAACTATTATAAAAATCTGAAGGATGTTGGATCTGTAGTTACCTACAATACAAATAATATGACACAAAGAAAAATTTAAAAACAATATAAGCTCCACTGGAATATATGAACTGTGAAACAATTTGAAAATGATTATCAATATCACACCAAAGCTCCAGAAATGCAAAACTAATGTAATACCTGCCTATCGCACAGCTTTAGCACTAGAAACGTCACCTGTGTGATAGTTGAGTATTCAATTTTAGGAGCTTTGGTGCACTGACTTCTGTTCATTTTTTAATTTCTTTTGTTTTTGTCTCTTTTGTCGAGCGCCCAGCTTAAGCATTTTGCCAGTGATGTGTGTGCTTCTGTTCTGTTTTTTGCAGTTTTTTTGTTATAATCAACCTTTATTTGGATCCAGAGTTTGTTGTAAGATATGCATAATGATAATTCATTTCTTGTTTCATCTTTTTTTACATGCTTTCTTTAAACTCTTCTTATTGGCGGCTTCGCCCTCTGATGACTCCATCCAATCAAAATGCACTATGAAACTCATGTGTATATCCATGACCTGACCTGAACAATCACAATGGTTGTTTAATCAACCTCCAAAAATACTGCTATAAACCATGCTTCTGCAACATCTACATGTAGATGGTTTGTAATTTTATTTTGGAGTAATGCATCTATTGCATCTGTTTCCCTGTGGCTGATGGTGATGATGATGATAATGATGCATGTGCTCGAGTCATGATGACCTTTCACCCCTGCTTGTCTGATAATGACAAAACGCCTCTCAGCTGAGGTGTAATTGATCCGTAGCACACAGTTTAAACGTTGGTGCTTCTTTGCGGGTTTCCTAAATGCATGTTGCGCAACTTTTTTTGCTGACAGAGAACGCTAGTAATTCTAATGTTTCTTACACTGCATCTTCATACAGTCATACAGACATTAAAAACATCGACACACACTAGAGCTGCGTGATTATGGAGAAATTGAAAATCACTTTTTTTTTTTATTTAAATGTGCCATAGAATGGAAATCTGGATATATCTCGTCAGAACTAAATCATAAAGAGTTCAGTACATGGAAATGGCATACAGTGAGCCTCAAACACTGCTGTTTCCTCATTCTCAGATAAATCCCATGAGTGTAAAATCCACATAAAAAACAGACCAATTGAGACAAAACACAGGCCAGGACTATCCACATAGGATCAATAATGTGCATGCTGTGTCGGATTAGCCACAAAGTTTTCCTTCTTTTGTGAGATTAAAACAATTATATATTTTTACTCAAGAAACAGCCACGCATCTCACCTGTTTACAGCTCATCAGAACGCAAAATGCAGGATATACAGATTAAAAATGTATCTTTGTCGGTCTCTTTTGTCAGATATAATAATTTCATAATAGAGGAGCTCACTCTTATGTGAACGTATGATTATTTTGCATGTGTGTATTACAAATTAAAAAAATTATTGCTGCAGTCTATTTGAAAAAAGTTTGTAGAATTTTATTTTCTTAAAACAAAATTGGTTTGAATGAATCAAAACACATCAAAATGTTTCTTCCTTCATTACTGGATGAATCAACATAAAAAGATTTTTAAACAGTTTTTATATCGCCACCTACTGGTGAAGTTGTGCAGTTGATATAGTTATCATTTGAGGCATAAAGTTGATCCACATTCACTCAGATCTGTAGAAACAACTACAAACGAAAGTACTTGCCCATGCATATAGACTAAATATGCAGTGCACAATGACATTATATGGAGACTGTAACAATTCATTCATTCATTTTCGGCTTAGTCCTTTTATTATTTCGGAGTCGCCACAGCGGAACGAACCGCCAACTTATCCAGCATATGTTTTATGCAGCGGATGCCCTTCAAGCTGCAACCCATCACTGGGAAAAACCCATAGACACATACACTACGGACAGTTTATCTTACCCAATTCTCATCTTTGAACTTGTGGGGAAAACCGGAGAAATCAGAGGAAATCCACGTGAACACGGGGAGAACATGCAAAATACACACAGAAATAGCAACCGACCCAGCTAAGGGCTCGAACCAGCAACCTTCCTGCAGTGAAGCGAAAGTGTTACCCATTGTGCCACTGTAACAATACAATTTTTTAAAAAGTGCTATATTAAACATATTTTCTGAAGTTTGCATTTTCAGGCCCCCAAAATTCAGTGTAACTACCAGCCAAAGTTAATAGGTTTTCCATTACAGTGATAAATAAACACGTTTACGCTTTAATCGATATTATTAAGCAAATTCCACTTATGCGTTTTGTTTATTTTATATCAAGATTGTGATACTTTTACAATGAATCACGCAGCTCTAACACACACAGATTTAGACATACTGAAAACATCTAACTATGTCAGTTATGAAGGTAGAGGTAGAGTTAAACCCACCTTGAACTCATACTCTGTTTTCGTTTTTCTGTATTTCTGTGCTGCTTAAAGGACATAACACAGTCATTTCCTCTCCTAAATCCATTGTACCTTAAATTAAAATGGCCAAAATTGCAGATTTATCAACACCTAACTGAAATATGTCCTTTAACCCAGTATATGTGTTCCTAGTCTTTGCTAGTGCCCTCTGTTGGTCATTGTAAGCTATTAGTGTGGTTGGCATGATTCCACGTGAATCGAAAGATCAGTGCATTTGGTTGACTGAAGCAAGAATTTAGGGTCTGTGCACTCCCTTCCCTGATGAGGATGTTTAGACTCTTTTACAACATTTTATTTTGTTACTATCTTTATGTTTTCTGTATGAGTTGCTGCCTCTTCCCTTTCTATTTTCCCCCTTTTCACTATTGGATATGCTGAGCCTGTTCAGTCTTGCCAGTTTGACTAACATCAATTCCTGTTTTTGTGTATTTGCTTGTTTCTGTCTCATGTTGTTTCTTTTTCTTTTTTGTTTGTTTGTTTTTGTCTACTGCTTCCTTTCTGGTCCTGTAGAACAACTTCATAAATCTGAGTTTTCTAAGGCTCTTCAGAGCTGCTCGTCTCATTAAGTTGCTCAGGCAGGGTGAAACCATACGCATCCTGCTCTGGACTTTTGTCCAGTCTTTCAAGGTAAAGTTGCTCACATACACAAATTTTTAAGTATTTTGTAAATATCATTTATATTACAGATGCAAAGGAAAAATGTCCATTGTGATTATTGTGATTCTGTTGATAAGAATATGGCAAAACATTTATAAATAGCAAAAAAATAAAATAAAATAAATAAATAAATAAAGCAACATAATTCTAGAGAGAATATAATTCATTTAAAATATAATTCATTAAAAATTTCATTTCTATTGAATAATCAATTGACCTACTTGTCAATTTGCTTTTGAGTACAAAACATTTTAAACATTGTTTAATTTGTAAATTACATCATTATTTAACTTTTATTTAACTATAATAATAACAACTAGGGCTGGGCGATTTGGTCTAAAATCAAAATCTCGATTAACTGAACATCTTATTTATATATATCGTACAGTTAAACACTCGATTATAAATAATGATTATTTTATTTATTTATTTTTGTCCTTATAGTTAAATGATAAGTTTTAAATGGAGCATTACTTGATTTTAAGACAATTGAAGGAAACACACACTAATATCTATGATCATTTATTGAACATCAACGCTGAGCAACTGAAATTAAAACACACATTGCCTAAAACCAACAGTCACTTTTTTTCTCAAAAAAAAAAAGTGAAAATGAATAACTTTTGGATGCTAAATAAATAAATAACTATTTATAAAAAAAAAAAAATTCAGTATTTTATATTAAAGGTAAAAATAAGCAGCATTTCTTCTAAAGAAAATACCTTGCATATCCTGTAAATATTTTAAACAGTGAATTTTTTGCATCTTCTGTAAACAAATATTTTAATGTAAATAATAATTTCATTGTAATGGATGATATGCTGTCTCAAGGCGTCTCTGGCGCAGGTGTAGTGCAAAATAAGGCTCAAGAATGGGTCCATCGTCCTACTTGACCAGGGATCTGATGTGGTTGCAAATTGGCCTAAGCCAAAAGCCACAGCCTTTAACAGAGCTGGCTCATGTCACACATAGGGAAAGTAATTGAAAAAATCATCCTGTTCTGAAATGTCGATATCAATTGCTTTTTTGATTAATTGCCCAGCCCTAATAACAACCGGAATTATATAAATAACAATAATAAACTAAAGCATTACAAATTCATAGTGTTGTTTACTGTTGATACAGTTTTACTATGCAGAAGTTTAAATATTTCACTTAAATATAAAATAACTGTCATTTTCATGAAAGGTTAGACAATATAGCAAAGAAAACTATGTAAAAATGAACACACACATGCACATGTTCACATTTTGACAATGCTAGTCAAATTTAATCAGCTTGTCAAACTGATAGTGACAGATTTTCACATGCGGTACATGTTGGCTCATTTTGATTGATCTGCTGTGCTCAGGCTCTGCCGTATGTGTGCCTACTCATCGCCATGCTGTTCTTCATCTACGCCATCATTGGCATGCAGGTGGGTGTGTGTGAGACAGAGTGTGGAATGCACAACTGGACTCACTGAGAATAGCCAAACAACTATTTTTTAAGGTTAGTGACCTATGCAATATGTTTTTGATTCTCACAGCTGTTTGGGAACATTAAGATCGAGGAGAACAGTGACAGTGCCATTACCCAGCACAACAACTTCAGGACTTTTTTCCAGGCCCTAATGCTGCTCTTTAGGTTTGTGTGTGCATCACATACTGACTACTGTGTGTGGACCATGTATTCTTTCTAACCATAGTTGACCTCTGTGTTTGCAGGAGTGCTACAGGTGAGGCATGGCATGACATCATGCTGTCATGTCTGGGAAAGAAGCCGTGTGATATTCTCTCTGATAACCCGAAGCCAGAATGCGGGAGCGAGTTTGCCTACCTCTACTTTGTCTCCTTCATCTTCCTCTGTTCATTTCTGGTGAGTACAAGAGCTCTGCCATAATGGACATGGGCGCCATTTTTTGTCACCACAGCTTGTTGCTATGGCTAATTTTGCTCCTGCTAATAGAAAATGAAATGATTTACATTTTGTTGAGCAGAAGTTTTCATTTCATTAGTGGGTATTATAATATAATGATAGCGGGCCTTGCTCTGTAATTTATTATTTTAATGGTTGCTCCATTTGTCATTCATGATGAATAGCGACTCTGATAATGTGGCATGTTTTGCAAATCTCCAACCAAATTGAAAAGTTATGTGTTTCCTTTAAGCTGAGCTCACACTACAGGAGGTTCATCCTAAAAGGTTTTTTAATTTGATTGCATCATGCCCATAAGGAGAATCTTTTCTTCTCTCAGATCTCAAACACGCACACACTACAAGATCTACAAAAGCGTAGCACATCACATGCTTCAATATATTATGATGCTAGGGAGAGCAATACACATGGTTTGACTTAACAGATTATCCCTAATGTTTAGCTAGCTAATTTGATGGGTAGTACACAATTTTTTACACTCAAACAGGTTCAAAAGCGAGATGATTTCTGCACAGCACTTCTGTCCATCTGGTTGATTGGTACATTTTCAACAAGTTATACAGATCTTCCACAAGCAGTTGCTCTATCTCTGCTGTCCAACAAATCTGTATAACAGCTTGTTTCACAGTCACACATTGGCAATTGTGGGGATAGAGAAGTAATATTAAAATAAAAATTCCTCACAGAATGTAAATTCACAAAACTGCCTGAGGTCTTGGACAAAACTTTTTCACTGTCATTAGGCGCACCCCATGCATCTAGAGAAGGCCGTTGTGAGTTTTTCTATTTCTGTGTTCTGTCTGTGCTGCTCTGACAGTAACACTTCCAAAACTCTAGTAGGCAATTGGGGTTTTTTTGTTCCAACTTGTCAAGTTTCTTTACTGATGTTTTGGGTTTTCCCCAGAAATGCGAAAAGTAGCTTAAACTCACATTCATTCAAGGATCACATTATAAGTAAACACCCAACCTTTTCATCCATCTGGAGTTCCTCTGTAGCACACAACACTAGTTAAACATTCCGGCCACCAGCCTCACTCCCCTCCCACGGCGTTTAGTCTCGCCCACACTCATCAGCTTTTGGGGTGAGCTAGGATAGGAATAGCATGAGTAGCATGAGTAAAACTCAACTCATCAGATTTGTCTGCTCAAGCCTTTAATTTACTTGTGTGCAGATGCTGAATCTGTTCGTGGCTGTGATCATGGATAATTTTGAATACCTGACGCGTGACTCCTCTATCCTGGGACCCCATCACCTGGACGAGTATGTGAGGATCTGGGCAGAATATGATCCTGCTGCTTGGTGAGTCTATGTGCACACAAGCACACACACACAAACACTACATTATATTTTTTTATTAATAGCGTATATTGTGTATATTACATACTAATGCTGAAAAGAACTAGTTACTTAAAGTAACACAAGCTACTAAATTCATCAATACACTCCTGGCATGTATATATAACTTTAGTTTGTCAATAACATGTTTCTTGGTAATTAACAGATCGTGCTCATGATGTCTTTTTAAATTCATGTTTAAAATATGATATTTTAAATCGTTTGGATGTAACAGACTCACATTGTGAATTTCATTGACCCTTAAATTTACTGAACACACTCTTTTTAGGAGGCCTTTTTAAGAAAGTATTTTGTGTATGAAAAGCCAGTGTGGTTTAGATGTGTCTAACACATCGAGCCTCTGTCCTGTATAGCACAGAACACATTGACCTTCTTTTATGTGTTCGACTGGAACAATTCATTTTTGACATCGGTACAGAGCCGTGGCCTCTGGCACAGTCTTCATCTTACAGAGCCTGGCTTCATTGTATCCTAACTTGGACCAAACAGAGGGGAGAATACCATAGTACCAGCTGAGAAAAAGGGATCATGGATTTGAGCTTTTCAGCTCTGTTAAAATCCATCTATCCCCCCCAAACCCTTCTACGTGCCCTTATGTGAGTCCCAGTCCTCCCACTCTGGAATACTGCATACTGCAAGCCAAACTTACTGTGCCAGCCCCTTTCCTTCTACTGAACACGCTAAGTTTCCCGGTATCTGCATTCCAGTGCCTGTCACCCTAATGTTGTGTGTTAGACAATAATGTAAGCAGGCAACCGAGAGTTGATCAAATATTTAGAGAAGGACTGAATCTTAACATGCAAGAAGGATTAAAGTCTTTTTACAGAGGCACATTATGCTGAAAAGATTGTGGAGAGCGAGAGTCTTCATTCTGAGAGGCAGAATCAATCTGAATTAACAATAAAGAAGAAAAGGAAGTTGAAAAGTAGTGAAGAAAAAATTAGTTAGAAAGTTTGGAAATTTTAATTAAAAAGAAAGAATGGATTGAATGGAAAGAGAAAAGAATAAAGAAAAAAGGAGGGGGACAGAGTTAATGGAAAGAAAAGTACATCGAAAAGATATAAATAAAAGTCAATGCAAATGAAAAAAAATTTAAAGAAAGTAAAAAAAACTATGTAATTTCACAGGAAAAAGAGAAAGGGAGAGAGATGGAAATTCTAAGAGAATAGATGGTAAAAGAATGGGTAAGATTAACGACTAAAGAAACCACAAGCAAGAAAAATAAAAGAAACAAATGGCAAATAGAAAACACAAAGGAATAATGAAAAAATAAACTAAAGAAAGCAAAGTTATAAAAACAAATGGTCTATAATGAGAATCAAATTAACATAGAAGAAGGGAAAGTGATATAGAGACAAAACAGGATGAAAAGGAAGTCGAAGAAATAAATGAATAAGTAAAAGAAAATAATTTAAAAGGCAAGATGATTGAATGAAAAGAGGAAGGAGAGAAGGATGTATAATAATGAGAATGAAAAGAAAAGAAAATGTTAGGTAAAAGAAATAAAGAGAAATTCAGGATGAACAGAAAGCAAGGGAACAATAAATGAACAAAGCATTGGTGAGAATGGAATGAAAGTGTGTGAGAAGAAAAAGTAAAAAAAAAAAAAAAAGAAAAAAAAGAAAAAAAGCAAAGTCCGAAAATAGAAATGATGAAAATGTAAAGGACAATAAGAAGGCCAAAAAACAAGATATGAGGTAGAGACAGGTGGAGTTTTGACAACACAAATGGGTGACGAGCAAATAAGAAAATGTGTGTTTGTGTGATTCTGTGCTTCTCTTCCTGTTCTTGTGCTCTTCTTCCTGCCAATGTCTCTGTTTTGAGTTGTGTTCTCTAACTTCCCTGTATTCTTCTTACAGCGGGCGCATTCATTATAAGGATATGTACAGTTTATTGCGAGTTATCGACCCCCCTCTGGGCTTAGGCAAGAAATGTCCTCATAGGGTGGCCTGCAAGGTTTGACTTCCACTTAAAAACTAATATTACCTGCTAGCATCGAGAATGCAATGAATGTCGCTTACCTCTTCTTCTTTTTCTTTTCAACAATGTTTTTGTACTCTCACCATTTCTACTTGCATTCTACTTGATATGACAATGAGAATGTGCAGGACAATGCCGACACTTACAGAAGCATGACGTATGTGTGAAACAAACGAATGAGAAAACAACTAAAGTGAAAGACAAACAAACAAACAAACAAAAGAAAGAAAGAAAGAAAGAAACAAATCAGCCATCTTTGATTTTTGTTTTGCTTGCTCTTGAGGCACGGCTAGGTCTAACTGGTATGGTAGCGTGCATTGTTCTGGGTGGAGGGGGACAGAAACTGCATTGACACAAAACTTCATTACAACGCCCTGCCAGCAGCGGGACTTTGTGCCTGTTCTGAAGCCCCCCTGCTCTTCTATGCAACTTGCCCCTTTGCATAGAATGCCGTTTTAGCACTCAGACGTTGAGCACCCCCTCCCACTTCCCCCTCCCGTTACCCACAAATAAATCAATCAATCATCAGGCTTATGGCAGCCTAGTTTACCAAACCACTCCTTTCGTCCAGGCCAATAACCTTCTTTTTGTTGTGTTCTCCTCCCCTCCCTCATCCCTGACCCGAACCCTTCTTTTTGATTTACTCCTTTTCTTCTTCTCTTTCTCTCTCTTTCCCATGCACATTTCCTTTGGTTTTTTGTTTTGTTTCGGTTGCCCAGTGGCAGAATCAGTTACAGGGATATGTATGAGATGCTCAGGCACATGTCTCCTCCGTTAGGCCTGGGGAAGAAGTGCCCTGCACGGGTTGCCTACAAGGTATAGGGCCTCCGAGCGGCCAGCGCTGTGTCTGTACTGTTGGTGTTTTCTCTTTTTTATTTTCTCTCCTTCTTTTCCTCCTTCGTTGTCTGACGGAGGCCGCTATTGTGATTCTGGTGGCAGGGTCGGGATCGAGGGTTTTACACTCAGGCGGGACTATCCACAGGGAAGCGGGAACGGACAAACCTTCTAAGCACTTTTGCACCGTATGAACACACAAACACTAGCACACATGTACAGAGGATGACATGTAAATGTCTCAGATTTGTTGTTACAAACTATATTGTTATCGATACATTAAAGCAAAAAGCTCAAGCTTTAATGTTCACCTAATGTTCACAATGTACAGATCTGAGATACAGTAAGGTAATAAGCACAAATGTTGTGTCCCAGATGATGCATTATACAATTATGCACTTATACTATGTACTCTACTAGTTCTGTTTTGTTTTTGACATCCATCATCAGAGGAAATCTACAATAGTTGAGTCTGTAAAGTAGGGCCTGAGGCCATTTCCAACCCTCCCTCTTACTCCTTTTGGCCCACCAGAACATATATATTTGAATACCTATCATCGTTGTGCAGTCACATATAGCCACTCGTGGTTTTGACCATCCACCTACTGGACATTTAAAGTATTGTGCTATATATCCGGGTTACTTTCGGTTTCTCTCAGCATGCGGTAGAGAGTAACGCACATGCAGATTATTTCTGGGGCTGGTTTAAACGTTGAAATATATGTCTGCAAGTTCTCTATTTTTACTTAAGCTCTATTTTTGTAATTATTCAAGGGTCACTTGATTATAATTAATTTATGATCATTTTGCTAATATTCGATTTAAATGGTCCCATTTAATAGATTTTCTTCACGCATATTGAGATTTGTATAAAAAAATGTGCATTAGTAAGGGTTTTCTGCTGGCTGAATTGAACATGTTAAAATAAATGTAAATATATACATGATTCTTCCGCTCTTTGTTGTAGTTTTACAAACCATAAAGAAATTGAGAAGAACAATTGCCAGTAAAGTCACTTAAGTTACCCAATCTGCTTTTTGCTGTCTTACACTACCTGGCAAACTTTGGTTAAGCAACATGATAATTATTATGCCTATTATTAAATTGTAGAATTTTCAAAGCCATTTAAACTACCCCTTCAATATGTACAATAATGTGAAAACACTACTCGCACCGTCTGTGCGAAACAATTACCATAGAATAGTGCATAAGTATGCAAAATGGGATACACCTAAGCACATACACATGCCTACTGCACATACACATCATCGTGCACACACACACACATGCGCTCAAAAACACCCCCAAATGTGCGTGTGCAGCAGTGGTTGGAAGGCCTGCAGGACTTTAGTCCTCCGCGTCCCTCAGCTCTGTGGATGACGCTCTCTTAGGAACCCTTTCCTCATGGGACCAGCTCTCTGTCTCTCTCTTTTTTGATATGCACACACTCAGACATATGCAACAACACACATTCTTGGGTAGCATTAAGGCGCTACGATGGATTCAAAAAAACTCTTTTGCACAAATAATCCTTTTCCCACTTCTCTTTCTTCTGTCAATGCAGTTCTAATCTGTTTCCAGCCCCTCCTCTTTACATTCTGCCAGTCATCTGCATGCTTTGCCTTTCAGGCCACTTGCCCCTCTCACAAGATATTCCTTAGGTTTTTCTCTTTTCTCTGTCTGTCTGCAATCGTACACTGACATTTCACCTGCTGGTCAGTGTACGACAACTCCAAATTGCAGGAAAGGAGATCTCTGCCGCTAGTGTGCCCTCAACAAGTTTAGGATCTCCTTTCTCTTACCTTTGCTCGTCCCATCCTTCATTTTCTCTGTCCCATTTGAACTTCCATTCCATTGTCAATTAAACAATTCTCCTCCAAAGCCTGTTCAATGATCTCCACCAACATATACTTGTGGTGGCAGTGTATTCATTCAGACAGGTCACTTCCTGTTTAATAGGGGTGTCTGTGCCCCCCTAGCCTCAGTGGAATGAAAAAGAGTGATCAAGACCATTGCATTCACCCTCTTTCTCCCTGTCAAATATTAGGGCCCATAATAGAGGATCGTCTGTAGAGAATGTGACCAGCCTGTGGTAGAGCTTTCTTTTCTTCCGCCTTCTCTAGCTTTATCTTATGCTTCATTATTCTTCACCCTCGGATTTCATGTAGCATTTGAGCTCCCTTTAAATTTGGTGTCACTGTCTCTTGTCCTGTCTCTTCCATTACTACCATCTCCACCATCCAAACTCCTTGTGTAAAAGCTGTCAGTCTTAAACCAACTTCCTGCTCCGGTACTCCTCTCTGGCAGCCCACTGCTTTTCTCTTTATCATCTGTAGCATTAAAGTATTACCTTTGCGCAGCAGGTAGCTAAATCCTCACTCTTAGCTCATCCTCTTCACAACAACAACTCACAAAGCCATTTCCTTTTTTGTTCTTTTTTTGTTTTTCCTCTGGAGAATGCTGCTCTAACCTAAACCAATAGCCTGCACCCATCTTTTTTGCATTGAGAGACCAGAGAATCTGGATCGAGCTCTTGTTTTATCCAGTAGCCCATCTATGATTGAGTCTCAATGACAGTAACCACTACTAAACCTAAATGAATGAGCTGAAATGAACCTACTAGATGATGCTTTCAGTGTTGGCTGCTCTGTTGCTTGTACTGTGATGCATGTGACTGCATGATGCATGCTGGGAAAGAGGGTAGGAGGGGTGGAGGGTGAGTGTTTCTTGGATGGAGTGGGACGGGAAGACTTTGGGTTACCTTCGATGATTGCATAGCAGAGGGTATCATGGTAACGGAAGTATTGAGGTAACATTTAACCCTGCGCAATGCAATTATGAATTTCTGTGTTTGACTTTAATTGTGCCCCAGACCAGCACAGGATGAATTGTACTTTAAAACAGTGGCATTTGCATAACAGTGTTTTAATTTATTACTTCATCCACTGGTCTGAGTTTAATATGTGAACCTCCTCCTGGAAAAGCTCTTTGACTGATAGCTCATAATAAAAGATACAAATTTAATTTGTAGAATTTGCAGCTTCACTTTTACAGACATTTAGATGAGTGGTTCTTGACTGGTTTTGCTCCAGGACTTTGCGTCAAAAGGCGTCTAATTATTTTGTTATTATTTTTAAACCAGTAATTTACGAATGAAATGCATTTTTATTGATTTTTGCTTTTATTCACGGATATTTAGAGTGAGCTCTCATCATGCAACCTGATGATGTTGGCATCTTGCTAATTTGGGAGAAATCCACCAAATTGCAAATGATTTAAGAGAGCCCATAATGTCAGCAATAAAATATATGTGAATCATTTCCACCTCAAATTTAAAAGTTGTGATCAACCAGTCGTTAAACACTAATCTAGACTCCATATAGACAATCAAAATCTTACAAACCACAATCAATCTTCTACTTTGCAATGATTACCAAACTAAGGCAGTTGTAAATGACATCTGAATGTGAAAGGTCACAGAGCTAACCCTGAGAATCCCTCCTTCCTTTCCCCTCCCATTCCCTCTTACACACCAAAAGCACTCTTTACCCGGAGGTTCTAAACACACAGATCTCTGTTGCTCTGCTCTTCTGACTGGCCCTGATTGGCTCTCCACAGAGACTGTTGCGGATGGATCTGCCGGTTGCCGATGACAACACAGTGCACTTTAATTCTACCCTTATGGCCTTAATCCGAACCGCTCTGGACATCAAGATCGCCAAGGGTGGGGAAGGTTTGACACCCCTTTCTTATTCCTTCCTTCATTCATTCCTCTCTGTGTTTTGACTTTTATTATATAACTTTTCCTCTGTTTGAGCCTTAGTATCTGAACAGTTGATGCATTTGTCTCGAGCTGAATAAGTACAGTGGGGTTTAAAGGTCTGAGAATTTAAAAAAGAGGATATTGGAGCATAATGGAACTTTGGAACCCCATTGGACATTATGACTTCCTATCATGAAGTCCAAAGTATACATTTTTCAAAAGTATATAATAAAAAACACACACCACCTTTTTAAATATACTATGGGAAAAATTAAGAGAATCCGTAGTTTCTCTAAATGAATGATTTCTAGATATTTGTTTGAGTAAAACTTCTTTTGCAAACTATTAATAGTATTCTAAATTTAAAGTAAAAATGTTATCAAGTGCATTTTATTTTGCCATTAAATAACAAAACAGTTGCCATGTTTCAAACGTGTTTATATACCACTTTTTAGACAATATATGTTATGTATTCATTTTAAGACAGCACAATAAAATAAATGCTTTAGAACAAATCATTATTTCTTTTTCGACTGTGAATCAATGGGCTGGCCCATTGTTGACTCCATGTGGACAATTTAAGTTAAAAAACAATTCAAAGTAATTTATATTTTAAAATTCAGGTGGTGCATGTACTAATCTGATCTTAAAATTAGCATCTTACTCCCTGTTCACAGACACAGTGTAAAAATTAAATGAGTAAAACTCTGCACTTCTACATTAGTCTGAAAGCTAAATGGTTCAAATTTTAACACAATTTGTGTGTGTGTGTTTTGTGGAACTATGTTTGCATATATGTGCGTACGTGTACCTGTTGCCATGTAAATAGGAGGTGTAGATAAGCACCAGATGGATGCTGAATTAAGGAAGGAGATGATGGCGATATGGCCTAATCTCTCTCAGAAGAACCTGGACCTGCTGGTGACTCCTCACAAGTGTAAGTTACCCATGAGGTTGGTGTATCCACAGCGTTTCTCTTTTACCACCCAAGGACAGCTTCTCTCAGCCAGCCCACTCACTGCTCCGCACCCCCTGATGGTCCAGGCCTGCGCCCCTAGATTAGAGTATTTTTACAATGTTAAAGATTTATACAAAGCACATTTTAACTACAAACTGGTTATAAACTCCAGATTCAAACATAGTCATTGTACAATAGCCAAGGACTCACAAATCAAGTAGAAATTTAAATAATTAGGAAAGTTTTCATGAAAGTAAACAATAAATAGGTGCAGAGACTGAAAAAAATATCCAGCTAGCAAACAAACAAACAACAACAACAACAACAACAACAACAACAAAAATCTGTAGAAACAACATAAAAGGCATAAAAATAATATTTGATTAATGTTAGTTGCAGTTTGCTTAGGGCAAATGGATTAATAAATGCAAGGCCTGTACATGCAAATGAACCAAGACAGCTGTTATATCCAGTAAACTTTAGTTCTTTCATGAACTGCTAAAGGTGTAGTCTTTCAGAATAAAAGATGTTTAACACAAGCAGATTAGAAGGAATTGTCTTTGTCCTGTGTTAGCATTTTTCCATATTAAGTGCGATTAAAAATATCATGTACTCATTTAACCTGAAGTTTTGTTTTTTTAAATACATTCTCACACAAATGGTGGAATTTATCTATAGTTTTTTTTTTTCATTGAAAGTGGTTGACGCTGTTTCGTAGCATTCTTTTTTTCCTCAGATAACAGGCCAAAGACCATTTTTCCACCTTACACACAGATTAATTAGTCCAAAAAAAAAAAAATCAAGATGTTAATGCAAACTGACCAAACTAACAGTGAATTAATTTGTACAACATAAGTACGCATACCCTATTATACATGTAAAGACAGTGCAGTAAAAAGATTAACTTTAGCCCGTTTAGCTTCTTTTTTGCTGCGTTGAAAAAAGTAACCGCAGCTGCTGTACACACGGAAAATGTAAACAAAGATTAATTATTTAAATGTAATCTGTGTTCAAGTACAACAAAGAATAATAAAAAAAACATCCTAGTTCATTTTGCCTGAGATCAGGGGGTGCCTTACTATAGATCATCCCTCTATAGATGTCTTTTCACTACAGGGGTTATGGGATTCCTGAAAAGGTGTATGTAAAAGAGTTTTATTAAAAATATTTTGTTGCACCACTGATATGCTACCAATGAGATGTATGTAGTTTGCTGGTAAGACATGCTATAAACAGCTTAAAAGCTAACTATTTTATGGAACTTGCTTAAACCTAGCTAGCTTAATGCTAGCTAGATTGTTGACGAAGCATGAGACATTGAGGTGCCATTGCTGTCGTATGAGGCAAAAAGCTTAATGCTAGTAATATGGAAGTATATTCCTGATGAGTTTGCAGCAAGCATGTAATATTTTAGATCTGTATTGTTTGATGCTAATTTTATCTTCATTGTTCTATGCAGATCCGATACAGAGGTGGTGACCATGGTTTTAAGCACCACTAAGCATGGCATGTAAAACTAGTCTGAAGTTACTTTTAGTAACTTCTACATGTGAACTCGGTTCCATGAAGCGGCACAGGCCGTTTTTTGGGAAACCGTTTCACTTTGTTGACTGTATCTAGGAATAATGCTGTAGTTTGCTGAGAGTTCTTGCAGTGCTTTGACACCTAAAACAGCATAAATATGTAAGAATATTTAAAGTACTGGTTATGAAAATTACCTGCTTAAAACGCTCAAAAGATTTAATCAGTCTGCTTGTGAAAAGACCATTGGCTCTGTGTGTGTCAATTTGACACTGTTTGTGCATGTGGATTTGTGCGTTTTTCGTGTGCATGACCCGTCCTCACTCCCATCCCCCTTGCTCAGGGTCCATCTCATGTTGTCTAATCGTGCAGGGTAACTTGTCCTTTTCTCAGCAGCGACAGACCTGACAGTAGGAAAGATCTACGCTGCCATGATGATCATGGAGTATTATCGGCAAAGTAAAGCCAAACGGACACAAGCTCTCCATGATGAGCAGGTATGCTGTTTTCCCTCTCACCTTGCTATCACAAGATCACTCCACAATGAGCTGTGACAAGCAAATCTCAGTTTGCATGAAAGCATAACTATGCTTTTATATTGAATCAGTTGCATGCCTGTGGATGGAAAAATCGATTATTTAATGTCAAACATTTGAAGAAAGTAAAGGTAGTGTTCCATTAAGATATTTTTGCTATTGTCCTACCGTAAATTTATCAAAATGTAATGTTAATCAGTGATGTCCATTGCTATGAGCTTTATTTAGACAACATTATACAGTATAAACAGTATTTAGCTTTTTTTAAGCCCTCAGATTCCAGGTTTTCAAATACCAAATATTGCCTTGTCCTAACAAACCATACATCAATAGAATAATTATTTATTCAGCTATCAGGTGATGTATACATCTCAATTACAAATATAGACACTTGTGACTTTTTTATTGTCCATAGGCACATATGAACACACTTATTAAGTCTATATCCACACCAAAACAATTGGTTTGGCATCAGCTGGTCTTGGCCAGATTGACAACAAACTTTAGAGTGGTTTGGTTGAGGTTAGAAAGCAATCCTACCCTAATTGTACTAATTTACATTTTCCATATAATTTATCATTTCATTGTATAATTTAGTAGATGACATCTTTGTCATGGCTGCTACAGATAAAGTCACAAAAAGCCTGCAGAACCAACTGTTTGAACTGCGCGGAACCTAATAGGTGCAGGCTGACTAGTGGAAGGAGAGCTTTCCTCACATGAGGCAGTTCAGTGTGATTTGAAATTTGAAAGCAAACTGAACTTAAATGAAATATTGTAATTTGTAACCAATAAAGACCCTGTTTTGGAATCAACAAGTGATCTACATGCTTGAAATCACCCTCAGTGAGTAAAAATAAGTAAAATATGCTGGGATCCCACTGCTTGTCACAGTTCATGTGTAGAATTTGAGAATAAGGTGTTCCTCCATATCAAATATGACAATGTACCTTTACTTTCTCATTTAGCGAGTAAGCAAAAATGTTTTTTGATTGTAGTCCTATAGTACATTTACATGCTTAACATTATACTTTTTATTATAATATATTTAAATATTAATCACAAATGTGTCATCCTTCCAAGGATGTAAATAAACCTGGAAACACTTCTTGAAGCTGTCCATTGGAAGATTTTTCTATTTTAGTATTTTCTTGCAAGATTGCTCCCCTCCATATAAACCTCTAGATTAATAATTCATCGTCTAACTTTTTGACCGACTGACTTAATTTCTCATTTTGTGAAGTCTCTTCCAGTGGGAGGTTTAATATTTCAGTATATCTGAAAGGGTGTTGTAATTATGTCTTTATTCTTTTAACTAAACATTCTGGTTCGGTGATTATTATTAGCATTTAACATATTTTTGTTTGCAGCAAGGCTGTACTAAAGCATTGTTTTAGTTATTTATTTTATCAGTGAATCTCGACATACTTTATTTTCGTCTGTAGCTTATATGAAGAATATACCATGTATACATGCGTTGTTATAGATGTTGAGCATTAGTCTGAATGTCACAGTGTAATGCAACATGGGCCTGATGTACATTTTTTTTTACTGTTTTGTTCTTGTGTGATCTACAACTGTACATCCACATGAAAGTTGATCAGTTTTCTAGAGTTGTTTTGTACAATCTCAGCGGTAACCTATGGTGTTTCAAGTGGATGTAGCAGTTTTTGCAGATACCATTGAACTTGCTGAGCTTTTCCTCATACAGCCAAACTCCTAACTCATCCATTAGATAGTGTTACGTAAACAAACTCAATCTGTGCATGTTTTTCACAGATGATCCCTTTCTTTATCAGCTTTCATCCAACTGTTTCTTCCTCTCATGAGATTTTAAAATGAAACCTGCCTCTACATACTACATGCATTTTGTGTTTTTCACTGGATTAGTTGATTTTTTTTCTCTCATTTTTCAAATCTCAAGGTGTCATTTTTGGCCGGTGGTACCAAATATCTGCTCTAGGTGTCCAATAAGCAAAAAATGTTAAATAAATAATTGGTTGATAATAATTAGTGTTTATATAGTACATTCACTGAAAACAAAACTTATTCTTAATTGAATTTTTGTTGAAACAGGACATTTGGCTGCTTTTTGAGGTGATATTTGAGAGGGGGAACATTGTCATTTTAGAAAGCATTTGATTGGATAAAAGACAGTGTGCAGTGCAGGATGAGTCATCAATATTTTTAATCAGTTTTTTCTAGAAAAAAAAGTATCATAATTGTAAATGTGCACATTTCTATTTAGATGTTTGAGCCCAGAATGTTTTTTTTTACTAATTTAATGTCCTAATGTTAAAAAAAAATAAATAATAAATAAATATTTGTAGATATGTACATGCATATGATAGAAAACTTCATACTATAATATGCAACAATTTAAAATGCAAATTATTCCTTTGATGTCAAAGCTGATTTTTTAACCTTTTCATAACATTTTAAATGTCATTGCTGCTTTTCGTCAGTTTTCTTGCTGGATTATTGTATTAATTAATTTAAATGGATAATTAAATCCTTGCTTACCCCAAACTTTGAATAGTAGTGCATAACCGCTAAAAGTGAATTGTTCAGGTAGTTGTACATTTAGAGGACCTCACAGCTTAAAAAACAGGCCAGTCTTGGTTTTATGTGACCTACTGAATAACACCAGGATTTATCACCACCTTTTAGCAGCCAGGTGGTTACAGAAACTGTTCATTTACTGGGACAATGAAAGTAAATGAATTGTCAGCATGGTACCATCGGCAGCTTTCAGGCAGCATAGCTCACAGGACAAACCCATTTACCCATAATGCTCCTGGAATGCCTCCTGATTGACCGCTGCTGGATCCCCTCCCCATTCGCACATGGGATGTTCTGCATCCCATATCTTTCCCCAACCCCATTTTCCCATCAGCTTGCCTGATACCAGCTGTAGGCCATGTTGTATCTTACACAGAATCGAACGCCATTAATGTTTCAGCGTCTGGAGCCGCCATCTCCTAGCCAGGATGTGGGACCAGGACTCACTGGCCTTCCTGACACACAAATGCACCCTGCAAATCATCTGTGAGTAACATCTTTACTTTTTTTCCAGTCTTCAAATGTTAAGGTGTATGGTGCCATTTTCAGTATTTTTTGTTTTATTTATTTTTATCAGTAATAAAACAGACACACTAAACACATTAAGGGATTTGGTTCAATTCAACTTTGTGTAGTGCTTTTCACAATAATTATCACTCCAAAATGGCTTTACAAAAAGTACAAGTTATTAATCAAATTTAGACACACATCAGGATGATAATTAAATATAACACAATTTTTGTACAAGTTAAATCTAATGTTTTAAATAAGTCAATCATAGTTGACAGTGATGAGGATTCATATTAGTCAGAGTATTATAAATTGAATTAAATCAATTTGATATATCCACCCAGAAACTTTTAACGTAATTACCAAAACCTAAATTGTAAGGATGAAAACAACATTCAATTAAAAAAAAAATATATATATATATATATATATATATATATATATATATATATGTGTGTGTGTGTGTGTGTGTGTGTGTGTGTGTGTGTGTGTGTGTGTGTGTGTGTGTGTGTGTGTACACAGTTAAAGTCAGAATTATTAGCCCCCCTGTTTATTTTTTTCCCACAAATTTCAGTTTATAGGAGAGCAGATTTTTTTCAACACATTTCTAAACATAATAGTTTTAATAACTCATTTCTAATAACTAATTTATTTTATCTTTGTAATGATGACGGTAAATAATATTTTACTAGATTATTTTCAAGACACTTGTATACAGCTTAAAGTGACATTTAAAGGCTTAACTAGGTTAATTAGGAGGTGGCTCTCCAGGAACAGGGTTGGCCACCCCTGGTGTGTGTGTGTGTGTGTGTGTGTATATATATATATATATATATATATATATATATATATTTATTTATTTATTTATTTTTTTTCTTTGATTTTCCATCGCCACTGCTGAATGAACCCTGTATGCAACTCAGTGCTGGAAAACACCCATACACTCACATTCACACACATACATTTAGTTTACTCAGTTCACCTATAGCACACCTTTGGTCTGTGGGGGAAACTGGAGTACCTGAAGAAACCCATGCGAACACGGGGAGAACATGCAACTCCACACAGAAATGCCAATTGACACAGCCGGGACTCGAACAAGTGACTTTCTTGCTGTGAGGCAAATGTGCTACCCACTGTGCCACTGTGACGCTCATTTTAAAATATGACATAATGAATATTAATAATGTTGGTGACTTATTATTGTCTTTTTTTCATATTGTTATTTATTTTATTATATTATTATTATTAGCATTTTTTTGATGTTTTCTTAAAACTGTGATGACTTCAATCGCCGGACACGGCGGCACAATGTGGTGGACATGTATGAAACCAATGTAGTGCGTCTGAAGGGAAAAATGTGTTTATTCTGTGTTTTATATACAGTTGAAGCCAGAATTATTAGCCCCCTTCGAATTTTTTTGCTTCTTTTTTAAATATTTCTCAAATAATGTTTAACCGAGCAAGGAAATTTTCACAGTATGTCTGATAATATTTATTCTTCTGGAGAAAGTCTTATTTGTTTTATTTCGGCTAGAATAAAAGCAGTTTTTAATTTTTTAAACATCATTTTAGGGACAAAATTATTAGCCTCTTTAAGCTATTTTTTTATTGATAATCTAGAGAACAAACCACTGTTATACAATAACTTGCCTAATTACCCTAACCTAGTTAACCTTATTAACCTAGTTAAGCCTTTAAATGTCACTTTAAGCTGTATAGAAGTGTCTTGAAAAATATCTACTCAAATATTATTTACTTTCATCATGGCAAAGATAAAATAAATCATTAGAAATGAGTTATTAAAACTATTATGTTTAGAAATGTGTTCTTCTCTCCGTTAAACAGAAATTGGGGAAAAAATAAACAAGCAATCTAATAATTCAGGGGGGCTAATAATTCTGACTTCAACTATATATATATATATATATATATATATATATATATATATATATATATATATATATATATATATATATATATATATATATATATATATATATATATATATATATATATATATATATATATATATATATAATTTTGGAAAGCTAAATGGTTTATAGTATATGTGTGTGAATGTTAGAGTATAAGGGTGTTTTCTAGTACTGGGTTGCAACTGGAAAGGCAGTTGCTGTGTAAAATATATGCTGTATAAGCTTGCGGTTCATATTGCTGTGGTGACCTCTGATAAATAAAGGGACTAAGCCGAAAAGAAAATGCAATTTAATTAAATGAGGCTGGTCACTTTTTAAATAGTAGCTCATAACAAGTACAGTGTAAACAATCAATGCTACTGATGATTAATCTACCTTGCAGCTAAACATCTAATGGGAAAGATCTTTGAAACCTAAATAGGTGACAAACCAGACAGCGCACTGTTCGCTTCAGTTGCTGTAAAGACCTTATAATCTGACTAAATATGGCTGTGTTGTCAGGCCTGTTGATGAAAGGATCCCAGAGAGCCAATCATGGGTGACAGCGCGAGCACAGGAGATTTCTCAAAAAGCAGGCAACTGGAGTCCAGAGGGCCAACATCCAGATGACACCACAGACAACAGAAGGCAGTCTCAGGTACACACAGTCCGTCCTGTCCAATTGACAGTATTTGAAAATGCCTGAATGGATGAAAATGAGTTTAGGGCAGTGAAATATAGATACACTAGAGTATGCAATAAAACAATACAATGTAAGAGCCACTGTTTTATAAAGAATGGATTCTCCATCAGCATAATAACTCTCTCACAGCATGATAATCACTTGAGCTGGAAAAATGTCACACCATTGGACAATTCAGTGGATCAATAATGTTTTTTTTGCCTTTACAAGACAGCGTATCAGATATTCGCAGTCTTTTATGGAGGGTGTCCACTGGAGCGGTTTGTTTTCATAAACCTGAATGGCGAGGTTTATTCTATCTCTCATTCATGTGCATCTCATTGTCAGACAGCAACAAAGCCCTTTCTCTGTTGCTAAGTAAAAATGAAATTCAGCGGATTTTCTTCCACTCTCTTATTCTCTTTCTTATATTTTCCCTTAGTCTGTGTGTCCTTCTGTTATCGTTTATATTATTTTATTACTTTCACATGTCTGCTTTTGTATGGTGAAGCTCATGTCATTGAATATATGCATTCATATTCGGCTGCCTGGGAAGGATGTTTAAGCCCTTCCGCAGTCCTGAGTGCCATTGTACTGAGGAGGTGAGACACTCCTGCCCAGCTCAACTATTCATTCAGTTTATGACAGCTGCTTTAATCCATATGGTAGATTATTTATAAGGAAGGCTACGTATGCGGTTTAAAAAAAAAATATGACACAGAAAAGCTTTAAAGTAATTTAAAGTAGAGATCAAAACTAGAGCACATTTTTTTTTTACTTTTTGATTTATGTTTTTTTTTTTCATATTTTGAGGAAACTTTCCGTTTATATACCATCCTAGTAGAACAGTGCTTTAGGGTGTTGAGGTAAAGAAAGGTACGGGTAAGGTTTCAGTCACTTTAGAACAGCTCACAATCTTGCTAAGTCAGTGAAAACTGCAAAGTTAGGGTGCTAGTTACATGCAGGAAGTATACTTCCAGGTTTCAGATAAACACCAGAAGCTGGTCGGTATCAGAAAGTGTCCTATAATTTTAGATCAGTGATCTTTTTCAGTTATCATTTTAAAGTTTTTACATTGTGCTTTAGAATATATGAAACTCATGAAATATGGAATATATATGAAAGTCATGAAATGCTTAAAACTGGTAATTTGTAGGTACCGATAGCCCAGTACATCGACAAATAGACTTTAACAATTCTATGCGTAATCAATAAAAAAGGTCGGGAGAATTTTTTCTTCAATATCAAAATTATTAGTAATATATTGGATACATATGAATAATTCAATGCAAAATGCGTTACATTCAGGAGGTGCGCAACAATTTTCATTCCCTGACTTCAGCTTTTATACAAAGCTGATATTAACAGGTGGAGTTTAGTGGAATTTATCACCTCATCACTTCAATCATTCTCCAGTGCTCCGTTGGCCCCACCACAGACATACGCCCTCTTTTTCTACGAATTCTCTGCACAACATTAAAAGGATAAGACTTCTCAACTGCAAATATTCTTTATTCAGTTTTAACCCGTCTATGCTCACAGAAAAGTTTAGCTGCAGAGCTAAATTTAGTTTTAGACAATCAGGTCTTTGCTTTTTTATCAGCTTGATCTACTTCTGCAAGAATGCTTCATTAGTATGCAAGGCACATCACACTCAAGAGAAGATGTTTGGTTAATATTTCACCTTAGCAATGAGCTCAAAATAGGTTGTTCTCTAATTTTGATCTCCACTGAATACAGCTAGAGCTTGCATGTACAGTTCACTTAATTTGAAAACTAAAAAAATGAAACATATCTAATCAATCTCATATGGATCAAAACATATTTGACTTTTTTCTATGGAACACAATTATACACTTTTTAAGACTATCCCGAGCATCCTTTTCAAATACTAATGACAATGACTACGGGATCTCCAGGTTGAAACAAAAGTATGTGGTGCCATATTGTAGTTTAATGACTAAAACTGAGGTATTATTTGCTTTATTAAAAAAAAAAAAGAAAGATAGCAATGTCTGATTCATGTTTGAATTGGATCGGATTTTGTAAATTCATTCAACTATTTAGAAAGCCATTGTTCGAATCGGTGCTTAGTTTCTTTCCGTGACTCAATCCATTTACAGCCCTGAGTTTTTTGTTCTTTTAAGTTTAAGTCTTAGAACTTCAGATAATTTTCGATTATAATGCACAAATAATTTAGATCACTCTTAAGACACTTTTATGGCTCATTGCTAGGTCCACAGAGAATCAGCACGTGCAGAAATCTGCAGATTTCCTCAGATTGAGTCTATGTATATACTTGTGTTAGTGTGTGTACATTTTTTATTTATTCAGTTTCACTAATATTATTGTGATAAAATAATAATAAAATGTTCAGTTGATTTATTTCCAATACAGTTTGTAAAGTAATACATGCTGTCTTTTAGTAGATATATTATGAGAGGCTCGCTTTGTTTACCAAATAAGTGGATGTAATTCATATTTGCATTGTAAACATTAAATAAAAGTAAAAAATATATTACTTGTTGATTTCATATATCAAGTTTTTAGTTCTGATTCTTCTAAAATCATTCCGCAGATTTTTTTTTTTTATAAAATTCTCCATAGAAAAAAACAAAAATATCTGCAGATTTTGTCACTCCCATCGATTTCAAAGACTTTTATTTAAATTCATGGAAAAGAGGCCACTAGAAAATGTTGTGTGCCACAAAAAGAATAAAGTTGCACAGGTTAGAAGAATCCTACCTTTAGAAAGGTTTGCATTCTGCAATAATATAACGTTATTACAGTACATTGCACAACGGAACAGCATTAGCATTTCTTCCCCTGCGGAATGTTAGTAGACGAGAGTCTAGATTGTCTCCCGGTCTTCTTTTGATAAGCCTAATATTGAAGCCCTGCATGCATTCAACCATCTAATAGCATCAGATCCTACATTTTGCAGAAGTAATATTAGTCATGTATAGAACAAAAGCTGGGGCAGGACTGTCCTGCTACTCTTGCATCTCCCCACAGGGTGAAGGGAGAGATGAAGGTGGAGATGTCCACCTTCCATTCACTATGCTTAGGCCTGTCTCCCAGGCCCCTGGCATTTCACTCTTGCCTGCTGTCCCTGGGCAGTCATGCATGGTCTCCCTCTGTTTCTGCAGACAGTAGAGATGAGAGAGATGGGGCGGGACGGGTACTCGGACACAGAGCAATATCTGCCGATGGAAGGCCATGGCAGGGCTGCTTCCATGCCTCGACTCCCAGCAGACAACCAAGTGAGCGCCTCATCCTGTCATTCCTTCATGTTTCTCCTCCTCCTTTTTTTCTACCCCCTTTTCACATCCATCTTTCCTTTCCTGACCCTCCAGACAACCCACTTCCCATTTCTGCCTATGCATTAAACAAAAGTGACCGGTTAGTCAGCTAAGAGAACCAATTTTAGAATCTGAAATAGACTGATGTCCTGTACATGCCATTGTGAGTCACACTGACAAGTCAATTATCTTAAGTGGCTAAGTTATATCCTCAATAGATGGCTGAAAGATGCATTCAATCAATTATAGAAGAAAAGTAGAAGCTGTTATACGAGTATGAATTCATTTTCATTAGGGGGTCATATTTGTTTATATACTTTGGATTATGTAGTGTGTCACTTTCTAGTAGTGTCTCTATCAATGAGAATATTTTAAGAATTGATAAGAGTATGCCTTCTAATTGTGCAATAATAGCAACAAATATGGGCCCAAAACAGACCCTTGCAGCACTCCTCAAGAAAAAAATTTTTCATCAGCAACCCTGTCATAAATATGCATTTTAAGTATTTGTAATGATCAAAATATGTGTTTGATGTGATGTATTTAATAATACATAATTTGCATTCAAACATGCACTTAATATAATTGTCTAGATATACAATATCTAGCATATTACAACATGCACCTTCATTACTTATGATGCATATTTGATGCAGGTCTACAACAGGGAAGAAATAAGTCTTTTGTTTGTTTGTTTTCTTTCATATTTCTCACTGTTGGCCTTTGCGTAGCCTCCTCTTCATTCATACTGACCCAAAATAGACTCCACTTCTCCTCTACACATTATACTAAGCAGTATGTCACATGAGTACTACATCTGAATGTCCTATATTCATAAAACTCTAAACCCAGATGTCATACTGCATCTGCTGGGAATCTGAAACTTGTGCATATTTTGCTGTGGGAGCTGACAGAATAAAGCAGGGTTGGGTTTGCTTCATTTTTTCCTGAATAAATCTTTTCATCCTGTCTCCTTAAGTATTTTATTAGTATGTCAGTACTTCTCTCTTTCTCTTTGCCTTTTTCACTTTGAGCCTTTAAATTTATATTTTTTATTTTGGATTTGGCTAACCCTGACTTCCTCGATGTCCCTATATTATCCTTGCGTAGTTCTAAACTTATACATCAAAAATTTTTGATTACTTTACGCATAATTGACCACAATCTTTTTTCTATTTTATTAAGTCCATGTTTTAATTGCATTTCATTCAGGATCATAAAGTTCAGAAAAACTGAAAGTGTAAAGTAAACAGTGAGTTGGGAGTTGGTACTGAAATGTGGATTTGTGTGAGTATGTGTTTGTGTGTGAGTGTGTGTTAATGTAGAGCAGCATTCAAAAGTTTTGGGGTCTGTAAGATTGGTATTTATTATTATTTTATTAAGGGGCACCTATGACAAAAATCATCTTTTGGGAGCTGTTTGGACAAATCTGTGTGTAGGTATAGTTTGTCCACGGTCATTTAGGGGTGATATAAAGACAAAAAGTATCTTTTTTTTTTTAATTTCCTGATGTTAAAATAGGATCCAAATCTCTCCCACTTTGAGGCCCACCGCAACGTGACGTAGGAGTGCGGTTTCCCAGTCCACTGATTTGATTGACACTACGTATTAACATGTCTCTGTATTAACACTTATATCAACAAAACAGGACTTGGGCAAAGCAACTGGGATTAAAAAAATCGGTTGCGATCATTCATCATAAAATGTGATCAAGAATGAGTTTTACGAGTTTAAAACGTATTTAAAACAGTGCATGTCTATAAAGTCAGAAAAATCGATTCGTAGTTCATCACCACAGCTGTGTGTCAGTACAATTATAAAAGAAGACACTTCTATCCCGCTTTGTTGGTGTTAAACCAGGTTTATTTTGTAAATTAACATAACGAATATCCATACAGCAGTGGATATAACAGTGCAAAGACATTGAGTGACTCATCATTGCAGAAAGGCTTGAATTAACTCCACAACAAATACATCAAATAATCATTAGTAAGGTTCTTACTGTAGTATTTCTCACAAACGTTAAGTGAGAGCTGCTTCCTCCATGTCTGTCACTGTGCTGTTTATCTGGCACAGCTGAGGTGGAGATTGAGGCACAGTCAGACAGGTAAGTGGGAACGGTGGGAAGATCGAGCATTAAAGGCACAGGCAACAAAAACAGCTACAATGTGTTCAAAGCAGAAAATTCTAATGTTCTGAAAGCTATAATAAATAATCTGATGGGTGTTTTGTGCTGAAACTTTACAGACACATCCAAATGATTAAAAGTCACAAAGACATTGATAACGTATCTTGTAGTAGCTTGATATCTCAGGCTTGAGAGATATGAAGTTAGACCTGGGATAAAGTTTTAAGATTCGGAGGGCTCTGAATACTAATACTGAGAATTTTCAGAACAGTGAGATGCAAAATACAAACTCAGAACAGCAAAAAAGTAAAACAAATCAAAATTGGGGAATAAAACTTGACAATAAATGAATAGGTATTTCTTATTCTGTGGTGAAAACAAGCTTCCATAGTTCTGCTTATTTTTTATTAATCAAAGCATCCAGACTAGTAAATATAGCACTGACATTTTTTCTCACACTGGTAATAACTGTACTTGTTTCTTGATTATTAATTAATCATCTTAGAATTATTACTGAAGGATCACATGGCAATAAAGACTGGAGTAAAAGTGCTGAAAATCCAACTTTGAATCACACAAATAAACAATTATTCATGTAAATTAAATAAACAACCTTTATTTCTAAAATAAGCATTCTAAATTGTAATATTTTCAATACAAATATTTTACTGCATTTAAAAAAAAATCTCAAAGACCCCAAACTTTTGAATGGTGATGTGTGTTGTGTATTTTTACTCAAATATGCTGCAGTGAAGAAGTGATTTACATGACTTTTAGAAAGCAAACGGAAGATAGTGTTGATGGTGTGGTCTCCTGCTGTACATGTACTGTATGTGTGTGAGCTCTCGGTGTGTTGTGTTCAGTGTACTGTTGCTCACTGTGTCATTATGTGTGCTGTACTGTACTGTACTGTGCCGTGTCTCTAACACTGCCTCTGGCCCTCAGTGTTTGTGCTGCTGTGGTAAGTGTTTTCTTCCGTCTCCACTGCTTCTGTGTCTAACCAGGTTCTCTGTGTCTCTCTTCTCTCTATTTATGTCTTTATATCTCCTTATCCCTTCTCCTCTTTTATCCTTGTTTACTCCTGCATGAATCCCCTTCTTCACCTTTCTCTGTCCTTCTCTCTCATGCCTGGGCTAATGTACCTCGTCTTGTCTAAATCTGGCCCTGTGTGCTTTGTGTATGGACATGTTTGTGCTGTGTCTTGTGTTTGTATGGAAATGGCTGTGCAGCAGCCACGGAGGAAAGGGCGTCACCGGGGAGAAAATCTCACTGTATGTGAATCACAATCACAATCATTATCACTCTAGATTTCACCCTATTCGACTCTATACTATACTAGTAATATTAATAATTATAATAATAATAGCAATAATAATGATGATAATGATTAAATAGAAAACAAAAAGTTTGCTTCTACAAAATGTAAGCTGTATTGCATTGTTGTGTTTCAAACAGAAGAGTCAGTATTTCGTCCACTGCAGATTATTTATGTTTATACTATGGGGCTGTTGAATGCTTGATTCTGATTGGCTCGTAAGCATTCTAGTGTATGCAATTATTTTCAGATAAAGCACAACTAAAGTAGTTGAGTACAAGTACTGACCACATTAGAGCTCTATATGCTAGATGATTTCAGTTGTTAAAGCAAGGCTCTGAATAAGATGCATAACTACACACAGGAGCTTTTAAAAAACAAAAACATTAACAAATACAACATCTGAACAGTGTGTTTAGGTGTGTTAACTGTAGTATTAAACAGAATAATTTACTCTGGTCTGTTGACTTTATTAGAACATAATGCATAGCGTTGTCGGTTATTCCTAACTTTATAATGTTGGATTCAAAATCAAGGTTAAACCACACAAACATACACACAAAATGATAAATTCATTAGATATTTAATTTCTTTCAGATAAATACTACTTCATTTTTTAAAACTCTTAAATGTATAGCAGTTTATATACCAAAATAAATCTTGTCGAGCATATTTAAAAATCATGTAAACTGGAAGTGGCTGAGACTTTTATTACAGTATAATTTAACTGAAGTTGAATATTGAGTAGGGGGCGGGGCTTTCTATTTGTGCATTATTGCCTGGCAGCAAACTAATGATAAGAGAGGAGTGGTTAAGAATATATAGGTGTCAAACTGACATCAACAGAGAAATACCGCCACACCAAATGCATAAGAAATTGGTCAGTTTTTTATTTAGATTATCAAAACAAACAATTTTTAGTGGGTTAACTTGCATCGATTAATTGTTTGCCTAAAGAATAACAATGTGAGCTAGCAAAATAATTATTGTATGTTTTGATTTCGCACAGACTTTAAATCAAGAATAGTTTGAGATATTAACCCTTTAATGCACAACATGGGTCTAAAGTGACCCGATTAAGTTTATTTTTTATATATCTTTGCAAGATTTAAACTTCATCACTTGGTATTCCAGGAATTCTTCAATAAACTTGTTTTTTTATCAGCTCAAAGCCTTGTATTATATTTTGTTTTTACTCTTTGAATATAAATTATTATCACTACCCTTTTAATGCACACCATGGGTCTAATAAAGCTATATTATTTTGCTGTGTTATTTCTATCATGGCTAAGCCTTTTTTTTTTGCAGAAAATTTGGGTTAAATGCATTTAGTTGTTTACAATTACAGGTTTTCATAAAATATTGTGTTAAATCACACATTTATGTTAAGTGCAGTTTTTATATTCGAACATCAATTTTAAAATAAATGTCAAAAATGACCCATATAGGACCAGGCCCGGATTGGCTAATAGGGAGGACTGGGAGAATTCCCGGTGGGCCGGTCCGTTTTTTGGCCGCGAGGGCCGGTGTCCCTAGCTCCAGAATCTGTTGCTCTCAGCAGTCACACTTTTTAAATATAATTTATTTATTTACTTGACCACAGCCTTCTTATTTATTATTTTACCGCAGCTCTGCTCTTGTTATCTATTTTCTCGTAACCTCGTGAGCAAGATGCAGCCTGCAGGTTAATGATGATATAACTAGATAAGTCACCATTCAACGTACAGCTGTGGTGGTACAGTGGTTAGCACATTAGGTTAAGATGTGGCCAACCAGGGTTCGGTCCCCGTCTATGAAGATTTTTTTTTTTTTCATTTTTATTGTTAAGACATAAAATACTGTAAGGGTTGTTGAACATTTGAAGTTCTAAAACAGCTGTTTTCTCAAAAAAAAAAAAAAAAAAAAAGACGTGATATTGTAATTAGAAACTGAATTGGAAATGACCTTATTTTAAGATAGTCAGTGGTGAACTGAGGTGGGCCGGTCTAAGGCTTGAAACTCCAGGGCTGAAAAAGAGTCCCACTCCGGCCCTGTATAGGACCCTTTGCTGTTTCCTAATTGCTGCAAAAAGAAATTCATTTACTGCTAAATATTGTTCACGTGGCACATGTTTCACAACTAATCATGGCTGATTTGTTCTATTTGATGCTTGTAAGTAACAATGATATTACATATATATATACATATTTTTCTTGATGGAAATAAACATTTTAACATTTTAGACAGACATTCGTTTAAAGAATAAAACCAAAAATAAAATGCCCAGGGAAGAAGGCAATGACATCGGAAATGAATATTCATTTTAGATCCATGTTGTGCATTAGAAGGGGTTTTTATAGTTTGTACATCAAAGGGTTAAAACGACACAATTGTAGTTATATACAATCACTTTAGTAAGTAAAATTTGATGTGAGACATTGGTTAAGATTTTTAGTGATGATGCTGATAAATCATTGAATCAGTTCATTGATTTGAATGAATTCATTCATAAAGAAATTAATTGTCATGAAATAAATAGAGTAAAAAACAACGATTCACTAATTAGCCAGCATTAAGTCTAACACATTTCTTTGGCACTTACAGTAATAGTAGAACGTTGTTAATTACTATCTGTTACATACAGACACATTTTAGACTATGCGCAAATCAATTAGCAAGAAACTCCTGGTCTTCTCCCCTTTAATGTATATATGTTGTCTGTGTGCTCTGCAACACTCATTATGTGCTTTGTGTTCATGTGCATGTTATGTTTATGTGTGCATATCTGTCCACAGTTTTTATAGTGTGCAGTTATTTGTGCTGTGTGTGAGAGAGAGACCGTGTTTGTGAACAGAGACGTGCAGAGATCTTTAGGTGTTCAGTGGGTCACATGGGAAAAGAGGGACTTTTTGTGTTGTTGTTTTTCTTTATTGTTTTAGTTAAATAAAGTGTGGATGTCACTGTGTTACACACTGTAATATAGCTGTTGAAACACCCGATGAAGGCACAACTACTTCACAGCAAATAAATAAGGCTGTGATTACACTTGGCATTAAAAAGCGTCTTAAATCTGGATCTTCCAAATAATTGAATAGACAAGTTGAAACGTGTTTGTGATTGGATGTTATCCCATCAGCATGTCCTGGTTTGAGGGTAGTCAAGGATGCAATGTGATCAGCTTTCAGAATATAGTACATGTAATCCAGCCATCATGTCTGCATCCACAGATTAACTTCACACAAACTATTTTTATACCCGTAAGCGCATTGCGTTCTTTTTGTAGCTTGTTTGTACATAGAATATATATTTATTTTTGTAATAAACTTTTACTTTCTTAATGCATTACGCTACAAAAATTGTTTATTAATGGTTTCTTAGATACAGTTTTTAGCTGAGGGTACAATCAAGTTGGTAGCAAATATAGTGAACAGTCGCAGAAACATTTTTTCTTGCATATTCCACTCAGCAGAATCGATTAAATATTTTGTGGGAAATAGAGATCCAATTAGTTATCAAATACATAAACCACTTTATGTTAATGTGTAAACACTGTGTTCTGATTGGCTGTTGATCCAATCTGCTTCATGCAATCAAGGTGTTGCTGTTAACTGTAAACGCAGCCTAGATATATATCTAATTACTGAACATACATCTTAAAGAACTATAATTTGAGAAATGCAAGTATACTTTCTGTCAAATGACATTTAAATATAACACTGCAGAGCACAGTTTATGTTTTAAAAACTTCTAGCAGGGCTATTTAAATAAGCTAGCTATTATTATCACTTGTAGGTTTTCTGCAGGTTACACTCCAAATGAGCAGTATGACTATGAATGTTGGATTTCTACAAACGAGTCAGTGAGCATGGTTACATGCACACCTGATAACCATTGAAACTCTGTTTATTGAAATAACCCGTTTTATCAGTTTACAGGCAAATCAATAACCTGACGATGTAAGTAAATTTGTGTTCTAAGACTTTATTAAAGTCTCAGCACTGCATCCAAACTCGCATACTGTATAGTAGGTACTACATTTGGTTTGAAACTTCTTTCGCAACCACTAATGTTAACGTATGTTATTAAGTATGAATGTGCGTAGTATGAATGAAATTCAAACATACTACACCCACAGAGATTTGTCAAATGCGTCACTTTACTTCCATTCATTGGGATAGTAAAGTGTCCATCCGCTTCAGAATCTCGCCAGAAGTCGCAAGCACTGTTTTATGAATGTAACATTAAACACTTATTCTCAGGTTTCTACAATTGTACCAATGATTCAATGTCTGTATAAGACAAGAACATATATTCATCTTTTTTTTCAGCAAAGAAAAAAGTTAGAATTTCCAATATATCTCATTTTTGCCTACTGAGAAATAATTGCTGTGCCTGAATGTGGTTAAATCTGGCTTGAGGACGGATTTCTGTCACATACTACTTATGCAAACTAACAAAATCCAGGTTATGGCGTTTGCATGCTGGATGAAATCAGGGAAAATATTGTTGATCAGTTTATTCCTCATATAGTGTTTAATAGTGAAGCTTTGCCAAAACAGTCCAATAATTGCTTTTGTGAGAAGTACAGGTTATACTATGTATATAATTAGGTTGAGGGTTCAGGGCTTGAGCCACTGCAAACCACCTCACTCTGCACGTCCCTCTACCCGGACCATAAATATCTGCTGCTACCCCACACATCCTTACTGAAGCCTATTTTCTCTCTGTGGTGTGCATGGCTGTGAGAGGGTAGAAATGCATTTCTCCCTGATGTTGTAGCAGGATGTCAATTCATGGATGAGGATTTTGACTTTATAGATGCAGACCATGATGCATGTGAGCACGATTACCTTTGGTGTTATATTTATTCTGTCTCTCTGCTCTACTCTGACTTGTGCATGACGAATGGTGAATCTGTGCATTTGTTTGCTAGTGTCAGCCAAGATCTTACACAATCAAGCCACACCAACTCCCAGACCTACAGAACTGTAGTAGTGTGACCCCATCATACACTCAATTTACACCTGGTATTAATACATTGTCGTGCTGATACAGTCACACACACAAAAAAACATGTAGGAGTGTACATTTGGGTGGTTGAGTTGTTTATAGTTTTGTAAAAACCTTGACAGCTTTTTTGGTATTCTCTGATGAATCAAAGGAACAGTATTCATGTAAATTAATTCCATTCTTGCTGCAGAGAAGTGTTCATTTCATTTTTAACTGAGCAAAAATGTGTATAGGGATGTTTTTTAGTGCCATAATAAAATCACTAAACAAATGCTCTTGAAATAAAGATGACCATTTGGGTAACAGTTTATTTTGATGTCCCCTTTATACATTCTGTTGACTATAAGCAACATTAATGTTTACTAGTTGAAATATAATTGTGGAGTAAGTTAAGAATAAGTTAACATACATGCAAAATTACCATTGGGGGACCATCATAATACAGTGTTAATGGATATTAAGCATAAAGGTCAACTCAGGGTAGGGTTGGACACAAACAAGAGGCATTGCTGAAGAAAGTTCACACTGCATCGCCTGCATGAGGGGAAAAAAGTTGCACTAGAACACACCAGACAGACTACAGCCAGCAGTCAAATAGTGTCCATGTGGGTGTTTTCTTTCCTACAAACTCAGCCTCTTATTAAACAGAATTACCCCACAAATTATGTTTCATTAAAAAAAAAACTAAAACCCACTGATGCTCAAAACCACCAGACAATGCTTTATAGCAGACCATTGGCTGTAGTGACTAATTGCTGTTGCAAAGTGACTCAGGCTGTCTTTACACCTGGTATAAAGATACTTTTTTGTCAAACTGTCCACAAGTGGATGATGCTAAATACTGGTGTAAATAAGGTCTAAATGTTTTGAGCTTTCGCACTTTTGACCAATTGCGGGAGCAGTACAAAAAAAAATGTTCAGATAGCTTTTATCATCATTTTTCTCTGAAAGGACCACTTGCTCTCCATCCATGTGATCATGTGCAGTGTTGTATGGAAATGGACCAAAACAAAGTATTAATATTTCGCTGCACTATACCACAACACAACAATCATGAGGAAAATTGTAGTTGCTGTTTACTTAACCCTTTAACTGTCCCTCTACCAAAAGGTTGACCATGTTTTTACTGTTTTAAATAATGACTGTAGCAGTCATTTAAAGAATGACTGTTTTAAATAATGGCTTACACACAGCATTGTTAATTTCATTGTTAATAAGAAAAAAAAAACATAATACTGTTGCACTACTACACTTGATTTTGGTTTTATTGTAAAAAAAAACAGCAACAAGAAAACATGTTAAATTAGAATCTGAAATATGTTATGGCATACTTTTAAAAAAAAGGCTTTTTTGTGTTCATAATGTTTTATTTTGTGTCTTTAAATTAGTCTTACACTTCATATTTTCAGATTTGCCATAGTATATGTATTAAGGTATAAAGTCCAGTACTTTTACCATAAACCAACATATCAACCATTTGGTGGAGGCTGATATTTAAGAAATTATGGGATGTATTGAAAACAAATGCATTGAGTGTTAATTGGCGACATTAGGAGATAAGAAATGCAATCCAAACATTTTTCTTTCTTGGTGGGGTAGTTAAAGGGATATGCCAGTTTTCCAACACACTTGTAAGTTCTATTCAAAAATTAACAGGCATCACACTGGTCATTCCTATGAAAACATGATGAAATAAGAGGTACCGGTCTCAGGGAAATTAGAACACAAGTGGAAACAGTCATACATCTCAGCTGACAAACTGCTGCTACTGAAAGTTCATCATAAAACCAGGTAAATACAGACTTTAAAGTCAACAAAATTTCTAATTAAGACGTTAAAAAAGAAAAACTGTTAGCACTGATTATAATAGGATTACCTGGGACTGATTTTAATACCAGGTGTAAATGGAGCCAAACATTCAATCATCTGCCTGCCTTTACTAATAATACGGAAATGAAGCTCCCTTCTCAAATCTTCCAGTCCCATTAATTTTCAATAAACCGAAACCTCTCTCTTCCTTCGCTTCCCTTTCTTTTCTCTCCCTCTCTCTCTCTCTGTTCTGTGCCAACTCTCTCAGCAGCCTATCACAGATAACAGTCCTATGAAGCGCTCGGCTTCATCTTTGGGACACGGGCGTGCAGGACGCTCCATGCGAGGTGAGGATTATGCCATGGAGAGGGTTATCCCAGAAGAGGGTCACAGGCATGGGCATCGCCACCGAGACCGTAGTCACCGGGCGTCAGAACGCTCCCTGAGCCGATACACTGATGCTGACACAGGTTTGAAGCTAAACATATTAAACAGCAGTAATAAAATGATCAAGAAAATAGGAGAGCTTCTGCTAATGCCTTTATTCTCCACCAGGTCTTGGAACTGACCTCAGCACAACCACACAATCAGGAGACCTGCCATCCAAGGAGAGAGACCGGGGCCGAGCCAAAGACCGCAAGCACCATCATCATCATCATCACCACCACGGCTCTTTAGATAAGGAGCACTACGGTCATGAGAGAGACAGAGGAGAGTACGGCCACAGACAGTCCAGAGAGAGAGACCGCCGCTGGTCCCGCTCACCCAGTGAGGGCAGAGAGTGTCTGACTCACAGACAGGTGGGCCGTTTATTCGCATAGTGTTCATAATCTCTAGACGCATGTAACAGCTGAACATTTTTAAAGCATTGAACTGATAGTCATTTTCTTAATCAGATTTGTTTGGCTTCACAGTTGCCTGGTTAAAGGCACAATATGTAATATGATTTGTTTATTAAAATATCCCAAAACCACAGTGTTATATATTTTGCTGACTTATGTACTTATATTATCTACATTTTAAAATCCAGAGAAAAAAGACATTTTAACTTGTGACATGAGCCAAGTCCTGTGTTGCCATGCTAATGACATCACATACTTTTGCCTGTTTTGTTTTATAGAAACAACAAAGTCACTTTAATATGTTGTGTGTTTTCATAGTCTGCACAGAACAGCATTATAACACAATCTTAAAATGTTTTTAGTATAAATAAATAGTGCAGTTGCTTCCCCACATGATCACAAAATAATCTGATATCAACTGGATAGATCTTTATCACTCTTCCAATAGATCCCGGGGTAACACTTTATAATAACTATACACGATGAACCATCTATTAAGCATTAGCAAATAGTGAATTCTCTATTTGTTAAGCATTAACTCTACATTAACAGATGTTAGTAAGCAGTTTACAACTGCAGCTACAAAAGTTTAAGCACATTTATAATGTGCTTAATAATTGTTCTTTCATACTTTGTCAATGATTTATTTTTCATTACTAAATTAAGTATTGCATTATTTACAAACCAGTTCTTTCGGCATAGTTAGTTGTTTTTTAAGATCATTCAAAATGAGTTAGTAATTGATTAAATTAATAAACTATTCAAATGAGCACGCGCACACACACGCACACACACACACACACACACACACACACACACACACACACATATATATATATATATATATATATATATATATATATATATATATATATATATATATATAATTAAAGCATATAGTATTTATTCATTTGAATGTTAATAAATGCTTCATTAACTCATCTTCATCCAGTTTTGTGATCTAATCTAAATTGAGGACTATTTATGCTTTATAAATCCCTTATAAATGACAATTAAAGGCTCAGTTTAATTCTAAACAGGAAAAAAGAACGACTTTATTTCTATTCATTTGAAGATGAACAAATGAAACTGTATCAAAGAAAAATAAATCTTTGCAATCTTATTTAAAATAAAAATTACTGTACCGTTTAAACATCACTAAATAACATTCAAATGTATCATAATATATTTTTAAACTATTATTTTGTTGTTGTTTTATCCAGTTTTATGTCATATATTGACACACATGTTATTCAGCAATGTTTAAACTTTACAGTAATTTTGCTTTTCAGATAAGATGTACTGTTCATACTGAGCCTTTAATTGTCATTTTTAAGAGATTTATAAAGCATAAATAGTCCTCACTTTATATTAGGTCACCAAACTGCATGAAGTTGAGTTAATAAAGAATACAAATTGACTATTAGTATATCCCTGAATAATAAGATAAAACTTGAATAGTTTATTGATCATTTACTAACTCATTCTGGATTATTTCTAAACCTTTAACTACTCTTTAATACATATAGTTTGTAAATAATGCAATTCTTAATTTAGTCATGAAAATCAAACTTTCACAAAGTATGAAAGTACAATTGTTGAGCACATTTTAAATATGCTTATAAGTTAAGAATAGAGCATTTGTTGCTGCAGTTATTAACTGCTTACTAACATTTGTTAATGTAGAGTTAATGCTTAACAAATAATGAATTCAATAGATGCTAATGCTTAGTTAATGATTTATAGTGTGTAGTTATTATAAAGTGTTACTGATCCTGGTAATAACAACTGTGTTTAGAATGGCTTGAGCATGCAACTGGAATGACGTTCCTCAAGGCACTTTTCTCCTTTCTTTTTTTAAGCATGCCGAGCACTCCTGCGAAAACATGACACGCACAAGGCCCATAAGCAGGGCTCAAAACAGTCACTGCCAAAAGAAAAAGACTTTTAAAAGGCACCTCTCACCTCAAATTTTTTTGTGAATGGACCCTAAGTACCTACAGAAATATGTAGCTGGAAACTATTCTCTTCCAACATTGTGAATTGGTGCTGGAAAATAGAGTACAAAACGGCAGATAAAATTGCTGAATTATGTTATAAGATTTTAGTGTGTTTATTGTTGATGTTGTTATTTATTAATATTTGTAGAATTTTATTATTGCTAATTTATAAAATACCAATGTAGTACAAAAGTATCACTGAAATCCATTTTATTAATCTTTTTTAGTTTAAAGTGGTACTTCATAAAATCCCTGTCATTGTCACAATAATGATCATGTTTCAGTGTCACAGTTTATTGTCATTTTCAGCCCTCCAAATAGCTTCCAGGTGCATTGTCAAAGATTTTTATGCTGTATTAATATAAATATATACAGTTTTATATATAAGTCAGAGTTATTAGCCCCCCTTTGTTTTTTGTTTTGTTTTGTTTTTTAAAATATTTCCCAAATAATGTTTAACAGAGCAAGTTAATTTTCATAGTATATCTGATAATATTTTTTCTTCTGGAGAAAGTCTTATTTGTTTCCTTTTGGCTACAATAAAAGCAGTTTTTATTTTTTTTTTTATAATTCTGACCTCAACTGCAGGTTAATTAGTGCATTTTACATAGTACAAAACTTTTTATTAAAGGTCTTATGTTGGAAATGCAATCTTTGGTTTATTTTTTCTGGCAGTTGTTTTTTAATTATTATTGGAAGACCTTGCCTTTAAGCTAGGCCAAGGTTAGGGATCTTGGGCTTAAAAATGTTGTGCTAAACCACTGCTTTAGCTTATCTGTGAACATTATTTCTGCACCAGTCTCATCGGATTCCATTCCGATAATTCCACACAGCATCATCAAGCTCATTTACTGCTCATGAAACAGATTTACTGCTCTTACCACATTTTAAAAGTACTCTGATCAAATATTGCAGCCTTGATGGGAATAAAAACGTACTCAAACATTACAACATGTTTTTAATCCTTTACTGGAAAACAATATTGATGATTAAGAAAATGACTAAAGCAAAAGGCCTATTTCTTATTAAAAAACAGGATGTTTTATTTTTTTATGCTGTTTATTATTTAGTTATTATTGTACCAATATTCAATACTCCCAACCAGAAATACTGTAACCAGTAAAAATGAATTCCATTATTTCAGTTTCATTTGTACTGACGATACGATATTTTTGTTGTTGTTTTTTTTCTTCCTTGTGTCCTCTCTCTTTCCTGTGATATGTTGCTTAATGTTTGGTTGTTTATTTTATGGCTGTTTGCATTGGTCGCTTTTCTCTACTGTTTTGCAATGTCTTATCATTCTTGCATCTCTCTTTCTCTCTCTCTCTCTCTCTCTCTGTTGTGGCTGTGCTCTTCTCTCTCGTTGCTCTCGTCTGTCTGTGTCACCTCCTACTGTCTTTCTTCTTGTTGTGTGGTTAATTTTGTGGTTCTGTTTTATTTGCCTTGTTCCATTTTCATGTAGGGCAGTAGTTCAGTAAGCGGCAGTCCAGTCCCGTCCACCTCCGGGACCAGCACCCCCCGCCGTGGCCGCCGTCAGCTCCCCCAAACCCCTGCTACACCCCGGCCACATGTCACCTACTCACCTGTGGTCCGTAAGCCCATCAGCAGTACCCCCCCTCCTGGCCAGCAGAGCCGACTCCCTACCCCGACCTCCCGGCGCTTCAGTCCGACTGGCCCCGAGCCCCCGCTTCCCCCTCATCACCACCCGTCACCACCCCACCACGGCTCTCCCCGCTCCGGCCGACATGCACACTGGGGCCCCGAGCCTGCAGAGAGCGTGGAGGGTGACGGCTTCTATGACGACCAAGACTATGAGTTCAATCACCACGAGCCTCCATCCTACGAGCAAAGCCCTGTGCAGGGCAACCCTCACCCCCATTCCCCTAGGACTTCCCGCCACAACACCCCTCCTCAGGGCCAAGCGCACCCACGGCGCATGCCAAATGGCTACCGTTCGTCTTCGCCCTCTCCACACCACCACGCGCCCGCTCACCCTGGAACTCATAAACCTCCTCATCCCAGAGGGCCCAGAAAGGGCCTCCATGAACCCTACAGTGAGACTGACGAGGATGACTGGTGCTAGCCTCTGGGACAGGGAGGGCCGAGTCCTTGCGCTTTCTGGAACGGACAACCGCTCAAACAGTGGCCCATCTGTCCAGGGAAACACACGGCAGTGTGCTGAATGTCCACAGGGGAAATCAAGGCATGATTCCTTTCTTTCTATTTCTCGTTTCTTTTACAATTCCTCTGCTGCCGAGTGTTTCCCTGAAAGCTGGCAGTGAACATGAAGCCTGGCGAATATGAAATCTTGTTTTTAGCCTTTTTTTCTGAAGAAAACAAACAGGTTTTTTTGATAAGGAGGAGGAATGTCTGAACTTTTCTTTTTCCAGGACATTTCACGCAGTCCCTCCAGAAATGAGACGCTATGAACTCTTTAGCACTCATTCAAAGAAACAACAACAGCAACAACAACAACAAAAAAAACGATGAATCACTTTTTATTTCACAGAACTTGACTGGAGATTCGTTTATTGCAAAAATCAGTCCAGATGCTGGGAAATATTGATGAGTTTTATCATCTGTGTTTACTGTTATTAATAATCCCAGTGGAAGGGGGTGCGGGTAAGTTGGGTGGGAGCCGGATCTGGGCGGAGGTGAACTCTCACCTGAACTAAAATTATTTAAGCCCACCCTGCACTTCAGACCCCAAACGCAAGAAAAGAAACGTACACACAAACACACAGACACACACATACACACACAAAAAAATCTAATAGGAGAGAAAAAAAGTGAAAAAGCTCCTCACTCTTTCTTCTACGGCTTCGTCTTCTGCTTCTCATTGGAAACATTGGAGTTTGAATCTTCTGTTGCACTGCCCAGCTTTGTTTGAACTCCTAGAAAATAAATCCCTTGGAAATCCTGCATGATTGAAAAAAAAAAAAGAAAACAAAAAAAAAACAAGTTTAAAAAAATACACAAAGAAACTTTGAGTAAAATGGGGGAAGGGGGGATCGATTCCTTGGCTCTTTTGTCACGTCCGTGTCGTTCTCTCTCTCTTTCTCATCAAAGTCTCCTCTCTCTCTTTCATGGCTCTCTGTGATCCCTCTCTTCTCAAGAAGAGAAGAAGCCATTGCTAACACTCAAACTAAAAGCAAATGGGTGATCAGAGAGATGTTTGCAAGGTTTTATACCAGATTTGGTGCCAAATACCACATACAGTAAAAAATTATGAATGGAAAATAAATGGATAGCACAATTGCTTTTAAGCTTGAGACATTTTATAACATTTTATTTCACTGTATAGTTAATTAGCTCACTTGCACAAGAATGCAGATGTAGTAGCACATAAAGCAAGCAAAGGACATGCGATTTTCCTTTACACTACTAAAACAACATGCTCTTCCAGTCTTCCAGGGTAAATGCAGAGTGAGAGAGAGATATAGTCGAGGGGAGAAAAGAGAGAGAGAACCGCTCCATCTTTACATATGATTTCATGTTGATAATGACAATGTGTGTGTATAGAGATGATCACATAAATGCTGATAATTATTGATGATGGTGAAGATAATTATGATGATGATGATGATGATTTTGATTTCATTTTCTACCTGTTTTGTATTTGACTCAGCTGCTCTTTGTATTGCCATACTTGTTTTCATGTGAGTTTTGTGTAGATGGTGTGTGGAGCTCTGTGATAGTGATCATTATGGGCCATGACAGAAACCCATCTGACCTTCAGTCCACGTCCTCCACTTGGGCTGTTTCCATGACACATCAGTGAGAGTTAATGACAGTTCGAAGCATGCATCTGATCTCGAGTCTCTGTAACTGTGAACACTTTTTATCAAGCAGGAAAAAAGCAATGAAAAAAGAAAGTAGAGGATGAGCCGACTAGTTATCGACCATGTAAGTGTGATATAAACGTCTATAATGTCTAAACAATATAAGCTGACGAGGATTAATTAGGTTACATTTTATAGATCAATTTGAGATATTTTCTCTATTTTCTGTTATTTAGTATCTTCCTTTTAAAATAATTTCAAATATTTTTATTGATTTACATTATTTTTGTAATTATCTATTTATAATTTTTGTATACCTTTAAACCAGTGGCTTTCAACCAGCAGGGCAGAAGCCCAACAATTATTAAAATAACACTTATTGTAAAGACAAAACAATAATAATATATTACAAGAATCTGAGAATGCAATCACAGAATAAGTTGCTGTTAATTCATTTCATTTAAAGCAAGGCACTGCAGCCAAAAACACCTGTCAGTTTGAATATTTTGGGCTTTTTCAGTCTAATGTTAAAATTCACTTTTAGGGTGTTTAACAATTTAATTATAATGCATATTAGAAAAATTAAGGTTTCATCACAATTTAAGCAATCTCAACCTCAGTAGCTTTTGCACACCCCAAACCCCACATTTTTATTCATGTCTGTATTGTTAATGTTTTTACAGAGGGAACTGTTCTTTTCTGGCTGTTTGCAGCATTTACTGAATCACGAGGCATAAAAATGGCATTCCCCAAAAACCTTTGAGTGAAAGTATAATTAAAAACCAAAAACTATTTTGAGTTTTAAATTTGAGCTGATGCATTTTTGTGCAAATTACCATATATTTAATGATCTAATGCATCATTTGCATATTTAAAACATTTTAGAAAGATTGTAAAACAAAGTGTATACGCTTAAAGCAATCAATCAGTTGGAGAAGTATGGTAATAGCTATTATTTTTTTACCCTCTTCACCTGCAGTGTCTTGACTTAAAATATCACACCTACCCCTTTAAAAAAAAGACAGAAAACAAGCAGCTTTGTCGTAAATGACAGCAGAAATGGCATAAATATCTCAGCCTCAACCAGGCCTAAAAGTCCTGAAGAAATTTGAATGGCGAGAAGGTAACTGAGCTCCACTACCTCTACTTGACCAGCAGATGGCGCTGTGATCCACACTGCTCGGCAGCCAGTGATTTTGCTGGCTCCCGTCAGTCTCACCTTTTTCTGTTCCATGTTTTTATGTCAATGACCTGTACACTGAGAGTAGTACTATGTGTCTGTCACCGATGGTGCACCGTTCTGTGTTCAGGAAATGTAACACAGCCAATCAAACTGCACAGAAACATGTAACACCGCCAATCAAATTGCATGGGTGAAAACAATGACCGGGCCTTTTCTGCCAAAAACCTGTCTGTTGTGTCCCACTGATCTTTGTGTCTCTTCTGCCCATATTATCCATCGTCATCTCAGCCTTCTTCTACGAGGCAGAATGACTCCGCATACACAAGACACGCTGCCGAAAGGGTCCAACTTTGCAGCATGCGCAAATGAAACAATGTATGTAGCATTGACTAACATATTATCATTCACAACCCCTTGAGCGAGTCCTGTATGTAGCATTACTGATAAAACTGGTAAGTCTGTGGCTTTACTTGGAGATTAGTGTGTACACGACTAGTGAGTAAAATTGTCCCCTTGCTATTACTTGATTTAGTTTGAGAACTACATTCTTAGGAATGTATTACTGAGATTTATCAGTGCCTTAATTCAGTCTTATTTAGTGTATGTGTCCTCAATAGCAGTTTAAAAAAACATTTTTTTTGGGTTCATTTATCTAAAGTTGGCAGTTAGCTTGAGAGATTTACTTTTTACAAGGACAGAATCTAAATATGCAATATGAAGCCTTTTTAAGCTGGAAAATGCGTAGAGGGGAATGATATTGCTACACTAAAAAAATGGGTTGTTTCAGCTCAAATTTGAGTAAAATATGGACAAACGCACTGAAATATTTGAAATGTAATTTTTTAACCCAAACTCAAATGTGGTCTGAAAACAACCCAAATTTTTAGAGTGTTTCAGAATTGTGTGTCTCAAAAATCACCTTGTGAATGATCTCATTCTCATTTGCATGCAGGATGTTCTCTCAACTTCAGTCTCTGTGTGCGTGTGTGAAGCTGTAAGAGAAAACACATGCGGTAGGTTGGTTAGAACATTGACATTTCTCATTGTCTGTCATAAATCATCATTACTAACAACCTCTGTTCATATTTGGCAAAAACAAATGCCTATTTAAAGTACAACGCTAATGTGGGAGCCACACTGTACAAAGATTCAACAAAAAAAAATAAAAAATAAGCAAGTTTTTGTCACAAATTAAAAAAAAAAAAAGATGTAGAGAAGCATTTACCTTGAGAACTGCATGTGCAATGTGCATGCCACAGCGTTTGATAAAAAGTCAGCTGCAGGAATTAAAAAAAATGTTTTGTAGAAAAAAAAACACAAGTACAGATAAATCTTTTTTAAAGTAATATATTCCTTTATGCTCTATTTTTTAAAACAAACAAAAAACATGTTCTGGGGAGGAAAATCACTTTGAAAGTTGTTTTTCTTTCTTTCTTTCTTTCTTTCTGTTTCTAGCTGTTTTTTTCTTCTTCTTCTGCCAACTAGACAGAGAGAGACACTTCAACACTATGTTCAGGGCACGTCAATATGACTACTGTCACAAAAAAAAGAAAGAAATAAAAGAGTCAAGAAAATAAAATCCCTTACTGTTTTTTTGAGTCTGGAGTTTTTAGATCTGAAATTCCCGTTTGTTTTGATTTGCTGATTATTACACAATTCCCAAAGATTGTTCATTCAGCAAAAGAGGGTGTGATTGTGAGTGTACTCAGAGCTGAATGTGTCCTCTTGTTTGCAGCGGTATATAGCAGTCCTGTTCTGTGTTATCCTTATCTGACACACAGAGGGATCAGACCACAGGAGCAGTCTGTCATAGGACACCACCACTGCTTCAGGGGTTAAAGGGTCTTGCTTGAATACTGTACAGTCTGGGGAAAGTGCGCAGAGCAATATTTAACACTTTCATGATGCTATTAACCGTTACTGTACATGGTGGACAACCGCTACATCAAAATGCTGTGTCTGTGTGTGTGTGTGTTTTATAGTACAATGTTAACTTGCACATTTAACATTTATTTTATCTTTGCCATGATGACAGTAAATAATATTTGACAAGATATTTTTCAAAGGCTTAACTAGGTTAACTAGGCAGGTTAGGGTAATTAGGTAAGTTATTGTATAATGATGGTTTGTTCTGTAGACTAGCAAAAATAAAAAATAAAAAAAGCTTTAAGGGGCTAATAAATTTGTCCTTAAAATTGTTTTTAAAAAATTAAGCTAGATTAAACTAGCCGAAATAAAACAAATAAGACTTTCTCCAGAAAAAAAAAATTTAAATTAAAGAAGGGCTAATAAAGAAGGGCTAATAATAAGACTTCAATTGTATATATACATAAATATTTATATACACATACACACAGTTAAAATCAGAATTATTAGCCCTTCTTTGATTTTTTTCTTTTTTTAAATTATTTAAAAAAAAAATTATATTATTTTAATATTTTTTAATATTATTTTTATATTATCTTTTCTTTTTTAAATATTTCCCAAATTATGTTTGACAGTGCAAGGAAATTTCATATATATATATATATATATATATATATATATATATATATATATATATATATATATGTATATATATATTGTGTGTGTGTGTGTCAAAGCCCCCAAATACTACCCAATTAATTCTTGCCACTATCTTTTAAATCATATAGCTCACTAGGTTTTACCCATTTATCAGCAATGAAGTTTTAATTATATGAAAAATAAAACAATTTGGTGTAATCGCTTGTTGTGATCTGTACATACATTGCTCAGCATAATTAAATACACCCCATTTTAAAAAATGATTATTTTTCTCCATTTCTCAGTGAATATAGGCAATGTAATTTGGTGAATTTAAACAAAGTAGATTTATTAAACAGATATATTTTATAAACAATATTTTATTCACCAAACAGATTTAGAAATTGAAAGATAATACTATTCAATTATTTTTCCCAAATTATTGCAAAAAAAAGAAAAAAAATACAAGCTACAATTTTTTTTTTTTTTTTTTTTGCCTCACTTGATTTTTCCTAATTTATAAACTTGGATTTAATGTTTTTCTATAACATACATTTGGGGGGTACTAGGTTTTGGACTGTTATCGTTAGTTATTTTGTTAGACAAGCTCTAGATTTGGCTTCAGTAACGACTAGGCTAATGTCTATTCACATTATTAATATTGTATAACTTCCTAATAAAAATGTTAATTTAAAAGAGATTTGTGAGGGGTGTACTCATATTTGCTGAGTACTGTGTGTAAAAGAAAGAGAATAAGTTTGTGGTTTCACCCATTATTTTACATCTCTTTTTTCATCCATATTTTTACATTTTATTTTAGCAAAAGTTAATCAGACGCTTTATTTATTAAATACATTCAAATCTTGAATTAAATGCAATGCAGACAAAACAACAACTAACAAATGTTGTCTTTGACTCATACATTGCAATGACTAAAATACATACACTTTTTTTTATTAATCTAAATTGTTGTCCTTTTTGTTTATTGTGCTTTAATAACAGAATTGGTTAAACTACATAAATGAGTTTGTGAAAGAAAAAACTGATGAGCCAGATTTTAAAATAATCAAAAGTAGTTGAGCTTCAGTGATGATGAAGAACTCAAATAAATCAAATATTGGATCTGTTTTAATTTTTAATACTCATCCTAATGTATTACTATTCATATAACAAAAAATATCATGCTAGAAATGAAACTAAGCAATCCAAAAATTTGCCTAAAGAGGACAATATCAATGATTGATTTATTTTATTCTTGTTTTTTTTAGTACTGGTCTGGATTCAGGTGTTCTTTTAAAACTACATCTTAAGCATAATCTAAATATAAAAGTTCGTAACTGAGGGTTTTTCCAAGGATGCCATAGAACCGGGGTGTCAAGATCAGTTCCTGGAGCTCCGCAGCCGTGCAGAGTTTAGTTCCAACTCTGCTTCACTTACCTGCTGGTTTTAAACAAGCCTAAACTCTGTTAGTTCAATTAAGGACTCAGTTAGTTTGATCGGGGTTAACGCTAAACTGCTGAGCTGTGGCATCAAAGTACTGAGCTTGGCACCTGTGCCACTGAAGAAACATTTTGAACCCTTTTCTTAAAGGCCGTTTATTTACAATAAAGGTGCTTTTTGAAACGAATGCCAAGCAAGAACCTTTATTTTTAGTTTTTCAGTGTAGTGGTTTAGTCAGGTCTTGATGTGACTGGGTCGTTACTTTAACAAACGTCTTACGTCTTAAACAGCTCAACTGTATTGTTCATTAGCATTAAAAAATATTTTTAATGCATTTTTTAGTTTGCAAAATCTCAATTCTGATATATTTATGGGCTATTGTTCTAAATTTAAGAGTGTACTATTTTACTGAATGTATGGCATGAAAACGAATATAAGCAATATATGTTCTATCATTTTCTTTGTACAGTATCAGTGGGTGTCCTGATAAATGATTAGCTTATGTCATTTTGTTTTTACCCTTGCTCTGTCCTCTTCCGCTCCTGCAGATCTTTGTGTGTGAGTGTGTGTGGTTGTGCTGATCCGATGGTTGTAAAGTCGTTTGGTCAGGAGATTGCAGGAGCTAACAGTGCATTCCTGAGAGATTTCAGACACTGGAGGCTCGGGTTTCACACTTGGGAGGGGGAGCGGCTCATTCCATTAGCAGAACAATCGATGGGCCACACAGGCGTTCAGCAGCACCCCGCCCCCCGGCTGTCTGTCTGCTGTGTGTCAGCCAGATGTGCGGATGTGTGAAGGTAGTACAGTACTTCCTCTGCTCTATTAATAGCCCACCTCTTTCCGCTCACTCGCCCGTTACTGCTCCATGCACTTCCGGCTCTGAGACCGCGGTCAACGTGGGGCATGAGACTGCTGCGTCAACAGCAAATATTCACTTGGCTCACACGCAGGTCTGTGTGCCTTTTAAACATATTTGGTCCATGTAAATCACGGGACGTGTTGGGGAAAAAACACCAACACGCGAATCATCTTAACGCATAGACCAATAGAAAAACATCTGATGAAAATAATCAAAAATTTCTTGTGGGCTTCGGTGGTGATGACTCGAGGAAATTAAATAATAATCTGTCATCATTTTTAAAACTCATGTCATTCAATTGCATATATTATTTTCACTTTAGAACAACAACAAAAAATGTTACAAATTAAATTAAAGGTTTATAGTTAATTGACCTAAAGAGAATCATAACAAAAACTAATACATTTAATTAAATTACGAAAGTCAATTTTAAATGAAAATGAAACATTTAATTTCACTAGATTTTATAGGTTGCTTATCGTTTGAGTAGCATGTGTTTTATTCTATAAGTTCTATTTTTGTTTGTTGTTATTAAAATCACTTTGGTCTAAAATATTAATCTCTTATCTCTTCTGAAGTTAAAAACATTGCTGTCTAAAATGAATAAATTACAAAAAAAAAACAGCGTCTTTGTTTTATATGCAACTAAAAAAATCTCTAGATTACGATTTATTTTGTTACATTAGAAAAAATTGTCTTCGTATAAAGAATAAAAAAAAATTCATGTTTTATGCGAACACATCTAAATCAAAAATCCACATGAGAATTTGTAAGTTTATTTATATTTATTTTTAAACGGCTGTATGTCCAACTGAATCAAACGAGTGTTGCTTTTCACTCGAATTTTGTTTAGGGTACAATATTAAAAATCCACAGAAATCGTAACCACAGCAACTGCGCGTTGCTAAGAGTCGTTGAAAAACAAACAACGAATAAGGTAAACCGATTTATCACTCGCATTTAAAAAATCACATTTTTTCATTCAAAAACATATCTGTGCGTGTTGTTTAGAGTTTTTCTCAGTCGCTTTGGTGCGTTTCTCACAACACAAGTACATTTTTGCACAACAGTTAATGCATTTCTCAAAAAAGTTGGTGCAAACTGCAAAACCTAGCTGATAACCTGCAAAAGCGCGTCACTTGCTCAAAATGGATAGTTCATTCCTCAAAAGCAAGTATTAATGTCAATCAAAGTGTCAGTGCCATCAAAATGAAAAGTCCGGACACCATTGTTTATGAACAAGATAGTCAAATGGCTTAGTCATGTTTTCATTATGACAGTTTACTTTGTACATTTTTTCAATGTGATTTTGGTGACACTTCCTGAAAATGCTCAAGACAGCACTATATACTATTCACACAGCCATTTGGAAACTACAGTAAAGTTAGACATCATTGGATTGAGTGAGGTATCTGAGTACAAGACACTGAATATGTATGTTTCACATTTTTACTGCATTTGCTCTTTACAATCCTAATTTATTCACAGCATTGTGCAAAATAATATACACACCCTTATTTACAACAAACATAAACTCCCTTTAGGTAGAGCAGCACACAACTGTAAATAATATTGCAGTACACATTGGAGCTGAACCAACATACATACACAGGTCTGTAAATCATTCATCAAATTGTTCAATTTTAAAGACATTTTCAGTAAAATAAAGATTTAAACTTGTTTTATAAAATTTGCTTGAAAGATTTTGACAACTAGTTCAACATTTTTGTATGTAATGACTCAAGTAATGAAATGAGGACTATTAGTTTTATATGGAATGACTATTCAGCATTTACAAGTTTAGTTCATTTTGACTGACATGACATAAGCAGATGATAATGTTATAAACAGCAGAGAGTTGTAGGAAAGCAATTGATGCATGTCCAAAAGCATTCGCAATTTGTTGAAAAGAATGAGAAACTGCTAGGATGTGCACAAATGACTAATTGTTTTGAGAAATACATTACCTGTTGTGCAAATGTAAATAGTGTAGTGAGAAAGACCAAAAGCACCAAAGCGACTGAGAAAAACTGTAATACATGGGTTTGTTCTGGTGGTCACCCATATTTAAATAAGGGTAAGAGATATGCCAAAAAAGTGAATAAGTACTATAGGGGCGCCAAAACGCAGCTTGTAGGCGCGCGAAGAACATCAACAGAATACCGCCAAAACAATAATGCGTCTCTCCTTGCTGTTTGGATATTAACACCGAAATGAAGTTAGTTAGACACACACATTTGTTTCACTTTCTTGAATAAGCACAGTTTTAACTAAATAATAGTTTATTTGTTGTTTAACTACACATCTTTGTAGTAGTAATACCATCTTAATGTAGCTAAACCAGTGCACAATTAGTAGGAAAACTTAAGGGTATTAGTTACTCTAAATTGGCAACATCAGGACAATAGCTATAAAGCACGTGTTTAGATAACACCTCCTAATGGGCTCGTTAATAACCTGTAAATTGTTGAATCGCTTTACAGCTTCAATTCTTTTGTTCCTCATATCCTGAGCCATTTAAATGGGGTTGAAAGGCAGTGGGAGTGTGAAAACTGTCGACAGTGCTCATCCGGCCTGACGGGCTCACCGCTTCCTGCCTTCCGCGAACACCTCCTGCCCGTGAGCCATCCGCGCCTCCGGTCACATGACCGCCAATACTTTCAGCTAGCTGACAGTCAAAACATTTCCCGGAAAAACCGGTCTGAACAGAATGCGTCACACACACACACACAGAGAAAATTATATGTTTAAACATCTTTATTGTACAAAAGTGAGGTAGATAGACTTAATCATAACATCAAGATGTTTGTTGTATAGCTTATTTCACGTTGACCTGCACGAATATCCACAGATTGACTATCCTGGCCATTAACAAACCAGATCAAGTCTTCCACAATGGTTTTATGTGGATTCTTCAGCAAGTGAGTCAGTCAGTGTAACGACTGGACTGACAATCCAAATTCCTGACCAATAAATAAATAAAGTTCATGTAAATGTCCGCGGTGGTTTTCCCAGTCACACTTCTCGTCGAAGTACCGCGTCATATCCTGACTCAGAGAAAAATGACGGGCTGAACAAGCACCATTAGTCAGAATGTCCACAACAACCCAATACTCTCCTACTGTATGAGTAACCGGCTGTCACATTGTTCCACTGTGAGTAAAACTACCCACTGGCTTCTCAAGTGCCCTTAACACTGCCCGGTGGCAGTTCTGCGCCACAATCCGCTTCCAGTGGTGCGCAAAGTTCACTTGACAACTGAAGGGCTTCTGTTGTTTGTCTCTTCAAAAAGTGACAATTGTCCTTGGCATTGGCACGAGTGACAGCGAGTCCAGCGCCCTGCCGCAGTTAGCGGAACTGTTTTGAAGAACCCCCCTGACCTCCGCGCACTCCAGTTTGGCTTTTTTGCATGGGATGAAGTCTGAATCCGTGGCTGTTTTGCTTCGTCGCTTTCTGGAGTGACGGTCCGGTCTGGATGGGCTGCAGTTTTCTTTGTCCGCCGCGGGGTTGAGTGGATGCGGATGACCCTCGAGTCCGGACCTTTGCCCATCCTCGCTGGACTGCCCCGATGTCTCGCGCAAAGGTGTCGCCGTGGAGCTCGATGTGTCCATGGGCTCCTGAGTGTGTGATGTGCTCTCCTCTGTGACAGATTGTCCGCTTTTCTCGCTCATCAGTCGGGCTGAGTGGTAAATGTCCCTTGCAGATTTCATGACGAGCGTCAGCAACAGGCTCCGGTGGAGCCGAAGTCCGCCACGCTGGCTGCGCGAGCTGTACATTTTACCCAAAGCCTGGACCATTATCTGCTTGGCCTCTGCTGTGACATCCATTGTTCAATGCACTCTTAAGCACACAAATAATGTGCAGATGTATTTGTATGAGCTCAGTTTACTTTCACCGTGGTTTCATTCACTGAAGTAAACCTCAGCGTAAAGGCAGCGGGCTTTATATAGTTTTGGTGACGTATGCGCTTGACACTCGGGCTCCTCCCATGCCTTGAGGTTCTGTTTGAGGAAATAAGTCAGGACGTGTATCACACAGTTCCTGATGTAATCCTTCAGAGCATTTATGAAAATAGATAATTTCTAAACTAATCATCAGATTGCAAGCACAATAGTTTATCATCACTTGACCTTATAATATGGAAAGACCAATGCAACGTCAATGTAGCCTAAAATAAGATGGTGTTTATATTATTATATATTTATGGTGTTATTTTTCTGATAGTGTTATTAGTGCATTTTATTTTAAATTATTGATTAAAATCTAATAATTTTGATATTTTGTTACTATATATGTAGTGTATATATATAGTATACTATATATAATATATATACAGACAGACAGACAGACAGACAGATAGACAGATAGACAGATAGATAGATAGATAGATAGATAGATAGATAGATAGATCCCAGTTAAATGTGAAAAGTTTTTGCCCCTTTCTAAGTCTCGGTTGGAGAAGACACTTTCGTTCATGGTTATTGTTGGCTTCCTCATTCTCCTATGCCCATAAAAGGAACATCCGCCAGTTAGTCCGCTCTGTGGAAAACCCATGATGCGTGGGCGCATAGGCTACTTCCGGTTGCCTTATTTGTCTCAAAAGATTCGTCATAGCCAATAACTTCACATGACCCGAGAGCGTCGAGCTTCCTCTGCCCATTTACGGCGTCTATCCAGCTGTTTTCTGATAAAAGCCGTAACAGCTCCATTTTACGAACGCTGCATTCCCATATGTTGTTGAACTAACTATGTATTTATCAAGCGCGTTTCGTTTGAACGAATTCAATGTAGTGCTTGGACGAAGCAACCAACCATTAAATGCTTTGTTTATTAGTGCATGTCAAATGTTTAGACATGCTAACAGACATACCTTATTCACAGGCAAAAACACTGTAATAAGGAAAGACAAACACAGGCAATTGATTAAAAAATGAAACGACAAAATATCTGGTTTGCAGATTTAGTCAGACACTTCCTGCTCTTCATTCTTTGTGATCAAGTAAAGCTACAGCTCAGGGCCAGTTGTGATGAATAAGCTCTTAAACCTCTCAAGGTCCACAAGACAATAATGAATAGCCTGATACAGGAAAAAGAGTTCAGTTCCTTTTTTAATGGTCCTTAGAAAACTGGAGCTGTGTAAATACACTGCTTTCAATGTGTCGGATGCAGCAAACTGCCTTAATTCTGACCATCATGCTCTGCTCACTGATAAACAATATTATTCCAAAATTTTTTAGCTGAAATTTGCATTTAGATTATTTCACCAAAGTGTTATTATTAGGAAAAAGATCTGTGTTCCAGTGTTTTGTCGTCACTAAAAATACTTTGCACATGCATAGTTTTTAAACCAGGTGGCTTGGCTAGATTTTTAAGGACAGCTGCAAGATTGCTTATTGCTTAAAGATGGCTAATATTAAAATCTCAAATAAAGCTAGGATGTTGTGTTGTTTAGGGTTTTTTAATAACAAGAAAATCAGCCAATTGGATAGGGAAAATAATATAGCTTTTCCTAATCATTCATTTATTTTATTTTCAGCTTAGTCCCTTTATTAATCAAGGGTCACCACAGTGCAATGAAATGCCAACCTATCCAGCATATGTTTTAAACAGCGGATGCCCTTCCAGCTGCAACTCAACACTGGGAAACACCCATACACTCAATCACACGTACACGGACTATTTAGCTTACCCAGTTCACCTGTAGCTCATGTCTTTGAACTGTGGGGGAAACCGGAGCACCCGGAGGAAACCCACGCCAACACAGGGAGCACATGCAATCTCACACAGAAATGCAACTGACCCAGCCGAGGCTTGAACCAGTGTCCTTCTTGCTGTGAAGTGACAGCACTACCCACTGCGCCACCCTTTTTCTAATCACATACATTTTTTCTTTCTTGTTATAAATGTAACTTTTCCTTTTTCAGGAAATACTTCATATCTTAATCAAGTTACATTTGATTATGATATATGATAGACTATGATAGAGTTTTTAACTGATATAACTTACTATGCTGCATACTATACTGTAAAAATGCAGGGTTCCGCACAATTCCTGCACATTGTTCCAACACAAATGAAGTTAACTTAATATTTTTACAAATTTGAGTGGATTGAACTGCAATTAAGTTGTCCCAAAAAACCTCAGGAATTGTGCTGAGTCAGCCAATGGGCCCTACACTGTAAAACTACTGATAGCCTTATATGTTTTAAGCTGAATCAAATTAACCTTTTGAGTCCATTGAACTGATTTAAAACAGCTTGCATAACTTATAAAATTAAGTTAGAACATGATTAACTTAGCTAAATAAGTGAACTAAAACATATGCTGCCATGACTAATTCATAATATTTTTTACACTGTATACACAGCTAAAGCTTTAAAGCCAATGATAAACTTACAGTGAAAGCTAAATGTGACTATTTTCAATTTCACAAAGTTGTTATTACAATACATTCAATTAAATAGACTTAAGCATTAATTTAATTTTTCTAGCGTAAAAAGAGATAAAAGACTTGTAACCACTAGTGCCGTCTGTAGCAACAGGCTAGCACAGAAATTCCATTAAAAATACCCCCTTTACATTGTATATCTAACAGGCAGTGAAGATCGCTGATTTTTGAAGAAATCAGATCTTAAATTAAAAGACTGTTCTCATATAGCCCATTTTAAATTAGTTTGAAGAAGCAACAAAAATGTTTTTGAGTGTAAAAAAGAGCCAAACACAAAAACCTTTGTTACAAACTTTTATTAAGATATTCAGCTGTATCCTTTGACTTTTCTCTTACTCATTTTTTACAGTAGTTAATGTGCAATTACTTTTGATAATATTGGGTCACAGTTAGGGATTCACAAAGTTATTGGCACTTTGAACACAGACAGAATGGAGTGGATGAGCACTGGCGTTACAGGGTCACTGCATGAGCACAGCTGGGTATGGGTTACAACTCATGCTGAGAGTGCACGACTAACAATCAAACTTCATTAGTGCTTCTATGTAATATACAGTATATAGATTTGTATAGGGATGTAGTCATAGAAAGTGAGACACTGCATCGTAAAAAAGGTTCACAACCAGTTTGTTGTTTTGAGTGTTTAAGCAAACTGATGTCATCCCCCATCCTGTCTGTATTTCTTCGTAATTCATGATACCATGTATGGACAACTCGGTTATCCGGCTGTCAGACGTTACTTTACCAAAACATTTGCAAAGTTGGGTTTTTATTCATGATCATCATCATCTCATTTCAGGGGAAAGACTGAAAGCAGAGTGTTGGGGTGTGCTGGAAGAGAATGCAACACGCAGAGAAAGAGGTGAGAGTGTCTTCATGTTGTATGTCTGTTATTTAGTGGAATAGCAGTGCTGCATTCTGCTGACTTAGGTTGACAAAAAAAAAAAGTAGCGAAAACTGCAAGCTGAAGGGAAACCTGCAAAATGTGGCAAGTGCCCGGTTTCTGCCTTCGCAGAGAGGAGAGACAGTCGGCATTTATAAAAGAGTTCAATTTTTAATACATCGCTCCAAGCTCTCTCTCTCGCATGCTGTCAGCAATCCACCAGGTTACAAATTCACAATGATCTACAATGCACAAGTACCCCAACAAACTTTGTTACAAGGAAGAATGACAAGACTTATGGGCAGTTCAACTCTCACGCTCTTTCTCCAACCACACAGACGTCTGCCATCTATCTGCTCTCTGAGCTCCGCGACACAGTCAGACTGAATTGCAAGGTTCTGAGAAGCACGTCTATGAACGCAAACCCCAGAAAAAGGTGCTTTGCTCGGGCACAGAGAGCTGACAGATAGGCAGCATGATATGGACACTCGGGCCATCTTTTCTTCTTCTTTTTTTTAAATAATCAACACTGGTCCCTTCGTTCCCACTATATACTTCTCTTTAAAAAAAAAACCTTTCATACCAGGCGAGACTTAAGTTTTACTAACTTAAAATAAAAATTATAACAATCCTAAAAGGTGAAGTGTGTAATTAAAAACGGAATCGCAAAAATATTGATCTTGAACGCCATGGGTTGATGCTCCTTCAGGCTGGTTGTGATGCTCAAACAAACAGAGCAGCATTCTGACAGTGCCACAGAGCCACAGTGTTATACTTTTTGGGAGGGGGGGCGGGTATCAACCTACAAATGGCTTACTTCTATTATTTTTACACTGAAAATAATAATTACACACATCACCTTTTACTTCCCAGTACTAGAAAGGCCTTATTTGTGGCCAACAATAGTGATCGTTCTCAGCTACGACACCCCCTGGTGTTGACTGTAAGTAGTTAAATCTAAACCGCAGTAACAACATACAGACAGCAGGTGGCGTATGGACACAGCAGTTCCTCTCCAGCGACGCATGCAGCATATGTGATCTGTGCCATCAAAATGGAGGACGCATAAACACTGGCACAGTCATAGCCCGCGAGAGGAGAGAGAGGAGCGCTGCCGTTGCTCCACACCCCACCCAGATATACACATGCAGTCCGTCTCCCGCAGTCCTCCTCAAGGCACCAGTGACCCAGCAGGCCTTTAACATCTAAAGAATAGCACACATAGCACCAGTACATCCCTCACCATGGCCCCCCTAATTTCCCAGCACTTTAGTCGATAAAAAGAAATGAAAAAATACTCAGTACTCTATCATCAGTCAAACAACTCTATATTGTATCCTTAAAAAACTTGGCAAGTCAACTCTTTCACCTTGAATTAGTAGTAGTTGAAAAGTAAATACAGTACACGTGGTCTGCTAAAAGAAAAAAATAACAGATACGGAAATGACTACATGCACGTTCCCAGATGTTGATTTTGCAGGCTTGGCGAATGTTATACATTTCTACACAAGAGGCAATATTGTCTTCTGGTCCAAAAGAAAATTGAAGGAAAATAAACAAACAAACAAACGAGGTCACCGGTCAGACCT